ATCACGCATCTTAGTGGTTCCTTGCACGTGAATGCCACTCGCTATCCTCGATGTCAATCTCGAAACCCTTTTTACCCGCGGCTGCTACCCCACACATACCTCCCTTGCGATAAGAACAACGTCGAACGCAATTCGACTGGGTCGTGAAACGCAATGCCTAGCAGGGGTCTTGTCTAATCCGCATCTGCATCGACCTTCTTGATAGACTATGATGTCGTACCTGAACCTTACGCTACCGCCGGGTCTCGTTCCGTGCCGTCAATCCATCAGCCCTAGCTCGCAAGCAAACCTTACACAGGTACCGGGACAACACAAATGAACACTTGGTGGTTGCCTTCCAGGGGAAAGTTCAACGTTCCCACATACTTTAGTATTCTAGACCCTGCCACGTACTTTGGCTTTTGTATAGCCTTTGACAAATTGTAATAAAGTGGCAAACCGAGAAGACGATCCGATTGAGTGAATCAGTTTGAAATATTGGCAACATGTGCTTTGAGGGCGTTGTAGTTCCCAGCTGATCGACGATACGCCCTGAAATACGTTGCTTGTAAGATACAAAAGACCCAGCAGGATTCATACCTTTCCGAACATAGGATTCGGGAAGACCAAATCTGTAGGAAACTCCTTGCCCTCCGAGCCTTCGTTATGCCAGAGTTCCAGACCAACGCTGCATTTAGGAAAGACTCAACCTTCCACCGGGCTAACGACCATAATCTTGGTTCTTACAGTCGGCTCGCTGTATCATATGAACATGCATTTTCGCAGGGGGGACGTAAAACTTGGCAATTTCAGAACAATCGAAGAGAGAACCAGTCACAATGCAGTAATTCATATCGTGTTGTACAAATATCTTGGTACCGTCCTTCATACGCCTTGTGCGATATTCAGGTCAGTTGCAAAAAGAAGGCCTCGAGATCCAAAAACATACAACAGCGGGGATTCGCTAGTGGTCACCCACCTAACTACTAATCCGCCGGTATCTTGCTTAAATAGGGCTGAGCGAACGGGAAGCCTTGCTCTCAAGATCCTATGGTCGTATGTAGAAGAATTGGTAGGTTGTGGTGGTGTTATCAGCAGCGGCAACCCCATACCCATCTTTCACTCTGTCCGATCTTGCGCTGACCACTGTAAATCCGGAGTCGAGAACGACGGAAAGGCAAAAGGCGGGATGATCATGTTGCCTGCCCCAACCTCAGCACCACCAAACATCTTCTCGACGTCATTCTGCATAGTAGTCAGTAAGGGTAGTACAGTGGGAGAGGATGTCACATACCCAATCGATATCATTGATGGCATCCAAAGCATTACCGAATGTTGGCCTCCCAGCCATCCCATCACCTCTGTAAATAACCGAGTTGGGACTATCGGCATCGCTTCCACCTTGCTGTGCAGCACCGGGCACCAAAGAGCAACTGGTGGGTGCGATACCACCGTAAGGAGACATGGGTACAGACGCTGGCATATCAAAGGTACCCCAGTCCGAAAGCGGTATGGCACCAGGGAATGTGTTGACCCCGGCTGCTAATGCGGATCCAGCCGGTGGGCTTTGCGGTCGTGGTGGCGGCGTGCAGTTTTGCGTAACCATGTTTCCGTTCAATAGATGTGAGAGAGGACCAAGAGTGCTCAGGTTCGATTGCGTGCTTCCACTGCGCTCTCTATCTTCCCTCTGCACTCGTTGTCTAGGCTCTGAGCACGGTTGTGGCATGTTGGACGGGACTCGTACTCTTTTCAGGTTTGAGTACTTCCTCGTTTTTCCGATGAGTTCTTCCAGAACCATTCTTGTCTTCTCGACATTGGGGATGCCTGGTGGTAGTTTGAACGAGTAGTCTAGACACCTCCAGATACGCTGTTCCATGGCGGGCTCTGGATTCGCTATATAGATCTCGTTCACGAGGAGGAGCGCGCAGTGGTGTTGGTGGAGGGCACCGACGATCCATGACCAGGAGGATAGGACGGGGTGCAGCTCGATTGCCATTCCATGTTCTAAGATCATGGTTGCTGCGCTCATGGTCAGCTGTCGTAGGCGCTCCGGCATCCTGCTGCGGGCAGAAGTGATATACTGCTGTAATATCGAGATATAGAGGCGATTCGAAACGATACCATATAGTTCTGACGCCAAAACATGTAACAGCTCTGAGCGGTCCAGCATGGGGACGTACTTCTTCTCCATAGCAGACTGAAAAGATTGAACACGTGACAGAATGGAGGTGATTGTGATTTCGCGTTTCCCGTCGGCACGCTTACGATCCAATTTTGGCCGCTCACTCCAAAGAAAACGATGCATCTCGTACGCTTCAAATCGCATACGACAAATCGTCATGTCGGTAAAGTATTTACGATCTCTACTGACGTCTACGCTGCTGTCACCATGCTCGGCACGGTCGAGATCAATGTCATCGATGTTCAGTGGGAAGCGGGTATCATAATCCTCGAGCCGAATCTGTGGACGAGGGCCAACAGCTTCGCATGTCCGGAGATCCAAGAAACAGATTTGATACCACAAGAGGCGCCGTACTTGAATCTCGACCGGCGAGGAACTGTACGCTGTTGGATCTCGGTGCAAACCCATGCACTCGGCTAAGCGGATAAGTGATCCGGTGAGCGCAGAGTGTGAGCGGGATACTTCATTGCGACAAAGGGGGATCTGTAAACAAGTGTAAGCTTAGTCTTGTAGACTTGAGCGGCAAAAGCTAGGATGTAACACTCAGTTCTCTCTGGGAATTTACGGACTTACAAGGTACGTCACAAATGCTTGGAGGGTCTCCAGTTTCGTAGTGCGGAGGAAGTTGGCTTTAGCAAGTGCTTTTTCGGTTCCTTCACGGAAGCTGTCTACCATTGTTCGTTTTTCCATGCCAAACTTGACGCGCACCTCATCCTCAGTCATGGAGATGACTGAGCTTAATAATGCTGCAAAGAGCACGGCTTGGAAAGATGAACGAGGCTCCGTGCCCATGTTGACTCTGATCCAGAAGTTCTGATACTGTCGCTCGAATGAAGGGCGATGCACTGTTCGGGCTACAATATGAACAAAGTTCCAATAGTGAGCGAGCAACTCGTCAACCACCATTCGTGAGGGCAGATGAGCCTCAAGATATGTTTGATTGATTGTCGATGTCAACATGAAATTTGAAGACGGGGCAACGTAATCCTGTGTAGGGGCTAACCAATCTGCAGGATCCTCTCCGGTACTAATCTGAGGAGGGTATTCTGAGTCTGGCAGCTCATTAAGTGCCCGAGTAAGCTAGTGCAGCTCTGTCAGTATAGGTGTGCATGTCAAACAAATGTGAACTCACTTCATCGGAAAATCTTGGGCGCACAAGTCCTCCAATGCGTTCTGTGATTCTGATTCGGCCCATGCGAAAACCCAGATCGTCTATATCTTCATTAAGGTTGACATCGTCGTCGGGCTCATAGTAAGTGGCATCTTCGGTAACGAGATGCGTCGGTCGCAGGTTTTGGGTCTCCTCATCGTCTTCTTTGTCGCTAGACTGCTCTTGGCCAGGCAGTGCGCTGACCCTGGAAAAATCAGAAGAGCTTCGAGTATTTGCTTCCGTTTTGCGTGCGACATCTTCTTCGAGGCTCCTCTCCAAACGGCCCATCTGCTCCTTCACCTCAGCGAGCTTTGCCTGGGCGTTTGAGTCAAGCCCGGAGGCGATGAAGACGCATTGACGTGCGTTCTTGGTGCAGTGTGCACACGGATGACATTTGTCACATTTTAGTTTCCGACGCCTACATTCGAGGCAAGAAGTGATGAGCCGGTTGCGACGACGAACGCGCGGTGGCGGCTGATGTGTCGTCTTATCGGCGACAACTGGTGGAGAAGGTTGAGAACCATTTTGGCTCGGCAACGATGGGCTGGACATGTCTGAGGTGTTGTTACAGCCCAGTGGTGGAAGGATCGGTTCCTTACGGACGTAAGATCCCAGACTCGTACAGCTTGTGCAGCGATTAGCGAGACGGAAGGTATCAAGCAGGGCGCATCATACGTTAGTAATGGTTGGTTGCCTGTCCTCTACCTTTTCGACAGCTAGATGATAGTGCAGGTGGAACTTGATATGAGACCTAGGTAGGAATCGGGATTGCTGGATGGTGCAGGTACCCAGGACCCAGACTGTCCAGCAGCTGCGGATAATGTCAAACCTCTAGAGAATCGTGCGTTTGGAAGTTCTCCTCGTCCCTGAATCACAGATGCTTGGACGACTGTTTCGTGGTGACTGTGTTGGCAGCTTTATTGCGACCTAGTAAGACCGTCAGCCCCACCTTGGCTCTTCGTGAAGCACTGACTATGGCTGATTAGTCTATGTCAGCGTCATTGGCTCAGTCCCATGTCCCACCAAACTCAATCTACCTTGGTTGCAAAGACGAGGCTGTGGGCATGACAGTGGAAGCTTCCACGTGGCTTGTAGTCTCCAGGCATTTGTCAGGCATGCACGGAGACTATGGGCTATATATCTCTGAACCAACGCCTGCGATGCAAAAGCCGACCATTATGAGATCTGGCTCAATGGTATCCCTCAACACTACACAGAGAGTCGCGCATCAAACCAAGGAGATGGTGTTGTCCTCCAACCAAAGACTACGTATAACGTTGACCGTATTTGCGACGTTCCTGGAGCCAGTGAGGCTAATGCAGTTGACTGGATCCAAGTCTCGCTACTAAGTACCTACCAAGGTCAATCAAGCACGAAATCTATCGTAACATGGGTAATTGGTAGGCTCGGAATCAAGCAAGGAGCGATGCTACGCCTGATCAGTTCGTCTCATTTGTTTCCAGATGCGGGGGACAAAGAGCATACGACCTCGACGCGAACGCGTAACGCCTGGTCACGTTTCCAAAGGACGCGACCCGCGACAGGCCTAAAGACAATGATCCACTGATCGTTGCCGCCGCGATCTCTCTAACGCACGTCCTCACCGCTTCCATAACAAACACCTTTTCCTGCCGCCTTTTGCAGAATCCCCACCACGCACGCCTCTCGACTCCCAAATCCATCACATTACCCAAACCAGTCGTACCACCTGCGTTTGTTCCCAATCAATTACCCCCCGACTCCAAAATGTCTGTCGTTTCGCTCCTCGGTGTCGAAGTTAAGAACAACCCCGCGCGCTTTGACGAGCCATACGAGTTTGAGATCACCTTCGAGTGTCTTGAGCAACTACAGAAGGGCAAGTGCGCCCGAATGTGCATATCCGCCACTGTCACTAATAAATTCCAGACCTCGAGTGGAAGTTGACCTACGTTGGCTCCGCGACCTCGTAAGACCACTCCTGTATCCCCTTATGAACACGTCTGATCAACATACCGCAGAAACGAGTACGATCAAGAACTCGACTCTGTCCTCGTCGGTCCTCTCCCGGTTGGCGTCAACAAGTTCCAATTCAAGGCCGACCCTCCCAACCTGTCGCGCATTCCCAACAGCGAGATCATCGGTGTCACAGTCATTCTGCTCAGCTGCAGCTATGATGAGCGCGAGTTCGTGCGTGTCGGATACTATGTGAACAACGAGTACACAGACGAGGCGCTGGCACTCGACCCGCCTACCAAGCCCGTCATCGAGAAGGTGCAGAGGCAGATTCTTGCAGAGAAGCCACGAGTCACGCGCTTTGCCATCAAGTGGTATGTTCAAGCACAGACAGCTACGTTCCTTTGGCAGTACTAACCTTGGTAGGGACTCCGACGAGTCTGCACCTCCTGAGTTCCCCCCTGAGCAGCCAGAGGCCGACCTCACCGCAGACGGAGACCAATACGGTATCGAGGAAGAAGAGGAGGAAGAGGAAGAGGGTGAGGGTGCTGCCGCTGAGGGCGAGGATGCTGCCATGGCAGGCGCCGAGGACACTGCAGGCCCCGCCAACGATGAGGATGCCGAGTCTGAGGCCGGCAGCGAGGAGATTGACATTGAAGATTCAGAAGACGATGAGGAGGAGGAGGGCGAGGAGGGCGGCGACGATGACATGGAGATGGATGAGGGTGAGGCAGGCGCCGCCAACGGTGACAAGCCAGCCCAACAACAGCCCGGAGGTGCCCCGCAGCAACAGTCTGGTGCGGACGTGATGGTCCACTAGATGTGCCTCTATCCTTGTTGCTTGCATACTTCATCATCGCGGATGCCTCGAGCAGTAAGCGATCTCCGCCGCCTTGTGGTTTCATTCCAGATATGTATACAGTAGCTGCAGTGTCGCTCTGTCAACACGACTTTGTCTTCGTCTTATCACGAAGGAGTTGAATTACGAATACCCTGTTGAATTTGTAGCACATCATACGTGACAAACTGCGTGCTATGACAGAAACCTTGGTGATGAGGCTTGGATGGCTAGAACGTATGCAGCCGCGCAAGCCATTGCTGCATTTCGTCTCCGTCCTGACCTGGTGGATCCGCCGTCAGATCCGAAATTGTTACGACAGGCGTGCGCGACCGAAAGTGGTGGTTCGGAGCAACGTCAACGTCACTGCACAGCCTCGAAGTGAATGGCACAGTAACGTGAGCTCGGCGGCTGGTTTCCGAGACTTGTCGAAACATTTATAGTAGCTGTGAACGACAGGCGGGTAAAGGATGACATTGTTAACAAATGCCGGTCACCACCTCGAGGGACCATCCACTCCTTGTTCTTGTGACCTTGGAAGCGCACATGTATGCAAGCTGGAGAGCTCACTCGGGCCTCAACGTCAAATAACGCACCTTTCACTACCCATATTCCTAGGACTGCCGCGATTACTTCAGCGTCTGTTTCAGTAGCAAACAGCCTGCTCCGCCGTTTCGAATCTCTCCTGAACCTATTCTTTTCCGCCTGCGCCACTCCTCAATCGCGCACTGCCGCCGCCTCCGCTACTTATACCGCTACCTCTGGCGACATACTTGATCCATATACGACTACGAGGGATCGACGGCTTTCTCGTATACGATACCCGACAGATCGCAAGGGTTGTCGGCGAGTTCGCATTTAGCGACGGCGATTCAGGGACATACCCCACCAAGTTAAGGTACGTGGTACGCTCATTTCCTGCTCCACGCGTCACTCGGCATGCATGGCGGCCTCGATGACTGCTTCGCGGAACGGTCCTTGGAACCAAGCGGCAACCTGCATAGAACGCTGTTTCTCTTGGACAACGGCTGACGCCTACATCTCAAGCATCACAGCGTGCAGCAGTTGATACCCTATCGCAACATCATAATGAGCTACCACCAGGGCCAACCCCAGCTCGGGGCGACTTTTGTGCCAGGAGGCTTCGATGACTATTATATGCCGGCTCCTTCGCCTGAAGTCATCTCGCCTGCGCCTCAGCGGTTCGTTCTAGCCCATCACCATATGCATGCCCTGAAATTGCGGCTGACGTAGGTTTGGCGGTAGGATAATGCCCGAAGTGCCCGAGAACATGCAAGAAAACATCGCGCATCTGGAGCTGGAAGCCAACGGCCCTCGTGGTACCAACGGCGCCATGTCACCCATGCAGGGCTACAATCAGTCACAGCAGAACTTCCCGCCGCGACAGGCGAGCTACCAGAACGAGCTGCCTGTCCACAACGATCAATGGCCGGCGCGGCAAGCGAGCATCTCCTCTGCCTTCCGGCAACCACCAAACGTGCAGCCTCAGTCGGTGCAGCAGCAGCCGTCGCACGACTACAACCAGTTCGCCCAGAGCCACGACTCGCCCAACTTCTCCCCCTTCCCCAAGCTTCCCAACAAGCCTCCGAACGTGCCGCCGTCCGACGATGAGAAGGAGGCTGTCCTGGAGAATGCCCGCTTGCCGGTGCTCAACTCGAATGATCCCGAGATGCAGCTGGCATGGGCACAAGATGCACTGCAATATGTAGACGCCGCGCAACTGCACGAGCAGCGCATTTCAGAGATCCAGGGGGCGAGACCGGCCACACCACAAGTCGAGCACCAGCTCCGTCTGGACGCGATGAACGTAGTCACCTTCTTAGCGGACCAAGGCCATCCGAAAGCGACCTTTATGCGGGGTATGTGGCTAGAGTTTGGCAAGTTTGGCATGCGCGCAGACAAGAAGGAAGCGTTCAGATGCTACTCCCGCGCGGCTGCAAAGGGATACGCAAGGGCAGAATACCGCATGGGCATGCAGTTTGAGCAGTCGAATGACCCCATCAAGGCTCTGCAGAACTACAAAGCTGGCGCCGAACAAGGCGATTCAGCCTCCAACTACCGTCTTGGTATGATGACGCTGCTCGGACAGCACGGCCAGCCACAAGACTTTGCAAGAGGAGTACAACTGATCAAACTGGCTGCGGCCACTGCCGATGAGAATGCTCCACAGGGTGCTTACGTGCTGGGCATGCTTCAGGCGCGAGAACTGCCCCAAATCAATGTGCCCGAGATGTTTTTGCCCTACGATGAGAAGGGCGCAAGACAAAACATAGAGAAAGCCGCCTATCTCGGGTTCGCAAAGGCTCAGCTGAAGATGGGCTCCGCCTACGAGCTCTGCAGTCTGGGCTGTGAGTTTAACCCTACGCTGTCGTTACACTACAACGCACTCGCATCTAGGCAGGGTGAGCCCGAGGCAGACATGGCTATCAGCAAATGGTTCCTCTGTGGACACGAAGGAGAGTTCAATAAGAACGAAGAGCTGGCGTACCAATACGCGCAACGTGCCGCAGCGGCTGGCCTCGCGACAGCAGAATTCGCCATGGGCTACTTCAACGAGATCGGCATGAACACGCCGGTCAATCTTGACAAAGCCTTGGAGTGGTACGAAAAGGCAGAGAAGAACGGCAACAAAGATGCGACTGCACGTATAGAGAGCATCTCCAAGCTGTCACGGACGCTGTCAAAGAAGGACCATGAAAACGTCGCTATCAACATGATCAAATCGAAGCACGGCTCCATGCGAGGGCAGCGGCCAGCGAGACTGCAAAAGTCACATGCTCCTATGCCTTCTATCACCGATATCAGTCCTTCTGATTACGGCGATACCTCCCCAGCCACCCCTACAGGTGGTCGCCATCCGCCAAGGGGCGATAGTACAACGCCGTATCCTATGTCTGACCAGCCCCCAATGATCTCGAATGCCCCCATGTCGGCTCCCTACGACCGTCCCTCTACAGCAGCGCCATACCCTATGGACAATGGCCCCCCTCGACTAAGTCCACAGCGGCCAGGTATCGCCGGTGGCTTTGCGCCAGAGGTGAGGACTTCGAGTGCTCGACCTGCATCGTCAGCATTCAACATCAACCCCAACGTTTATCCTCCAAATGATCCTTATGGACGCGGCAGTCCTCGACCTAATCCCGGTCCTGGTTACGACTTGGGTCCGATGCCAATGCGTCCTCACACGAGTGTGGACAACATGGGTCCAGGACGTGGTGGACGCCCTTCCAGCGGTGGTCGTGGTGCGCCGCTGCCACCAGGAGGACCAGCGAGTTACAGACAGCCGGGAGGACCGAGCGCTCAACGTCCAGAATCCCAGAACCGCCCATCGACGACGCAGCCTCCTGATATTGGATACAGTGCGCCAGATGGACGTAACAAGCTGCAGAAACCGACAGGGGCGCCACTCAAGAAAGCGCCCACACTGCCAGACATTGGCTACGTCGCGCCTCTCGAGCCCCGCCAGCACACCCGCCCATCTACAGTTCAACCAGGTCAGGAGAGTAGGACTTCTTCACGGATGGATAGACCCTCGACTACTACACCCGGTCAAGGCTCCCGACCCTCATCACGGCCAGGCTCCTCTGGTCGTCCTAGCGGATACGACAACATGCCCAAGCCTAATAGGGTACAAACATTGCAACAACAGCAACCACCTCCCAAGCCTGCGCCAGTGCAAGCAGGTAAGCCGGCGACGCCTACACCACCTAAGCCAGCGCCATCAGCTGCTTCGACACCAGGCAAGGGACCAAAGACGTTTGATGAGATGGGCATAGGACAGGCGCCTAAGGACAGCGATTGTGTAAGTTGCATCACCTCTGTTGGTGACCAAAAACGCTTGCTGACGTATCTCAGATTGTCATGTAGATTGAACAGTGCTGGCACGGCGCGATACTCAATGAATTTTGCATAGCGGAACATCTTAATCTTGCATAGTAGTGAACAGTCGCAGTACTGACACTTGATATACCCATTTTTGGAAACACCTGAGGCGGCGTTGGTGATTGTCTAGTATAGAAAAATTCCAGTCGCGAAATGACATGACCCAATTTAGTGCCATGGCTGGACGTTCAAGTGTGATGTGTGGCTGCAGGCCAAGTACGTGATCGTACCTAGCTTGTGAGCTGCTTCTATTTCAACAACATGTATTCTGACTACACACAGATGCCTTGCGGTTTGGAGCGTAGGTATCCTTGCGCGCGTAGAACATGAGCCGCTGTAGCACCGCGATGTCGCACTACGTTTTAGAGTAGGTGGGATGAGATGGCACCAAGGCAATCACGCGGTGACGCGCTATCACGTGTCAGGGTCAATCGTAGTTGAGTTGAATCGAACTGTAGTATGCACCATAGCCAACCCAGAACTGTCCTATATGATTCATGTTCGCTCAATACCATTTCGTCCCGACTGTACATCGTTTGTGAATTCTTATATTACCGCGTCAATGTGAGATCGCCAGGCACGGATACTAGCGCGGTTCCCGAACGGTTCAGTGGGGGAGGAGCGCGTTCTGAACTGCCTCGCCTGCAAACGCTTACCAGGCCCCCCCAACTCAACCGCGCCCCCCCAACTCTTTCTCTGGGATCGGAGTAGCCGCAGTAATGTCTGCGAAGCGCCCTCGCGCTCTCACAGATGGGGTTGATCCTAGCGGCTCAGGTAACAATAGTCGCGTACATCAACCGTCCCAAGCCAGCACCAACACATATGCTAACACTGTCTAGGGCAAACGAGCCCGACAATCTGAATCCCAAGACAGCGACCAGTCAGATGACGAACGATCCGACGCGGCAAGCGGCAGCGAGTCACCCGATGATGAAGGCGAACAGACTCGCGAACATGAGATATGGGCAACACAGCAGGTGCAGAGAGAACGCCAGGCGACTGCAAAACGGCAGAACGAGCCAACAGACTCTGGTATCATCGAGGAAGTTCAGTGTATCAACTTTATGTGTCACGAACATCTAACGGTGACCTTGGGACCTTTGATCAACTTCATCATCGGACACAACGGTAGCGGCAAGAGCGCAGTGCTCACAGCAATTCAAATTTGCCTGGGTGGAAAGGCTACAGCCACAAACCGCGCCCAGAACCTCAAGAGCCTCATCAAGGAGGGCAAAGAGCACTCCTCTGTGTCTGTCAAGATTAAGAACCAAGGGCCACTCGCTTACAAACCTGCGCAGTACGGCGACTCGATCATCGTCGAACGACACTTCAGTAAATCCGGCACTTCGGGGTTCAAGCTCAAAAACGTAAATAACAAACTTGTTACGAACAAAAAGGCTGAGCTTGAAGACATCCTGGACGCGTTCTCTATGCAAATTGACAACCCAATGAACGTGCTAACGCAGGACATGGCAAGACAGTTTCTGAACCACTCGACATCGAAAGACAAATACAAGTTCTTCCTGCAAGGCACGCAGCTCGAGAATCTCAATAGAGACTATCAGCAGATCGAACAGTCTCTGGAAGTGATGAATGCGAGAGCAGAGGTCAAGGAAGCCGACCTTAGGGTCCTGAGAAACGAGATGGAAGTGCTGGCGAGGAAAGCTAAACGCGCGGCAAGTCTGCAGACCATGCGAGATAAGGAAGCGGAGCTCGCCAATCAAGCAGCGTGGGCGGCTGTCCGGGAGCAGGAACAAGAGGTGGAAAACAGTTTAAAGGAAATCACGAAATGCGATGAAGTCATACAAGGGCTACAAGGGGACGCAGAGAAGGCAGCAGAGCGTTACGAACAAGCAGATCAAGCCTGTGAAGCTGCGAAGCAATCTGTCACTGATATTACAGCTGATTTAGAGCCTGCGGAGCAATCGTTACTTGAGGCCAGAGGGAAATTTCAAGACATCAGAACGAAACTCCAGCAACTACAGCCTGATGAACGGAATGTTCATAGCGAGTTGAAAGCAAAGAAGAAGAAAGTGCAAGATATCAAAGCAGAGATCGAGCAATACCGACGACGACAGGCTGAAGCGGACAATGGTCGTCATGCCGAGAAGGCTCGGGAGTGTGAAGAAGCCAAAGTACAACGCGACAATGCCAGGGCTGCGTTCGAAGCCCATGATACAGGCCTTTCAGCTCTGCAGGAGAAGCTCAAGGACGCCCAGAAGGAGCAGCATGAAGCGGATCGTGAAACGGAAGAGGCGCGGGCCGGCGTCACACGCATCATGAATACTATCAGAGCACTGCAAGGAGGCCAGAGCAACTGGATCGAAGCGTATCCAAATCACAGAAAGCTGAATGAGTTACTCAATGCGATCAAGTCTGAGCGCAGGTTCAGAGAACCACCAGTCGGGCCTCTCGGTCGTCACGTCAAGTTGGTGAAGTCTCAGTGGGGCCGGATCTTGGAAAAGCAGTTCGGTCAAGCCTTGAATGGGTTTGTTGTCACAAGCAGGCAAGATCAGAATACACTGTCTGTCCTGATGAACAGGATTGGCTGGTATGTGTTTACTTCTCATTTCGTCGACGAAGCTAACAAATCTAGGTCTGCTCCAATATACATTGGCAAAAAGGCGCACATAGACACCACTGGGAGTGAGCCTCCGGATGAACTTGTGACATGGATGAGAGCTCTTACGGTAAGCACGGTCTCTGCGCGAATGGTGTAAAGATATCCAGCTGACCAATACACAGATCGAAGAAGACCTTGTTCGAAATCAGTTTATTATCAATCAGTCGATCGAGCAGACCGTGCTCATCGAGGACATGAAGGAAGGTGCCCATTTCATGGATGCCCGTGGAAAATCGACCGAACATGTTAAGATGTGCTTCACTTTTGCAGATGGCGACACTCGAAAAGGTCGCGTCATCAGCTACACCAACAACGGAGGTATCAACAACAGCCCGATTGCGGAATACTCCGGACCTCTGCGTATGCAGGTAGATGAGCCTACACAGATCAAGTGCGAACAAACGATCCACATGTCTGGAAACTTGCTAACTAGATATGTAGGACAGAGGAGAGAAATCTCGCTCAGGCTCAAAAACAACTTGAGGCTTGTGAGAAGATCTCTAGTCAACGGCTTGATCAGGTCAATACATGCAAGTCTCGGATACGAGATCACGAACGCCAGAAGAAAGACCTTCAAATTGCTTTCCAACGTGCCAACAAAGAAGTGGACCGACTTGAGAACGAATTGGACGAAGCAACTCCTGACGCAGCAGCTATCCAGGTGCGCGAGGCAGACCTTGCAAAGGCCCAAGAAGAATTGGTGATAAGTGAGGGAACATTTGAAGATTTGAAAATCTCAAAATACCAGCTTGATGATGAAAACAAGGCGAACAAACGGGAGATGGATGAAGCGCAAAAGGTTGTCGCTGACTACCAGTTCCGCCTCGAGAAGGCGCAATCGACGGTTCGAAAAATGCAGGGCACGCGAGAAGAACAGCTCAAGCTCAAGAACGCCGCAATCGACCAGGTTGCCAAAGCTGAAGACATCAAGAAGCAGTGGCAAGCAGAGCTAGCCGATCAACAGGCCCTGCTGGTAGAAGTGATTGATGGTGCGAAGACCATCTGTGAAGAGCGTGTTTTTGTCCCCCCTGACAAGACATCTGACAAGCTCCAAGAGGCGATGGTCAGGATGGAGAAAACAAGAAAGGAGACAGAAAGGGAGCTCGGTGGATCGCAGCTGGATCTTACTCGGGCGGCAAGTGAAGCGAAGCAGAAGCACCACGATGCAATACAGGAGTATGAGGACATCGACAACTTGTGTCGTGTAAGTATAGTTGCATGTACGATTTTGACTTCTGCTAACATGGTACAGCAACTCATGAAGACCCTGGATAACCGACGTCTTCGGTGGAAGCAATTTCGAAATGGCATTTCTGTCCGGGCGCGGGTCACGTTCAACTATCTGCTGAGCGAACGCAAATTCAGAGGGACGCTTCGTATCGACCACGAAAAGGCTCTTCTTGATATTCACGTAAGTTTGAACATTAGCCCGACGCCGCACAATGCGCTGACTTTGCAAGGTTCAACCGGATATCACAGAGCGAAGCGGAGATGGTAGAGAAACCAAGACGCTCTCTGGAGGAGAGAAATCCTACTCTACCGTGTGCCTGCTCCTCTCACTATGGGATGCAATGGGCTCACCCATTCGTTGTCTCGACGAATTGCAAGTTGTCCAAAGTCCCCTTTTCCCTGCACTAGCTAACTAATTGTCCCAGTGACGTCTTCATGGACAATGTCAACCGTGAGAGAAGTTTACACATGATCATCGAAGCTGCTCGCCGCTCAATCGGTCGACAGTTCATCTTCATCACCCCACAGTCTATGAGCAGCGTCACCCAAACCTCGGACGTCAAGATCATCAAGATGTCGGACCCAGAGCGTGGGCAGACGGCACTGAACATGGGACGAAGTTGAGATGCCCCTGGGATACGGCGTTGATTTGTTGAGCATTCTATCGGCGTTGTTGTATGAGGCTACTAACCATGGAGTTTTTGGATGGTTATACCCGCTCACAAAGGCAACTTTGATTTCATGGCAAGCAGTATACATGTATAGTACCGTAGTTTCAGTGCAGACGCAAGACTTGGATTGTCTCCGCAGTTGCATGTACATGCGCAGTGGACGGATGCATGTACGCCTAGCATGGTGAAGTAAATCAGTCGAATTTTGCTATGTGGAGAAACTGGTTGTGTTGACTCTCGTATCAAGGTGGTCGTAGGACGTGTCAGCTCATTTGCCGTGCAAAGCGTAGTTGCGGCGTAAGCGGCGGCCGGGGCTGTTGTACAGGGAAACGGAGTTGGCATGATGTGCACAGGGTCTCTTGGCCAACCACGTCGATTGCGAGGTCTGATACAACACTTGCACTCGACGGCTCGCTGGCAAACCTTGGGCACATGTAAGAACCGTGTTCTCGTGCTGTTCCCGCACTCGGCTTCCCACCTCCTCCGGGAGCCTATATGCTGCCCCCCACGACGTGTCGGTCCCACACACACCATGGCCGACTCCCCACCCTCAACACCCGACACTCCACGAACTGCCTCGCCGCTACCTTCCGAGAGGGACCTCGCCCGCGCCTTTTCGCCCTCCTCGGACGATGCGCATACCGCCGAGATGCAAGCTCACGCCGAGGGTGTGTGGATGAGCGCCCCAGCGCCGAGCATGGTGAATGCGACGGAATCAGCTGAGCAGGGCGTAGAATCGAAGGGGAAGGAGAAAGCCACCAAGGGCCCCTTGAAGTTGCTGGACCTGCCTATGGATATCCTGAAGGAAATAATACACCAGGTGAGTAGGGCGGGCTTACGCGCAGCGCCTTGCAGGTGCGGCACGGTGTATGCTGACCAGCAACTCAACAGCTTCCACACACAAACGACCTCACCTCGCTCTGCCTCTGCCACTCGGCCCTCCATCGTCTCACGATCCCGTGCATATACTCGCGTTTCGACATTGTGTGGCCGGACGAGAGCACCCACAACGAGCCTCGCGCCGGCGTGGACGCCCTTACCTATGGCCTGGCGACACTGGTCATGGGCGACGACTGCTTCCCCCACCAGAACCGGCTGCGACTACAGGGACAGACGCCAACTTCCATACTGAGGACTGCCGCAAACCCATACCCCGTACCGCAGCGGCGGTTCGGCAACTACTACGGACAGTTCACAAAGAAGTTCTCACTCGGCAATGGACCGCAAGCATGGGTTCAGGAGTACATGATTACAAAGGAAGGCGGAAAGATGCTGGGAACGCTGGTAGCGCTTGCCATTGCGCGTATGGTCAACCTCGAGACATTCGTGTGGGACATGCCTACGGGTGTGCTTCGCGATGTCTGGCTTGCCCTGTCAAGCCTCGCGCACAGGAGTGATGGCGAGGAATGCCGTCTGGACCGGCTCTGGATACGATGGCACGACAACACAATCGACGCGCCAATCCCACCACCCGCACCGCCCATGATACTCAACAACCAGAACTTACCTCCGCCCCCAAACACTACGCATCCAAGCGGTCTTGGCACCGTGCAGGCTCCCATAGTCGTAGTGCCCCCGTACGCACCGAGCAGCATATCTGCCCTAGATCGAGTTGAGCACCCTACCTTTTCCGCCATACCTGCGCTGAAGAGCTTGAGTGTCTTGGATATCGACGAACTGCCATACCTCGATGAGATGAGCATCCTGATCGCAAGGTCCCAGAGGAAGCTACGCGAACTAAGAATTGGCATAGCTGCTCACGCACAGCAGCGAGACTGGGTGACGGTTTGGGAAGGTGAAGGTCTGCAGCAAGTCGACTACAATGCTACAACGACGGCAGCCTCTTCAATAGGAGAGAAGAGGCTAGGAGGTGTTCTGGGCATCCTTGTTGGCCGCATACACAACATGCGCCATTCAGAAGAGCCTCCGTCTCACAAGTCTGGCGCTACTGGTGTCACGGAGCGATCAGTGGAAGCAACGCCGGCCAAGTCGGCCGCATCCCTACCCCTGCCATCTATCGCCTCGCTCTCGTTACAAGAACGGGATCTGGAGCAGGACGTAGACCATTTTGGTAACCCGATGGAAGACAACTCTATAACGGAGGGCGTTAGTCTGTTTAGCGACAACCAGCCGAATGGTTCTGACCAAACTGCACAGACTGCCAACACAGACAACTCGGCTTCGAAGACATATGCAGAGTCCCCTCCTCATGGCGAGACCACCAATTCACAAGACGAGCCCCTACTGACTGGCAAACTGAAGCTAGAAGTCTTGGAACTCGAACGCGTTCCTCTCTCCGTCCCTGTTCTTCGCAGAGCCTTTGACTGGTCGATTCTGTCGACATTGACTCTTCTCCATTGTAGCAACCACGAACAACTGTGGAAGATACTGCGAAGGACATATACCCCTCGTCCCCCTTACCCCGGCTCACCATCTTCGTCCAAGGCGTACAAGGCGTCTTACACTCTCCGGACAGAGTATCAACTCAACCTCAAGCGAATTCACACCAATACCGTGTCCCCATCGCTGATCACTTTCCTTAAAGAAACACTGGCGCCCAATAGTCTTGAGGTGCTCTTCCTTCAAGAAGGCCGGTCTTACTCGTCTACGGTGACAGTAGACGCAATCTACAAGGGGCCGTTGAAGAGACACCGAGGTAGTCTGAAGAAATTAATGATTGACAGTGGTGAGAAAGGACCAGACGGACATACGAGTGCTAGTTCGAGATGGAGACGATGGATGCTCAACCGTGAGATTCTGACATACATAACAAGCGGTCGTATGAACAGCCTGCGAGAACTCGCAGTGTCTATCGATTACAAGGATTGGGTATGTTGCAACTCCTTGCAAGTCGAATACGTTTGACTAACTTTTGTAGCATCACTTTCTTCAGCGTCTTCCGTACATCCCTCATATTCGCTCTCTTTATATTCCCTTTATTGCAGACCACGCACATGGCAGCAACATAGATCCGCGCGAGCTCGCCTACCAGATTCTCGACATTGTGCATCTGCGACCGGAAATCGAGCTCTGCTACATGGGTCTGTCTACTAAGTGCTTCGAGATACTGGAGAACCGGCCATCGAACTATGATCTACGGCACGATGGTATGCACGCTGATGGTAGCGGCTCTGCCTACGCAACACACGATCCCATGCTTTCTGACGACGAGAGCGAAGCCACGGAAGACGAAGATGACGACGACATGGACGAAGGCGCTATGCCGCCTGGTGGTGACGACACAGAGAGCGAAGCGAGCGATGATGTGGATGTGGAAAGCGATGACGAATCGTTTGTGCAAGACTCGCAGAGAGGCCCAAAGTTACGTGTTCGAGAGATACTCTTCTACGAGGAACGAGTCGAGGCGTTCAGAAGGCGGCACGGCGTACTAAGGCCTTGAGATGATGGGATTGATACGACAGGTATGGTGTTATATAGTGTTACTGCGTCATTTACTATGTGCATGGAATGGAGCATGAAAGGGAATGGAGTAGGACGGCGTATATGGTAGATATCCTTGATAGTTCTTCATCAGGTATGTGGTCTCGAGACCTGGGAATCTTTTGTGCGCGAAGTCAGATGGCTTGATACGTTTCAGGGCAATTTAATGTTAGATGTTAGAAATTCATCATCATTTAATTCAGCATTGGTAGTGAAAGTCGACTTGGTACCTTCTCTTCATGTGTAATTTCTATTGACGCGTTAGGATACCTAGATACCTCCCAAGGAAGGACAAAGATAGCCCCACGTGAATACGCGTTGTGCATGGCCCGAGCTCGATTTGTGACGATCGCGACTGCTGCATGCGAGAGCAAACAGTATTACCAGCCCGACATCCAACCATGAGCAGGCCTGTGGTATCCGCATATCTACTGCCAGAACGCCCGTCACTCACACGCCTATGAGAAAAAAACCCCAGATCATCTCGAACACGAACCTAAACACTGGCCTAGTTGGGCCCCCAGCGTCTCCGTCCCGCCATGGACCATTCGACCCTCGTCTTCGCGTCCGTCTTCCCAGTCCTCTCCTTCTCACATAGCACGCCGACGCCGGTTGCGACACCGGATTTGGGTCACATAGCGCCAGGTACCTCGTTTGGGAGTCCCTATGCTCTGCGGAATTCTGAGAGCCGGACGCCAGCGCAAGCACAGGGCCAGGGACAACACAGAGCAGTCAAGCGCAACATAGCATGGAGCTGCGCAACACGATTCCTGAGTTTACCAAAAGACGTCAATTGCGTTTTGAGAACACAAAAGAATAGAGAAGTCGAAGAAGCGCTGAGCTTTTTGTTGAATGGAGAGGGCAAGAGTGATGATGGAAAGGAAGAGACTCTGGTTGAATGGTATACAAATGAGTGCAGGTTACACTTTGCGAACCACGTTCGGCCAGTGCTAGAAGATCTATGGAGGGACGAGGTTGAACTCGAGCGGTCGTGGGATATTCTTGATGAAACCCAGCGCATCCTCGAGCAAGTGCAGAACGCGTATCTCCAACCTTTCACCGAGCACTTGCTGCCCCTTGTGCGGCAGAACGCCAGTAATACGACCCTTCGGCCGAGCAGATCTACACAGATAGCTGACTCAGATACTGCGAGTGTAGCCGATTGGAAGTTCCGCCGGGATGTACAAGCTGTCTTTGCACATTGTCTGCCACTACAACGATATGGGAAAACGCTGAGCTATGTTCTTTACGACGCAGGATGCCGATTGTTTCGCATATATACCCGAAACGACGGTATGCAGCCGAGTACCACACCCGAGAACACACAAGAGTTCAGGAAGCGGATGACCATGCTGCTACAAAGCCTCGAGCGCGTTGGGCTTGGTGGTGATAGTGCACAGAAGGCTTTCGCGCATGCGATGAATAAGCTGTTTGACTCCTTCATTACAAGCCACTACTTAAAGGTAGATTGGTACTCCAAGAAGTCCATCGTGCCGCAGTTAAGGTTGTGGATTCAAGACGGCTTCTGTCCGCTTGTCGAACTGGTATTGGAATGTCTGCGGTGCGAGCAGAGCAATATCCAAACCACTGAACTGACCTCATGGCAAGAGATGGCGCTGGGTAGGTTGGGACGAGCAAGAGTCGACAACTTGTTCGATTTTGTCATCAACTGGGACAAGAGTCTGGGTGCCATTCTGGACATCAAAGAGTATCTACGAGTTTCGAACGCAAAGCAGCATCTTACTTCAAGCTTTTCCCAGCAAGTATCGAGACGACTATTACATCCTGGGGCTACGACCACTTACATACTGAACGTCTACATATTCATCATTCGATCGTTCCACGAGCTAGAACCTAAGGGCGTACTCTTAGAGCGCGTAGCTAGACCGATCAGGCGGTACCTAAAAGAGCGTGAAGATACAGCACGAATCATCATATCAAGTCTACTTACTGATCTCAGCGATGAGACGGGCAGTAAGTTCTCATCGAACAGCGAGCTCTCATATGAGATTGCTAGTGAGATGGGAAAGCCGTTCGCAAACTACGGACAGGATACTGATGAGGAGCTCAACTGGAATGACATGAACTGGCAGCCGCTTCCACAAGACGCATCACCAGACTATAAAAAGTCAAAGGTCGAGGATGTGATATGGTTTTTGCTAACACTCTGGGAGCGAGAGGATTTTATCAATGAGCTGAAGAACATATATGGAGACCACTTGCTTAGATGTCAAGACCCTGAGTATGAGAAAGAAATCCGACTTTTGGAGCTCATCAAAGTGCGGCTAGGCGACGACAAGCTGCAGGCTTGCGAAGTCATGCTGCGAGATGTTTTAGAATCAAAGCGTATCAACGGTACCATCCGCACGACAATCAATGTACCAACTGCAGCATCACTTGTCACGCCAGATCACCGTAGCATAGAGCCTCGAACGCCAGATGGCCAACACCCGCGGACACCTCAGCCCCGAAGGCCAACACGGTTAACTCGAAACATCACTCCCTCTACCTCCAGTGCCGCAACACCCCCTGGTCCCACCCTCAACGCACAGATTTTATCATCATTCTTCTGGCCCCAGCTTCGCGACGACACATTCCGCGTACCTGCGCAGATTGATGCATTACAGAAGGAATATGAGTCACGTTTCGAGCGTATCAAAGGAATGCGCAAACTGCGGTGGATGAATGCCTTGGGCGACGGCTCCATAACCCTCACATTTGACGACCGCACTGAGGACTTTGATCATCTCACACCCTGGCAAGTTAGTGTAATTTATGCCTTCCAACCTCAGCCCGACGAGGAAACAAAGCATGCAGACAAAGGCGGCGAGGGTATAACACGCAGCGTGTCTCAGCTAGAAGAGATGCTGGAGATGGACGAAAGCCTCGTACACCAAGCCCTCTCCTTCTGGGTGGGCAAATCCGTCCTCCGCTTCCACGTCCCATCCACATATTCTGTTATCGAGTCCCTCCCTAAACCCACATCTAAGACTGGTGCGCATGATGCCGACGCTGCAGCCGCAGCAGAAGAACTAGCTACAATCCAAGCCAACGCTACAAACAACACCGTGAAGTCGCAAAGCGAGATGCTAGAGGAGAAGAAGGATGTCTATACGGCCTTCATATTGGGGATGCTAACAAATCAGGGTAATATGAATGTGGGCCGCATAGCTATGATGATGCGGATGATGGTTCAAGGCGGATTCCCGTTTGGACCTGAAGAGGTGAAGAAGTTGTTGGGCGAATTAGAAGTCGATGGCAAGGTTGTTAGCATGGGTGGCGATGTCTGGAGCGTCAGGAAATGAGAGATTCTTTGTAGGTATGCTAGTGCCCCTGTTCATCGCGAGGCGCACATCAATGCATATGTCATGTCATTCCACTATCCTCTCTCAGTACAAAACTCTAAATGAGTGTACAACGTACATATCATCAATAACGCACGCCTCACCGCCTCAGATACGAACGAATTAACCACGGCTCGAAGATGTCGCTACCAAAGAACTCAAGCTACAATAGTCAACGCTGCCAAAATTCGCGCGCCTCATGCACTTCAACACTTCTTCTTCATCACAACTTGCCCGACAGCTGTGTTTAGCCCCGCTGCAATAACATCGTACGACACAACGGATCTTTTTCGAATTCGGCGACTGCACCTCTGCAGAACGAGCGCATTCTACCCTCATCATTGCCAGTTGCGAGCATCGTGATGCCGCTCTCTGTAATCACTTGTCACACGATTCACGTGCACGCCTCGCAAATGTTTCCGCGTTACGAGATACCAACAAAGACTCGCTTCGCGGTCTACTGCTTGTTATCCCTACAATCGGTATCCCTCTTCCAAATGCGACCTCTACGTGACGCCGACATCGACGTACGATTACTCTGGATAGCGCTTCCCGCACAATTAATCTGGATGGCACTTCCCTTGGTCTTCGTCCTGAGGTTCTATAGTATAAACGACCACTCTAGCAACGATGCCAACGATCAACGTCCAACATACGTAGACCCGAGTCCTCCCACATCATACACAATACTACTTTCGATGACGCCTTTCCACCTCGGTCAGATCGCAATCTGGACACGAACCTACCTTGGCTCCCCACCTACCTTCGCCAAAGACATTACCTTCGCCAAAGACATTACCTTCGCCAAAGACATTAGCGCAATCATTCAAGAATGCACTCTCCACTTCGCAATGTCCTTTTGGGTACTCTCCGAGTGCGAGTTCGTACGCGCGTACTGGCATTCTCATCTCCAAGAGTGGCCCGTCACTCTCATCACACTTCCTTTCTCCATCCCTTCAGCCAATTTCGATCATGACTTCCTCGTATCTCGAGATTGTTTTAGCTAGCGGTGGCCGTGCCAATATTACATGCCACCCCGGGACGGATGGTGGTCCCTAGAGGCTCTCTTGGGAGTTCCACTCGATATCTTCTACATGATAAGTTTCACGTGGGTGGGGATGGTCTGCTTCCTCTATCCAGTCAAGCGCTTCGCGAATCCGGATCCGAATGGCGACAGCTTTACCGTGAAAAACGAGTTCATGGGAGTGTTCTTTACGCCAAGGTCGTACTGGTTCATATACCTTGACTTTGCGCTCCAGCGTCCAGTCCGATTAGTCAACAGGATGCTGTTTGAATTGGTTGCGGAGGGTATTAAGAGAGCTTTGGATCAGTGGAGGCAGCGAGATCTGCATGGGAAGGCTGATGGAAGTGACCTCGGGAGTACGAGCGACATATCCGCGTCGCGCACCCTTCGCACCGGCTCACCTCAATCCTGTTTGAACAGCGAAAACATTGCCTACACACGGTGGCTGGTAGCTGAAGAACTCTACGAGAATCCATGGAACGACTGGGATACTTCGAATCGCGATGATATTTCACCCGAACGATATATCTCTCAACCTCGCGAAGACCATTCGAACCTCCTGTACATGGTCAAGCCTTCAGTATGGGCAGCTGCGAATAGCGGTAGAGGAACACGAGCCGAATGGTCAATATACAAAGTGCCTGGCATTCATCCTTCGGTATCACACAAGGAGCAGACTGAGCTTTGGGTGGAGATATCGAGCAGGATTAGGTCGAGAGGAAGGCGAACTGGAGGATACGGTGGATTGCGGCGGCTCGGGAGAACTCAAGGATCTATTCGACTGCGACAGTCGTGTTGAGCAACACAGAGGAGATGGTTCTGTGTCGTCTTCAGCCATGTTGAAGGCCAGCACTTTGTTGGAGAGCACAACGGTGCTATCGGCTGCTCAGATGACGGGCGTCGGCGGCATGCGACTTTTGAAGCTGGACTCAAGGGAGGCGATGGTCGGACCCAGGATACCGCAGGTTCTTCCTCAATGTTTCGACCAGACTGCGCTAACCAAACTCAGACGATTTGACTCTACAAGGTAGTGTAGCTCCGGTCGCAAATAATCTCACACGCATGAGCCTGGTTTCTGGCTTGGCCATGAAAGAACCACTGACGTCTTGCCTAGGTCGAATTCGAGCGCCCGCGGCAAATCAGCCCTTGGATCTCACGTCTAATCATCCGCCGCATCACACGTCAGAAGACTCGGCACGAGTTTTGCTCCCAGACTCAGCTCCAAACACGAACCTGAATCGATGGCGAACCTGGGGTTCGGTATATTGGCGGAGAACCTTGGCGGCTTCTTCGGATTGGCAGCGAGCAGGAAACGTACGGGTTACAGTAGATGGGAAATACTACGTGCGTGTATTAGTTGTTGTGTTTTGGGGTAAAGCCATTGCAGAGCATTGTTGGCGGCTGTTCGTTGGGGTTGAGAATGATGTTGGACGGCCAATCTGACAAAGGATGGCTCAGGGTCAGTCTGATACTGCTGCTCGACGTACCAACGAATCAATATGTCCTTGGTCTCATTCAGATCTACACATACTGCCCATGCAATTGAATGTGAGCACTCCAGTCTTCCAAAGTTGTCTACAAACACCGCAGCTGCGCCATTAGACACGCCACAGGCAGCTAGAATCCTCGGACACACGATGGCGGATTCGTAAAGATATGTTTTAGCCAACAGAAATCAGTCACTGTAGATTAGGCATTCACAAACGGCTTTGCATAAGGGCATGTTTATAAGTTTCGGGATCTTTCATATCCGAATAAAGAATTTGTCTGCCGCGCCGCATACATGCTTGCAGGCGCGGACGCGGATATGGGGCGCAGTGCAGTTGAAGCTGCAGTAGCGTGTATACACGGGATCGATAAGCGAGGAACTTATCCATCTCCCGGTGCTTTTCGTATCGGATGCATTAAGGCGCCCTTGCATAATCTATATGCAAGTCGGATCACATTTCTTGGAAAACGTATTGGTGTGGATACATGTGGGAAAGAAAGAAAGAAAGACGACAGATGGCCCGCTAGTGAGCGTGGGGGCGATATTCATGTGTAATTCGATTTAGGTCTGTGGGAGGAAGAACAAAGTCACGTATGGGTGACACGGGCCCTTTTCTCTTTACTCAATGACGAGCAACCTCTCTGTAACATCCAGAGCGCCCTCAAAATTACCGCTGATGGCATAGATGCTCTGCATTGCAAACGCCGCATCCGTGCTGAAATCCTCGTACCCCCAATTGCCGTCCTGGCACCGATCTCCTGCCTCCTGTTTAACGTCATCACTAAGCGCACAGCACCTTTCATACGCTGGAAGCGCTAGCGCGACAAGACCCAGCCCATGCCACATCCTTCCCACGTTGTACTCCGCTTCTTGCCGATGGATTGCATGCGGGCTCTTGCTGCGGAGATCATAGTATCTGTACACAAACGACAGACCCTGTTGAATCTGGTATTGCCGGTTTTCGGAGAGCCGTTTCATGGCGTGTTGAACGTAAGCAACACCAATACTTAGATTCAATACTGGATCTTCAGGCGAGATGGTAAAGGCACGGAAGTAATAGTTCAGCGCCGCCACATAACTACCACCGCACATCAAAACATGTCCATACAACGCGAAGAGTGCGGGATCGTGGTCTTTGGCTCTGTCGACATCTTCGACGTTGATGTTGTTTCTGAAACCTCCTTTGCTGTTCTTTGTATCGCGGAAATTATACGCGGCGCGCTGTGCTGGGGTCAGGAGCGCGTAGTCGATAGTCTTGATGTAGCGCATAAGCACTTTGTACGCAGGGCCAGTCGCGAATCCTTCGGGGAAGGAACATAGACGGTTAACGGCACCATAAAGACGGAAGAGGTCTGTCCCGAAAGGGTACTCTTTTAGGAGCCAGCGCGTCGCTACAGATGCCTGACGTGAATTGTCTGCTGCTAGAGCGCAAGTAAGGCGACACAATTGTAGTTGTTGGTGGTAGGTTCGGGAGCGATGGAAGACGTTGGCTTGAGTGGCAATATCGAGTGTAGCGAAACACTGTTCTTCATCTCCTTCGCTGGCGAGCAGGATAGCATAGCGACCGAACGCATCACACCATTTGTCGAAGTGTATGCCCCAGAAGTCAACCGGAGCTGAATCTGGTCGCTCTCTTAGCTCAGGATCTGTTTCACCGTCTTCGACATTGTTCGCTACTACAGCAAGTACCATTAGCGAAGACTCTTTCCATAGATCGCCACCCGTAACTCGTCGGAAGTAAGTCATTAGGTCTTCCTTTCGGTTCGAGTAGAACAAGTCGAACGTAGAGAATTCTTCGATGAGCTCCCGAGTGATGGACAACACCTCGTGTACGGCAACCTCGTCTCTTTCCTCTGCCGCTTCCCAAATTTCGTCTAGTCGCTTGAAACTCGAGACGATCTCCCGATGCTGAGCTCGAGCGGCTTTGAGGTCGTCGGCAAAATCTGTTGCCAGTCTCTGAAGCTTGTTACGAAACAGTCTGTTGTTGATCGCTCGATACGGCACGTCGGTACCTTCAAGTGTAGTTCGTCTCGGTTCGATATCGGGAAGCTGCTCAGCATCTTCATCACGAACAGCTAAGAAAGCCTGAACTTTTGGCGCCTTCGCTCTTTTCGTGCGGAAGAAACCCTTCTTAGGACGTTCGGTCGGGGCGACAAGTGGAGGGAGTTCCTTGTTGCCGTTCTCATCTACAGAATCTTCGTCTTCACCGGTCTGCCCGGTAGCTGTTTGCATCCTCTTCCTATTCCTCCGAACCGTACTCTTTCGAACGCCATATCTACCACGAGCTTGCCTTCGCTGGTTATAGTAGTATACTCTGAGCTCATCATATGCCTGGAAACCCAGGTTTTTGAGCTTGTGGCCGTACTTGTCGCGGTAGATAGTCTCAGCACGCTGACCAGCTTCCTGCCACATGCCCTGATCTTCGAAGAACTTTGCAAGGACAGCGAGGTCATCGTAGTTCTCTGCCGGCCACTTCTTCAAGATCGGAATGACCTCTGCCGCCCTCTCAGCCCTCCCTAGATTCTTGAAGCATGTGTGCAGGCCAATGTAGCTTTGCAGGTTGAATTCGTTAGAGTTTTTGTCGAATAGAGGCTCGTAGAAACGCAGCGCATGGTCATCGTTGCCTGTAGCGTGAAGAGCATCGCCAATTATACGGAATAGATCTTCGTAGTCCCAAATCAGAGCCTCAGGACCATGGTTGTCCGGCTCCAACATTTCAAGGTGGTGCTAGATGTTCGTCAGTAACGTCCAGAATGTAGCACGAGTTCGAGGCTTACCATAGCTTCTTCAAAGTCGTCCTTGCTCCTGCGCAACCGGAACAAGCCTAATTTCACTCTGATCTCCAATGGTAGAGTTGAGCCGTATGTAGCATCCTGCGATTTTCGAACAAACGGAGGCACAGTAACGCGTCTCGGCTCATCTTCGATGTCGAATTCACAGTCGTCTTCGAGTTTGTCCCAGAATGTCTCAGAACGCCTACCCTGCTTCCACCGGGCAAGCTCCTTCAGTCGTACAACACCTGCTTCGTAGCTACCCGCTCGATCCAAAAGGTCGAGATAGATATTGATTAGTTCCCAATCAAGTTCATTGTTGACCGGATCCCGGTCAGGCTGTGTGAACACATCAATAGCCTCTTCGAAGCTGTTCAGCAGCTTGTTGAGATGTATTCTAGTCTGTTTCGGAGAGGCAGTACCCATCATTGCCATAATCTTCAGTACACTCGTATCAGGGTCTTCTCCTTGCTCCTTGCGTGTTTTGAGCATCTTCAGACCGAGCGCTACGCATTTGGACGAACGACCTAGTTGTGCCTCGATCTCGAGCTTGTGACTACGAGCTTCATAATCGTTGTTGAGCAAGATAATCTCGTTCAAACACGGAAGAATGGCAGCCGACTTGTTCTCATCTGTAAATTGTGGATGCTTTTCAGGATCGAGCTGTTGTATGCGCTCAATGATATACTGCCAGAGACCAGGATCACGCTTGGTTGGCGCACCAGCCAGTAGTACAGCCAGTGAGTCCTCCTCCCGACCCATCTCGGTATAGATCTCCGATGCGATGTTGTAAGCATCAAAGATTTCTGGGTTCAACTGAATAGCCTGCTGAGCGAACACAAGGGCAGCTTCATAGTCTCTTGCGATGAACTTTGCGTTAGCCTGTTGCTGCAACGACTTCCATTCTGCGCCTGGGTCGGCAACAGGTCGAGGTCCTCTAGGACCTTTTTCCCTTCCAGGCTTGCCTCGCTTCTTTTTAGGCGTTGGTCTAGCACCATTGTTGCCACCTCGACCACCACGGCCTCGAGTCGAAGGCCGACCTCGTTTCCCACCACGTCGCCCTCTGGCAGGTATGATACTAGGGGTTACTGCAACCTGGAGTGCACCTCTGCTTCTGCTCTTCCCTCTCTTGTATTTCGTTCGCTCTTCGACATCCTCGAATTCGACACCTAGCTCCATCTCATCTGGGTCACCTTCGTCTTCTTGTGCATCTTCTGATTCGTAGTCTGCATCGATCTCTGAATCATCCTTGTTCTCGTATCGAGCGAGCTCTTCGTCTTCCTCCATGGCACGTCGCCAATCATCCTGCTCGGAATCCGAACTGTCGAAGTCGCGGTCGTAGCGCGAATCTCGGAATCCGGTCGCATTGGTAAACTCATCATCATCCTCTTGTCCGGGATTTGCTGGAATGAACCCTTCGAAGACCGCGGGTCCGCTGGTAGCATAGGCTCTATTGAACGGGTCCTGGAATCCACCACTGGTGAAAGGAGGAGGCTCTTCCTCTTCCAGATCCTCTACAGCGCTGAGCGGAATAAGAGGTATGAAAGGACTCCGGGCTGGCGGTTGATGGTGAAGCGGATGCTGGAATGGAGGTGGGAGTTGATATATTTCCTGAGGAGGAAATACTGCATTTGGCGGGAATTGTACAGGGTATTGTTGCCTGCCATGTTGTACATGTGGTTGCATCAAGGTTGGTGCAGCAGCTCCGAATGTACCTGCAACGGGTAAGAAACGTCTATTGCTCGACGGCTGCACCAGAGGCCACTGCTGCCCATAGTATCCATTATTGGGGTTCATTATGAGCTTGATTGTGTTGCACTTGCGTTAGTTCAGGCTTGTTAGTGATCAATCATTGTGGTATATAGTACCGAGAAAATGGCGATGGTGATGGAAGCTTGGTGGCAGGGATTGTAGCCGTTGCAAAGCCTGGCGCACGTGCCTTGCGCTAGCACATAGCGTGCATCTCGCCAATATCCAGTACGTCCCTGACACATGAGACCCTTCAGCAATTAGGCTTTCCTTAGATCCCGTCTTTTAGAATCCGATGTGACCCTTGCAGTAAAGTCTTTTTTGTCATACCCTACCAACTTCTTCTTTATACCCAGCATAGAGAGGTTGGAAGGTGTACCAACGGACTAAGAAGAGAAAAGGTCACCACGAAGAAGAACGAAGCAGTCGGAACCTCTGGCCTGCTGCTCGGGCAGGCCCAACCGCTTTCCCGACCACTAGTTTAGCAACCCTTGTAAGTGTTTCAGGTAAGATGCCGACTGTATATAGAATAGATGCCAACCCTGAATCTTGGAAGGGTCTATTATTGTCTTGTTAGGATTCGCCGTCGTGACTGCACTCTTGGATAGTCATTGCGCCCGCATCAGCCTATTTTGAAGCATATACCTTATCACCTCATATGTCTTGCGATTGTTGTTTCTATCTTCATCACGACCATGTTATCCGGACATTTCCTCATCATGCTGTCGATATGTTTCACCGCATCCGCTCTCAACATACCGAAACATGACACACAGTTGCCTCTCCTTCCAGAACACGAGGGCCATCGAACGCAATCGCAAAACACCCGCGTCCTGTTGGCGTTAAGAGAAAGCGAAAGCGATGTGGAGCATCATGTTGAGATACCTTTACATACGCCTGTCTTTTCGGGTAGGCTGCATCAAATAGGCTCCATTTTGGCCTGCTTTAACAAAAATCGCCAGGCGTAAACTTTCCGAATCAGCTGAGCACTATAGAGATCACAACAGCCACCGAACAGGGCCAATCGATATCACAGACAAGGCTTGACAGGGTTATATGCAGAATCATACCAAAAATTAGCGCGGAGGAGCAAGAAGCAGTGGACTTGGGAATGGAGCTTAAGGTGTTGCCGTGGTTTGCAATAAGAGATGGAACCGTCCAAGTCGATGATAGTAGTTCCAGATGGTTTCTCGGAGGCAGAAGAGTAGAGAGTTACGAGTGTCGATGACAGGGTAACGGAGACCAGAGATGGGAGAGAAGTAGAAGGCAAATGTTAATGTATAATGACGCATGCTTTGTCAGGGTATAGTACAATGGCCCTCAATGGCCTCGTGAAGCAAAACGCCGTTTATGCAGGTCTGACATGTGGTCAGACGTTGTTGTCCCCCTCGCCCATACCAACCATCTCGTATTCACCAGCGCCGTCTCTCCCTCTGCCTCTGCCTCTTCCCCTAGACTCTCCACCCTCGTCCTCTGCGGCTGGTTGTGATGGCGACGGCTTCTTGCTGCCAAAGTTGATTGGCCTCAGTTCCCGCCACTGGCATGCCCATACGCCTAGCGAAGTCATGATGGTGGCGCTACATATCTGCAGCGCCCACCAGAACAAGTTGGCGGGTATGGCGTGGGTGTACAAGGAGGTGACAATCAAGTGGATAAAGTGTACAGTCAGGGCGAAGTCAAGAACGAGTTTGGAGCGGGCGATGAGAAGTAGTATGAAGATGGCACTGCAGCGTGTTAGATGGTGGCATGACTGGGACCAGCGCGTCGCAGCACTTACCAGGCGAGGCTGTTCAGCACCCAGACCAGACCCAGAGTCCATCCGATTGTGGTATCGCCGCGTAGACCTTGCCAGCCGAACAAGAGATCGGTGCTGACCTCCTTGCCCGCTACCAGCGCGGTAAAGACAATAAGGATGCCGGCGCATGCATAGTAGGCAAGTTGCAGCAGTAGGATCTGGGAGAGTATGCGGGTCGGGGACAGATCCGCAAGTGCGCCAGGTCGTGGAGGGCGGCGTCGGCGTGGCATCAATACGCAGGCGGTGCGCTATGACATGAGCACAAGGGGAGGCGGAGGGTTGATTGATCGTAGGTGCAAGGTTGCCTGTTGATTGACGGGTTCCCGTAACCGTTCGGCGAAACGTGGGCAGTCAGCGCCGATGTCATAGCTTTTGGGCCCGCCAAGCACGGATTCGAGATGATTGCGCTGTTGGACGTGTATTGTCAACAATTCTACCAAGCCTACATAGTCTGATCTCGAGCATCCCCTCCCGACGTACGCAGCCACCCCGAACAGCCTCCTGTGACACTCGCCTCCCGTGCCACTGACTCCCGCGCCAGCTGCGACAGTCGCCTCCACCTCCGCATCTTCTCCGCAACCTTCGAAAATCACAGCCATGGGTTGGTTCGGCTCAAGCTCCAAGGACGACGGCGGTGTCAAGAAGACAGACGGCGGCGCATTCGAGTCACCGTCACGATCCAACCGGAAGCAATGCTATGCAGCACGCGACGCCTTTTTCGAATGTCTCGACAAGAACAACATCTTGGATAGCATAAACTCAAAATCCGGCAGGGACAAGGCCGCAAGCTTCTGCGCGTCTTTTGACCAGGAGTTCGAGAAGAATTGCGCACACAGCTGGGTACGTAGAATTTTCTGCACGGCAACCACATTACACTAACAGTCTGCTGCAGGTCGAATACTTCAAGAAGCAACGAGTTGTAAACTACCAAAGAGAACAGACAATCAAAAAGATTGAGATGCAAGGCGGAGAAATTACAGCGCCGCAACTACCACTGCCGGGCCAGAACAAGTAGATGAAGCATGGCCCGACAGTCTTAATAACGCCGCTCATGACCAATGTACAACATGTATACTACTCTCAAAGCGCTCGGAAAAAAGCGTTTGCAGCTGCCACACAGAATGGTTTCCCCTGCAATTCTAGACTTTCTACACTAAAGCGAATATGTCACTCATACACTATCTCGTCGAATCCCATGCAAGACATCGCCTCTACCTCAGACCTCCAGAACAAATGATCGTGCATGAACCTCACACCCTCCGCGCGGAGCTGTAACCCGAACCAAAGGTCTAGCACACTACATTACTCAAGTTGTGACTAGGCTCGCATAATGTCGTCACTGCGTCTTGGGAACGCTGACCGATGTAGCTTAGGTATTCGAAGCGTCGAGCCGCACCTGTCAAGTTTACTCCTTGCATGAAGGGGGGTTCGTCGCATAGACCCAAGGACGAATCGGGGAGTGGCGGGGCCTAGCTTGTCCGTGCAAGCCTACGCGCGGGAGTTGTTTCGACTTGCAGAATCGTAGCCCGAGTGTGTAGGTCAGGCCGCGTCTTGGCTTGCTGTGAACTTCTGTCGGCCACCATACCTCGAAACGCATGTGGACATTTGTCGGCAGTTTCCTTTTGCCCGAGCCTTGTTGCTGACAGCAGAAACTCTGCTGTTGAGGGGGGGGGGACGTGCAAGTCTTCAACTCTGTTCCGTACAACCCCTCATCAGCACAAAAGCCTAATCATCGAGAGCATCAGCATCGACCCGTCAAGTCCAAAATCCTACACGCACAAAACTAGCAAAGTGCAAGAACATGACAAATATCTGACCGCAAGACAACATGTTACCCAATATTGTTCATTAATACTGATTGGCTACTAGAACGTGCAGGTTTTAGCCGCAGAATCGAGCGGCAGTAGCAGCAGTGCGCCGCCTGGTTCGAGTCCTCGGGTCGGCGAGATCTGAGCTTTTTCTCGGTTATCTGTGCATACTGAGAACCCCCACCCCACCATCCCAAGACTTCATCCGAGTCAAGTGGCTTGTTTTACCCCTCTATTGGGTTGGTGTGTCTCTGAAGGATCCTGCCCTCGTGTGTATGTGTGTATGTGTGTGCGTGTCGGTTCGTGTGCTTCGGTTTCGTATGCTTCGTGACCATATCCCATGCTATCCATACCAAGTTTGCGTTGCTGTTAGTCGATTACTTTTACTGTCGGCGTCGTCGCCGAGGACGTCTGTCACCACTTGGTCGGCCAAATAGTCGCAGGATCGAACTCGCGCCTAAAAATCTCCACATCGGACGCGCACCCTTTGCTCGGCGACCCAACCATACTACTGTCAATAGCAAACACGACATCCTGGAATGCGCCATGGAACTCCTCCTCTTCGAAGAGTAGTTTTCTCCACATTCGCGCTACCTCCTGTGCTGGGTTGCGGAATATAGGCCCTAAGCCGAAAGCGCCCAGCACCAAGTTCCTGTGCCCGCAGTAGGATGCGATTCGCAATACTGCCCGCATTTTCTCCTTCATGAGCTCCTTTTCTTGTGCAAACGAGTATTTGCATCCGCTCTCGTCGAGCTTGGGACGTCGCACGGGTGCAACCGATATTACGGGTAGAGAGGCTATGTCTGTAAAGGTTGCATAGTCTTGATCTGGGCCTGCTCGGAACACAACTGCGGCCCGTTAGTGACTTGTGACTCGAGACGAGCGTTGCTGTTATCTCAACGTACAGACTTCAGGGGAATAGATGCCGCCTGTCTGTGGTATTGGGTAGTAGTTTTCTTCTCGGCCCAATTGCGCGTTCCATGGCATTGTTAGAGCATGTACGAGATTGCTTCTCCTCGCGAAACATTCTTCTGGTGCCATAAGCCCGGATTCCCAGTCACCTCCAGCGCGTTTCTCGTTCGCTACGTTGATCACTGGAATTCGCTTGCAGTCTGAATCTGCGTTGACCGCGCTTTGATACCAGCCCAAAGCGTAGTTCACTGGGTCACCTTCCATGACTGCTACTCTTGTGCGTTGTGATGATCGTTTGTCCACGTTGATTCTTATTTGTGCTGAGTCTGGATATAGGTATGAGGTCTTGGAGTCTCGAATGTAGTGTTTCCAGATATGTGGCATCCATATCCGTTTTGCTTCGGCTGCTATCTCTGACGGCTTGGGTCTTGAAGGCGGCATGATAATGAAATACTATGAGCAGCTTTGATATGAATTCTTGTATAACTGTGCGTAGATTGGAAGGATGTATAGTTGCAGCGTGAGATGGCCTGAAAGTAGGGAGGGGCGGGGTGAAACGGCGAGGAGTCTATGACCCTACCGACAAGAGGGTAGTATATCACTTGAGCAACTACTCAGGAGCGTGTGATAACGCAGCTAAATAATGGCTCCAGATCCAGCCGGAGACTAAGCTGGCGCATTTCCGCTGCGCCAGTTACCAAAACGGTAGTCGTCTGCGGGAATCGAGCCCTCCCCTGTTGGATGCAGTCATCGCGGGTGGCATCTACACCAGCAGTAGCGCAAACCTGCAGGAGGATGGGACATGAGTCGTATGCCCAAGCAATTTAGGGTAGGCACAGTGGTCGATGCCCGGTAGCAGCCGCGCCGTGTGATTGAAAATCCATCCTGGTCCTGGGGGCGACGCTGTGCACCCACATAGCTGCCAGGTACCTTGAAGCCACTAAGTGCCGTGTCGGGTTTCTGGGAGTTGTTGGAACAGGGATGTGTGGCTGGATCGATCGTCCAGACCTTGAAGCGATCTGCATAGAGTTAAAAGCGGTTTAGAAAGATCTGGCGGCGTTGAGCAAGCCGATGATGACAGCTGCTAACCAAGATCCTGCACGATATAGCGTCGCAGTGATAGCGTCGGCGCTAAGATCCCGGATGCAGGGTAGATGTACTTTGCTGGAGTGTTGGCGTTCTACGAGGCGTCTTTCTCACCGCCAGCGGATGTTACACGAAAACGTCCAGTAACGAACAAGTCCGCCGCCCTTATGACGGGTGCATGCTTCCAGCATCTCGGCACACGATGGGAGTTGTACAAACAGCCGTCTCGCTTGGTGGGGCGTGTCTTGGTGTGCTGACTGGGGGTGGAGTAGAAGAAGAAGCTGGCCCGTCCAATGATGGTAAAGAGGGCCACCAAGAAGAACAACACGACACCAGGCTCTGAAGTCCATCGGCGCTATGTTCATGGGTCACAAATCTCGTGCACTTTCATGGTCGGTCCTTGGAGCACATAGTGTTTCAGCCATGGCTGAAGTGTTACAGTCACGATTAACGAGCCACAAGAACGGTACGGGCGAGGCCCGCCAGATCCTAGCGCATGGTCAAAGCGTCTGTACGTTTTTTCTTAGGTTTCATAGACAGCATACCGATAGAGGCAGCTGTTGCTACGCTACAGAGCACACCGCACATTTCCTACTGGCTGATCGAAATTTGCCGACGCGTAAATGAGTTGGCTCCTGCCCGTTCGAAGGAGTGTTGTCCGCCCCCAGTACTTACTTCGAAACCGGGGAACCGCTTTGCCTTGCGCACATGCGCTATCACTATGTCGTCCTCGCTGCAGTTCAACCTTCTGCCCAAGCAATATTGCTGAGCTGCTGAGGCCATCTCCACAATCAATCTCCGCTCAGCGGACTCCACGGGACAATGAGGCGCTGACGATAAACGGCTATGTGCGGACAGTGCGCAAGCAAAAGCGTATTGCATTTGCTGCCATAGGAGATGGCTCGACCCTGCAGACAGTACAGGCAGTGCTGCCTCCCCAACTAGCGGAAGGGTCAGTAGTCTACTTCCATATGATCTGTAAGTACTGACATGCTGTGCTATCAGTCTCTCCACTGGTGTTGCAGTGACGGTCACAGGAAAGTGGACACCCTCGCCAGGTCAAGGCCAATCCCATGAACTTCAAGTAAACCAAGTGCAAATACTGGGAGAGAACGATGCTACAGTAAGTTGGTTCGAGTGAGCATTGAAGTAGTCTCTGGGTTCTGATCTGTGTTCCAATTGCAGGCCTACCCAATCCAGAAGAAATACCAATCGCCTGAATTTCTGCGCACTCTCCCGCATCTTCGAAGTCGACTACCAATCAACTCTCTTATATTGCGGCTGAGGTCTTTAGTCACTGCGCAAGTGACCAACTACTTTGCAGAACATGACTTCGTTCAGTGTCATCCACCTATCATCACATCTTCCGACTGCGAGGGTGCAGGAGAGGTATTTACTGTTGCGCCTGAGGTACCATCGTCATCAGACAAATCCTCTTCAAACCGGATCAAGAAGCATGAAGACATGTTTTTCGGCTCTCCCAAATACCTCACCGTTTCTAGCCAGCTTCACCTAGAAGCTTTGGCTCAATCAGTGAACAAGGTCTGGACGCTGTCTCCAACATTTCGAGCCGAAAAGAGTGATACGGCTCGTCATCTTAGCGAATTCTACATGCTGGAAGCAGAACTAGCTTTCGTCGACGACGCCAATGTCGTCATGGACGTTGTGGAAGAGATGTTGCGTTCTGTTGCGTTGAAGTTACAAGAGTCAGTTGTAGGTCAAGAGCTCCTTGAGGCGCGAGCACGAGACCAGGATCAAGAAAGCACATCCGTGTCGCACGCTACCCTCGCACAACGGTGGCAAGGGCTGGCAGAAGGTCCATGGCCTCGAATCTCATACGCGGTTGCGATACGGCACCTCAAGGACGCGGTGGCTCAAGGCAAGGTGGAATTCGAGTATGCACCTGGTCATGAAGACGGCCTACAAACCGAGCACGAGCGATTTCTGGCTGAGAGCTTGGGACGCGGTGGACCCATATTCGTCACTGACTATCCACGCAACATCAAGCCCTTCTACATGGCGCCGTCAAATGATCTGACTGTTGATGAATCGGCTGCACCGACAGTCGCATGCTTCGACCTACTTGTACCTGAGATTTGTGAATTGGTGGGAGGTTCTATGCGTGAACACCGACTGGAACAACTTCTGAAATCCATGGAGGAACAGGGCCTCCAACAAGCGTCGGACGACTCTACCGACGCATCAGACGGCTCTTTGCAGTGGTACGTGGACCTCCGACGATACGGCAGTGTACCGCATGGAGGCTTTGGTCTTGGATTCGATCGACTCCTGTGCTACCTCGCTGGTGTGCCTAACATCAGGGACGTAGTCAGCTTCCCCCGGTGGCACAAGCGGTGCGACTGCTGATGCGCAAACAAAATGTAAGGAGCTCCGGTGTCCCGGACCACGGCATCGCCAGCTGTTGGCGGACATGTTGCTTCGTAACGTGCCATGGCAGATAGACTGGATAGCATTGCTGGTTGCAGGTTATGAAAACCGCGCGTTCATTGTACTTGTACGATGGGCAAACTGCTGGATCATGGTGGTTGATGATAGTTGCAAATGAGTATAATAACCTCGGACCATCCACAACCGATTATGTTGGAGGCACCCACAGATGTCTATAGTAATGCGTGCAGGCTTGCTCTGTTGTTTATTCAGCGCAGACTGGAGATATAAGCTTGTCGTTTACTCATTTACTAGACGCTGTGCTAGGAGCACTTAGCGAGCAGGAGCTCGGCACCGAGCTTGAGTTGACATCCACTATGCAAACTATTCCAAGATCGGACATTATTCAGCATGCGGTTCTGGATGCGCTAACTCAAACCCGGCGTCTTTGCGGGGTATCGTGAGTGAAGTCAGGCTTTGCGTACAAGCATGTAGGGGACAGGACGCAGACGTGTGGCGGACGGTGTATGCGGGCGGAGATGATCTGATAAGATATAGTTGAGTCCAACTATTTCCCCTCCCGCATCCGAGGCACCTTGGCTGAGTCTAGCTATCGCGTTGATGATGTACTTGATCTCCGCGGCACCTGTCAACCATCGTTGCGCATTTGAGGGGTCATGGCAAGTGGCCAGCTGTGGCCAGATTGCAGGGGGCATCACGATGCAGAATTTGCCAGTATATGGGCTGGCATGCGCATGCGTAGGTTTGCCGTGCAAGCTCCGGCATCGCTGTTGATGGCATGGGTACGATGAGAGTAGATACTAGAGAGAGTACCTAGTCGCCGGATTTTAGGTCTGACGTCTCGGCGTTCGGCTGAAGTCATCTCGCGCTTCCGTTAGTTGCAAACAAAAGTAACAACTTCAATTTCGAACCATTGCCCACTCACCTCACCTGGCCCTCTCGCAACGACGCCCGAAGCTGCCATATCTTGCCCAAAAACAAATACCACCATAGTCGCAAACCTGGAATCCGCGGCGCCAGTAACAGGCCGACTTATGGCCCCCAATGATCGGCCATCAGTTCCTATCGAAGAAGAACACGAGTACAGCTCCATTGCACCACCACACATAGGATACACCTGTCGCTGACCTTCGCGCCAGTTATGAAGCGCTCCCGCCAAACTTCTCCCTCACCGCGAATATGCTTGCGGGCGCATTTGCGGGCATCGCCGTACGTCCCCGACGTCGCCGCCGTGAGCACATGTCAACTGACTTGGCGATAGGAACACTCGGTGATGTACCCAGTCGATCTACTCAAGGTGCGCAGCTTTCTATCAAGCTTTTCGTCCACTGCCAACAGTGCGCTGACTTCCGGTAGACCAGGATGCAGATCGTCAACCCGTCGCCGAGCGCCATGTATAGCGGCATCTCCAACGCCATGGTCACTATATCGCGAGCAGAGGGCTTTTGGTCATTGTGGAGGGGGCTTTCGAGTGTGGTGATGGGTGCAGGTAGGCAACGCTGGGTGAAAGGTCGGGGGTAGACGGAACTGACAGCGTGCAGGTCCCGCCCATGCTGTCTATTTTGCATCGTACGAAGCCACCAAGCACGCCCTCGGTGGCAACGAAGGAGAGAGCCACGAGCATCATCCTCTTGCAGCAGGTGCGCACAACCAATACGACGTAAAACAAGGGGCAGCTACTGACTACCAACAGCTGCCAGCGGTGCTGCGGCCACCATCTCCAGCGATGCGCTGATGAATCCTTTTGACGGTAAGATGCGCATTACGACTTCGCTCCGCGCCTACTGAACCTCGCAGTCATAAAGCAACGCATGCAAATGCATGGTTCCGTCTACAAATCTGTCCCTCAATGCGCCCGAGAGGTTCTCCGTACCGAGGGAGTCGGCGCATTCTACGTCTCATACCCCACTACACTGTGTATGACGGTGCCATTCACCGCGCTGCAATTCATGGCCTACGAATCCATGTCAAAGGTCATGAACCCGACCGGCCGTTACGATCCCTACACGCACTGCTTCGCCGGAGGTATCGCCGGTGGATTTGCGGCGGGGCTCACCACTCCGCTCGATGTCATCAAGACGCTATTACAAACACGCGGAAATGCGAGAGACGCAGAGTTGAAGAACGTCTCCGGCCTCTTCCAGGCGGCCAAGATAATCCATCAAAGGGAGGGCTATAGAGGATACTTCCGTGGTCTGAAGCCCCGTATTATCACCACCATGCCAAGCACTGCGATTTGCTGGTGAGTCCCCACCTGCACAAAACCAACTTGTAACCATCTGACAACATCTAGGTCTGCATACGAAATGGCAAAGGCTTTCTTCATTCGGAGGAGCACTAACTCGTCCACTGCCATATAGGGAGACGACGATTTGACAGATCCTTTTTTTGGAACCGTTACGAGAGCCCTCCAATACTACGATACGCGCATAACCAACGGAACGATATACACGCGGTGTCGCGGAGAGCAGTGACCATAGCAGTACTGGGCATTCAAGGCTAGGTCTAGCATTTTGTGTTGCGCGGGTAGAGGAGAAGGTTGTGTCGCGACGCTTCTTCATTGCCATTGTATAGTCATAGAGGCTTTTCTGGAAGCTCATCTGGTGGCGTACTGGATGCTTGGTTGTGCGAGCACATGATGGCATGCGCGTACTTGTATCATAGAGAAAATTCAGTATTGGCGTCGCTCAAGACCCGTCAGCATTTTCGCTATCCGGTCCAATCCAGGTGCATAATCGATAACAGCGATCCAAATAGCGGCCCCACCCATTGCACATGCATCCTCCTCGTGCGTGATTGCGAAGATGCGAATGTTGAAGTGATGATACTGCCCTGTGATCTGATGTGTTAGTGTGAGGTGTGGCTAGCTGCGTGGATAATGCTGGGAGAGAGTGTCTTCCATGGTCGCCGCTGCTCAGCCTTCGGGGTTGCGAAACACCTGGGCAGCTCCCTCCAGGGCTACGTCACACACCCGCGCGAACTAAGGCCGGCGCATGCAGCAGACGAATCTACAAACACGAGCCCAAGACTTGACGCGAGACTCCTATTTCCGTCTTCACAGCGCGAATTGGGCGCACGGTATACATGTTTTCTGCTATGCGCGCCAACACGACGCAGAAGGCCTACGATGAGGCTTTTCTAGCCTGCTCGACTGCAGTATACTTTGAGGGCCAGGTCAGTGCCCAACCACCCGCCAAGTGTTGCACATGCTTGACCATACTGACAAAACGGCGTGTAGAACAATGAGAAAGAGGCGTTACGATCGTGGAAAACCGCCCTCGACCATATCTACTACCATAACGCTCGTCGCAACCCCTCCACCTACCGTCCTGCGTCCGAAACAGAGAGGGCCCTGATCGAATCGCTGCGCCAGTTGGAGCTACAGTGCAAAGAGCGCGTGGATCTGCTGGAAGCCCTGAAGAACAGTAGGAAGGAGTCAAAGGAGAGTCTTGCCTCGCAGTCTTCAGACAACGATGCCCCAACACCACCTCCTCATGGCGTGCCCCTTTCGCAAACCGATACAAGCCGAACTTCTTCATGGCTCGGAGGCGGATCTATACCACCCATAGAGTATACGGATCTTTCGCGACCGCCACCGTTACCGTACCGTCCTGCAATGGCGCCACGAAAGAGCTCTGGTACTGGATCTATAGCAGACAACAGCTTGAAGCAGACTCGGAGCGCATCGACATTATCTCCAGGGACGGCGGGAGAGAAGAAGACGCGTACACCGTCGCCAGAGAAGAGCGGTAGAATGCTACGGACATTGAGACCCGGAAGGGAAAGCAAACCATCTTCGGCCAAGTTACCTAACTCGTTAAGAAGTCGCCCAGATGCTTCAAAGGCGGCGACTCAAGCATGGAGTGTCAAAGCTACAGGGGCCTCGAGTCGACCAGCATTGGGAACTAATCCATCGACCAATTCCCTCACGCCCTCAGCTCGCTCGTCCATCGACAAGCCGTCTGCTGGGAGGCCGAGTGCAAATTGTTCTAAACCAGAAGTACAGCAACCGCCCACACAAGCACCGTTCTATTTCAGAGCTGGCGAAGGTTCAGCATCGACTGCGTATGCGGTACCACCACCCAGCGGCGAAATCGATCCAGAACCTGTCAAAACCCCTGCGCTCGAGCGAACAACGCCAACAATACCTCGCAAATCAGTCGGTTCAACTCAGATGCTTAATGCGCAAGGGACCGCCACAGCTCTGCCCTCGTATCGGAAGGAATATCCAAAGCCCGCCCCAGACCCTCGATCCCTCGCTGCGTCTGCAGCAGCGCATTCGTACAGCGACAACGGTGCTGAACGAGGTGGAGTCATGTGGGATCCTACGACACGGAGACTAGTGCCCAAATCTACGAGTAGTTACACTAAAGCGCGAAGCAGTTCGGAGCAAGAAGACTTGCCTGAATCTATACCGCTAGAAGAGAATGGAGAGTTGCTTAACCAAAGGCCATCACCGGTGCGGAAGGGCAGGGCTAGAGGAAACTCGATGCGTGCAGAGTTACCAGATACCCCCAGTACAGACAGTACTGAAGCAGACCAAGAACCCGAAGAAACGGATGAATGGAAGCGACGGACGGACGAGATCATGAAGAACCTACCACGAGGTGTTGATAAGCAAGCAGCGCAGCAGATTTTGAACGAAATTGTCATACAGGGAGATGAGGTACACTGGGACGACGTGTCTGGACTCGAAGTTGCGAAATCAGCATTAAAAGAGACAGTGGTTTACCCGTTCTTGAGACCTGACTTGTTCATGGGCTTGCGAGAACCTGCACGCGGTATGCTACTGTTTGGACCCCCAGGTACTGGAAAGACCATGTTGGCGAGGGCTGTGGCTACAGAGTCAAAGTCTACCTTTTTCGCGATTTCTGCAAGCAGTTTGACGTCGAAGTTTCTCGGCGAGTCCGAAAAGCTTGTTCGTGCGCTGTTCCAGCTTGCGAAGATGCTTGCACCATCGATCATCTTCGTCGATGAGATTGATTCGCTCCTTTCGTCGCGCTCGGGATCCGGTGAACACGAAGCGTCTCGACGCATCAAAACCGAGTTTCTCATACAGTGGTCTGATCTGCAAAAGGCTGCTGCTGGGAGTGCAATCAACGACAAGGACAAAGAGAGAGGCGATGCCACTAGGGTGCTAGTACTTGCAGCGACGAACCTGCCATGGGCAATCGACGAAGCAGCAAGACGGCGATTCGTAAGAAGACAGTATATTCCTTTACCGGAAGATTGGGTCCGGAAGCAGCAAGTGAAGACGTTATTGAGCCATCAGAAACATGAACTGAGCGACCACGATTTGGACTGTCTGGTCAAGCTCACTGACGGTATGTGCTTGTGTTCTACACTCCACAACAGAAAGAACGACGAAGACAATATATATGATGCTAACTTTAATCTAGGCTTCTCTGGTTCTGATATCACTGCGCTTGCGAAAGACGCCGCTATGGGACCATTACGCTCACTGGGCGAGAAGTTGCTGTCCATGACAATGGATCAAATACGGCCGATACAGTTCCAGGACTTCATAGCGAGCCTGCAGACTATCAGACCCTCAGTGAGCAAGCAAGGGTTAAAGGAATTTGAGGATTGGGCTACACAATTTGGTGAGCGTGGAGGTTGAAGTACTAATTAGGGACTGGTAGTGCGCCTTTGTAACGAACAAATTATCACATAATTGTATTCAGAATACCGGTATATCTGGGTTGCTCAACTTCGCTCCCACGTAACTTGTCTACCCCACCTTCCTGGGTTGAGGGTGGCTCCTTCCATCGGAAGCATGCTCATAGCCTAGCGCCATCTTGTCAGAAGCTGAACGTCTCACACGGCATTTTCTCGCGATACCGTTACTTCTATCGTACTTGCACATCGATAGCATATAATGGCGCCACGCAAGAAGACAGAAGAGAAAGCAACAGCTAACGAAGCACCGGACCTGGTGTTGGAGTACCTGCGTAGGCCACTCACCTTACCCTTCCATCCGAAAAGCTTTACGATTGAATTATAGCTCAGCTTCAACGACTAACCGGCCATAGGCAAGCAAAACCGCCCATACTCAGCTATCGATGTCTCGGCAAACTTGCACAATAAGGTCACCAAAGGTGCGTTTGTAGGCAACACGCTAACTCATAATGCAAGCACTGATCACGATACAGCTTCTGCCGCAAAGATTCTGAAAGACCTTCATGAGCAAAAAGCAATAGAGGGACGAGTTGCTGGTGAGTCTGACCAATCTAACTCCCGGCTCAATCAGGTTGACATCCTTAGGCAAACAGATCGTCTATCACGCTCTGCAGGTAGGTTTCGCTCCTGGATCCTCCAGTCCAAGTCTGATTTACACCCCTAGAACGCCGCTGAAGCATGCACGACTGAGCAACTCGCCGCCCTCGATGAAAGCGTTCTCAACGTGCGCACACGAACCATCTCTCTTCTCACCAGTGCAAAGAACCTCCGTAGCTCGCTCTCCAGCCTTAACTCCACGCTCAGCACTACGGATCTCATCGCTAGCATTCATGCCCTTGAGACGGAGAGGGCGGAAATCGTGACCAGACTCGATGGGCTGAAGAAGGGGAAGGCGAAGAAAGTAAGTTCACTTTCCTACGAGATGTTTATATATACATATGCTGATTCTGCAAGATCACAGTAGCAGAGCGAGAAGCGACCGAGAAGGAGTGGAAGAGGAGTGTTCGTGTGGCGAAGATAAGAAAGAAGATTGCGATGGAGATGTGGAAGTTGATCGAGGGAAAGCTGCCTGATCAACAAACGAGAGAGGAGCACCGGGAAATGTTCGATCTAGATGGGTAAGCGTATCATATCACGAAAGAGGTAGAAGATGCCAAAAGTATGATGTGCCAGAATTATTGTACGGAGGCAGATGGAGAAATGTGTGGGTAATGTAGTGAACTCAATAAGGTCTCAAGCCATATAGAGATCGTAGTTAAAGACAACCAGATTGGCATCTCTGCGATACGTAACTATTTGCCTCGTGTTGTAGGCGTCGCTCATTTGACCTCCCAACGCCGCACTGACAGATAATACTAATGCTACCGAGAGTTGAGAAGAGGTGAAATGTGGATTACAAATGGCAAGTGAACGCCTCTACAATGCAATCCCGACACTGATGTTTGAAATGCGCGCTATAGCCGATCAGGCCAGCTGATGGGCCAAAAAAGAACTATTACGGAAGCATAAGAGAACGAATGCAACGATAAGGAACGTGCAAAGTATCATGGAGCCGGAGGCTTGATGATTCAAGAGCGCTGATAAGAAAACGAGCTGCGGAGGTCATCTCTGATTTCCTGCGACAAGTTGTCATCATCTTCGTCTATTCGACGAGCATCCTGTGCGCGTGATAGTTCTTCGAGGGTCTTGGCGAGGGCAGCGCCTTCAGTGCGCCCCCGATCTACGTTGACAAGCATCATGATTGGGAAGGGAAGGCCAACCAGAATAGCTAGGAACCAGAAAGCCTGTAATATGTGTTAGTAAGTCGTGTCTATGAGCTAAGGTCGTTTGGGGCGTGCTTACCGGTCTGATCTCTCCATAAGCATCGGTGATGGCGCCTACAATCGCTGGACCGAAGACACTACTGCCTTTGTCTGTGATGGCGTACAGGGCGTAAAAGGCGGCTTCATAGCCCGGGGGAATGAGCTCGCCAAATAGCGCGCGGCAGTAACTGCTTAGTCCACCAAGAACGAAGCCGTAGACTGCACCTAGAGGGTACATCTCCCATTGCTGCTGTAAGCCTAGGTATCCCAAGCGTTGGACTGCTGGAATATACCCGAGTAGACCGTAGATGGGTATCACTTCGAAGAGCGTGATGCAGAGCAGTATTGTCTGCGTTGGTGACAGGCGGAAGAAAGCAGATAGGCGTGACCATAAGAAGGCGCCCAAGACGCCAAAGACTGTCGCGATGACGTTTATCAGGGCGAGCATAGCGTACGACATTCCGAGTGTTGTCTTCGCAAAGAGCACGGCCGTACCAGATACAGTAGCTATACTGTCTGACAAGAGAAACCACGCTGCAAGGAAGAGTAAAACATCTTTGAGGTGTCGCGCATGCGTTGCTGTACGACCTAGGGATTTCCACGAGTATGTGAAGTACGCTAGTGCAGAGCCAAAATTGGAAGTTTGTGCGCCGATATGCAGAGGCGGTCCTGGACGAGGGCGCAGCCAGCGGGCAGTGGGTAGTGTGAAGACGAACCACCACGCGCCAATGACAAAGAGAACGAGCCGGAGACCAAAGTTGGAGGATTGGAATGCGATGACAATGAGGATGCCGAGGGTCTGCACCAGCAAAGCGGCGATGTAGCCAATTGCAATACCGTAGGACGAGATTTTGGTAGCGAGTGCAAGCTCAACTGAAGGAGCGGCCCTGCTCTTCGCCCTTGGGATGGTCAAGTCCGCGGCTGAAGGGTTGCTTGGAATAAGTGCGGTTGTCGCATCGGCAACCTCGTCAAGAAGGCCCTCTCTCTCTCCAAGCTGGTTCGCATATTGCGCTCCTCGTATGATGTTCTCTTGTGTAGGAGTTTCTCCACCTCTTTCATCGTCCTCCTCTGTCTCCGGCTCATCTTCTTCGTCCGCATACGAAGTGTCGGTGATTGAGTCGGCATACTTGACTGTCGGATGGAAACGCACCATCAGTGGTAAGAAGCTGTTTAGCAGTACGAAACTAGCACCAAAGCATGTGTTTGAGATGATTGCCAGTAGTGCGCCTAGAAGGTATACCTTGGGTACCACGGGCAAGAACAACATGGTCGCTATACTTCCCACGAATGCGAACCATAAGAGGAACGTTTTCCTGAACCTCCCGTGGTCTGCAGCACCACTCATGCTTATGATCAGCAGAGCCTGTATCAGGACTGATATGCTGAAAGTGTACATGGCGAAGCTCGCAGTGTTGATCTCGACGCCGAGGATATGGACGACACATTGTCCCTTTTCAGGATTTGGTTTCAGCAGGGCTTCTAGGGCGTTGGTGGAGAAGGAGAAGCTAGGGTGACCGGTAGGTTTCGTGGCTTTGCATGGCATGGAAGGGTCAGACAGGAGGACACCATTTTCGCGTGCGAGTTGTTCGAGTGTTACGGGTATGAAGGATCCAATACCACAGACAACGAAGACCTGGAACTGTTAGTGGTGGTGTTCGCGTAGCTTTTGCGCTCGACACGGCGCGTAAAAGGCAGCAACACGGCAGCGAAGAAGCGCACAAGGCTGGCACATGGTGAAAGCTTGAAGAAGTGTGAAGCAGGTTGGAATGGTGGTAGATAGCATAGGAATAAGTACCTCGGCAGCCCATCCGTACATGTAAAAGCCGCGAAGCTCCTTGTCGCTCGTCAACCGGGTATCTTCGCCCTCGTAGTGGGGCTGCGAGTCGTTGGACTCCATGTCGAGGCTCTGATCCGAAGAGAGACTCTGCTCATCGTCTGCCTCGTTGGACTGCGATATGGACGGCACTGAGACTTTTGACTGTGAGGATGCATTTCGCGTGAAGGTCGGTCGCTGGTAGGGCGGGAGCTCGGGCGCGCGCGGTGCCATCGAATAAACGCAGCCTTCCGCAAGCAGGGTCTACACTAATTGGCGGAAGTGCGTCACCGCAACTGAGACATGATGAAGGATCAAAGGATAAAAGCGCAACAGCTGACACTGGCCGGGATTCAGGTTGGAAGGCAAGTTCTAGTGGGCACGGTGAGGTCAGAACCAAGCTGGGGAGAGATGTGGAGTTGTTGGGGCAGCGGGCGATCCCATGGTCGTGCTGGGGTCATGAGGTTAGGGTTGAAGTATTGGCGGAATGGCTGAACATGCTGATAATGCGTCTAGTTGCAGTAGAGGCTATCCGAGAAGGCATTGGACAAGGCGCTTGCGCTCAAGCTCGCCTTTGGATAGACTACTGGCCGCCGCAGCCGCAAGCTCGCCGAGCCGTGGACAGGTATGCGGTGAATGATTTTGTGTACTAATGATCAAACCGACTAGCTGTGTTGTATCCGCTCTAGAAGCGACTCGGCGTTGCTTAATACACATTCTTAGAGCGAACTGCACCTACAAGGCCTTCCTCGATTTCGGATGCCATCCTCAGTGTGCGTGATGAAAGAGACGCAGGGCTATCCACTAGTACGCAGGCTGCATGGGTGGAGTGGCCGCCAAGGCGCCAAACCCAATCCAATCCTTCCCGTTTCGACGACCTCATTCCTGATCGCTGAAACAACATCATCGACTCAGCTACCCGGCGTCGCGCACCCATCCACGATCACTCCAGACTGACGCCGGCTTCTATACGAGCGCGCCCACACCCCACGACATTTCGCAACATTCACAGTACACGATGCGCTAGTCGACAGCGCCCCAACCTCGCTTTCTTTTACCTGCTGCGTCCGACCAGCGCCCTTTCACCACCCGCTGCGCCCTGTGCTACCTGTGCGCATCCATTGTTACGCCAACAACATCCACTTCATGGTCGCGCGCCACTCCTCAACAGCGCATTTCACCATCCGTTCCACCGCCAGCCCTCTGAACCCGGCCCCAGGCACTCCGACTCGATCGTCCTCCTGCACATCCCACGCTCGACACATTCGCGAAAATATCACGGAAATCTGGATTGGCCAGGCATATTAGGTGAAGGCTAGAAGCGCATAGAGTGGGTGCGCAGACGGCGCCCCAGGGTCCCGGGACGGAGGACGACGTAGTATGCCAGGCATTCTCACCATGAACCACACCGGATCAGACTTAGCGACGGCTTCACGCGATGCAGATGGCAGGAAGCGCAACCACGACGCTGACATGATCAACGGAGGACTCAATGGGACGCGAAGCGACACGCCGGCAGGAGGACCTGCCACCAATGGAGGTTCCTCGAAAGACACCAACACTAACGGCGCGTCCATGGCATTAGCAACGACGGCAGGCTCCACGCTCGGACACTACTCGGATCTGCCACCGGAAATCGCCCACATTGGCCCTGAGCAGTACAACTCCCTCTCAACATTGTTGTTGCGGATATCGCAGGAATCTTACAATGAGCTCGAGGAAGTATTGAAGAACATGGCCGCTATCCAACTGGCTCCAGTAACCAATGGCGTTCTTCCCAATGGACTTGGTGCGGCAAACATGCAAGGGAACGCAGACGCAAACAGGCGTAAGAAGCTGGTTCTCCTTTCATTTGCCCAAGAGCAGCGGGCAAAGTTCATCAAGCTGCTGGTCCTTACAGAGTGGGGAAAGAAAGCTTCGTCTGACATTTCCAAGCTTATTGACTTACTAGCCCACGCGAGTACGCAGGCAGCCCACATGGATGCCGCTGACTACAAATTGGAGAGAATCAAGGTTCTCTCTAACAACGCAAGGGAGAATAATCCGGATATCGCGACAGCTTTGGAGGTATTGTCAACCGGCAAAGCGTCGTGGATGCCGAGCCTTGACTACATACCGCCTGAGCCCATCTCTGCCGAGCAAGCTCTCAAATTGCTACGCTACTTGAACACTTCCCTCTCGATACGTCTGAACGTGCACGAAAGCCTTCCACGGCATCTTCAAAACTGGCGCGTGCATTCTGGACGCGCGACCTTTGTCATCGACAACGAGCTGGAGTTCGACGTCATGTCCTTTGTGGAGGATGCCTCAGAACAGTGGTTCCTCATTGATGTCCGGCTACTGTTCAACCCAGCGCCCACGATCACCGTCGGTAGCCGCTTCTTCATGCAGCTTAAGCTGCAGGCCGACCTAGTCTTAAAAGACAAGGGTCTGACTGGTCTTTTCGACTTCTTGAATAATTTCATCTTGACACACAAGATTTCTGTACTTCGATCACAGGCAGTAGGCCTCGTCCGCACCGGCTGGGCAGGCTCTCTCAAGGTTGAGCCTGTGCATCGCTTGCTCGTAGTGTCATACTGGACCAACAAGCCTGGGAAGAAAAACTGGATCGAGATCGGCGTATCCAACAACAAGCCAAAGAACGGCAAGGTCTCGTGGAGAGGACCACCCATCCCGTCACTGACAACACGCTGGTTTCGTCAAGGCAAGGAAGTAAAAGACCCCAAGTTCCATTTCGATTGGAAGGATCTGTCCATGGAATGCGTTCTCAAGCAAGTCATCGCATGCCATGCGAGCGAGATTCTGCGTTCTACGAAGAACAGTTTTAAATCTGGGGTGATAGCGAATGCACGACTTTCCGAGACCGAACCTGGGGATTGCACACTTGACGCAACACTGGGTGCTACATCTACTTCTGTCACACTGTCACTAGAGCAAGTCACCGGCAGCTATATTTTACGACCAGCGAGCGCACTATCTGCGCGGGCGGAGAGCGCTTTTAATCAAGGCAGGGAGCCTGGACAAATTGCCAATGTAATGACGCAGGTGCTCGCCGGTACACTACTCAGCCTGATCCAGAAGAACGCACAACAACTCGGCTGGCAATCAGTAGCGAGGCAAGCTTTACATCAACAGGTAGTGTCGGCTGCTGTCAGGTTGGATGTTATTTCATCCACCCTGTATTGCCCTCGCGGTTGGACGCCAAGCTGGGCACTGGCAGCGGTGATCGACTCGTCTGGTGAGTCGTGGTGGATCTTCGAAATCGGATCTGGCGGAGGCAGCATAGAATATGCTGAGCAGATCAGAATGGATAGACCTGACGGTAGCTCCTTGCCCATCAACCGCAACACCTTGGCAAGTCTCGAAAGAATCGCCGTGCAGCTGCTGTCATTCCGTGTCACAGCTCGGCAACTTGAGAAGCAGAAAAAGAACTATAGCTTGAAGTGTGAGCTAGGGCCCTCTTTGGAAGCTTATCGCATCGCCCGTCGGTGGGTCCTGCATGTGCAAACTGCAGATCTTCTCGCGGCTCAAGCAGGTCAAGACGCATGGCTCGAATCAGACATCAGGATCACTTGCGAAGGCATGAAAGTCGGAGGTCAGAACGTCTGGCACATGGCTGCCGGCAGGATGATTAAGACTGTTGCTGCAGATATGCACAAGCTCATGGCAGCTTCACCACAACATGCTTTCAAATTCTCGGAGGATGGTAACTTTAGGATCCTCCTTGCCACGCCCTTTGGGCAGGATATACTTGGAGAGTTGCGAGCACGACTGCGAGATGTCAATCGTCTTCGTACCTTTGCAACTACTCTGCAGAAACGCAAGATGTTGCTCAAATCCTCCTCCTTACAACGCGTACAGTTTCAATACGGTCCATCGCCATATTCTGCCACCGTTAATTTTGGTTCCGAAAAGGAGCTCACTATCGAACTATCACCCAGCAACCCGCACCATCGAATACTCTCTCAACTCACCGAGATTGCTAATGATCGGTCGCCCTCCTTACCAGTCATTGATCCCGGTGATGCCAATGGTCTAGACCGTTTCTGTACGATACTCGTTGCCACGCGACCTCTCTTCAAGGTCCTGCGCGAAGTCGAGCAACGATCGCCAGGCAACTACAGCAACCCCGCAATCCATGTCCACACCATCTTCAAATATCGTCTTACGTATGACAATCCCGTCTGCACGTTCGATGTGCGTCTCCAACCCAAAGACGACAACGTGTATTGGTTCGTCGAAGACAACTTGCGCCCAAAGGATCCCAACGTATTGCCAACTCCCGAGCGTGCACCAGGTCATAGACGCCTTGACAACCTACAGGCTAAGCTGAAGGAGCTGTTCAGTAGGAAGGGCAATGGGTGGTTTGGTACCCGCAATGGTATGGTGGCGGAATTGGATGCGATTCCTAGAGCCATCGAGGAGCTTGATAAATGTGTCTTGGGCTGTAGAATGGCTGATGGCTACGTTGCGCCTCCACCACTTGAAAAACCTGCACAGCAAGGTCTAAATCAGGCGAATGGGGGCCAACAGGGGAACCAACAACAGCAACAAGCCAGGATGCAACAGGCACGCCAACAACAGCAACAACAGCAACAACAGCAGCAGCAGCAGCAGCAACAACAACAGAGGCAGGGCCAATCAGGGAAACAGCACCTGAACCAGCAGCAACATCCGAGAGGCCAACAACCGAACGGCAGACCGGCTCAACAGCAAATGCCCAGTGGGCGTCAGCAAACCTTGCAACAGCAACAACAGCAAGGCCGAGGCGGTCCAGGAGGTCGTCCAGGGCAGTCTAAAAACGACGTCATCACTATCGATTAGTGGTTGAGACGAACCTGGCTACTGCGATGTCTCTCACTACATTCAACCATGAATATCTTCTATATTCATGTATGTACCATGTTTCTTTTTCACGTTTTCACATCTCTTGCATTGGGTTAGCGGGACTGCGGTATAATTTGCATTTCTAACATGCCTTTTTGTTTTGTGGTTTGTTCAGGGTTTCCTGATGTCGTGTACACCACACCTGATTTGGATGTGCCATTGATGCATTCATCTACACTTCGTTCCTCTTTCTTCGTACTTTGTATGATACTATTTATACCAATTCCCTGCGGTGGGAAGACCGAGGCACGGGATATACGCACGGAGTCATGTTACCTTCTAGAGTGGTACCAGCAACTGCTTCAATAAACGATTGATAACTAGGTATTATGTGTTACAACCCAGAGACGGCCTATTACACCATGTTTCAACTGTTCTTGCGTGCTTTGGCAGAATTACATTTCCTCAAAGTATAGCATAGAATATATATCGACCATGCAAATTACAAGACATGTCACGCAATCGTAATCTTTCTGGAGATACACAATTTCCTTGTTCTACTAGTCTCGACCAGCAACATAGCTCCCACTATCAAAGACAATACAATGCCAAGAGACGACGTATAGTTCCCCGTTTAGTCCCAGCTGTAGCTAAATCACGCTTCCTTCCTGGCAAGCAGTTTGTAGGAGCGCTTCAAAACTGTATCCCTTAGATGCCGCAAGTATACCGCATTACCCTAGTCCACGATAAGCATTTACCCTACATAACCAAGGATAGGAACCAAGATTCGCCATGGTCAGCTGTATTGCTAGTGGACCTCTTGCCGCTCTCTCACCGCTCTCTTACCCCAAGATGCCGTGGTGGGTGTCGCCTTTACTTGTCCGTAGTTACTCCTTTGACCCGAAGCATTAGCACTACCTGGCCATATAAACCAGCAACCAATCCCTCTCTCTCCACGTCTGTCTCGCTTCCCCAAAGCTTGAGTATAATAACCGAATTTGGTCATCTGTAGACACCTGACGCAGATTATCGACACCTGTTGGCTTAAGATCACCGGATTAAGCACGATGCCTGTTGCTGTGAGCTCCACCAGCGCCGCCGATACTGGTGAGCTAGTACGCCAGACGTCCGCAATGGAGATTAATGCACAGCCATGGTTAGAGAGCACCCACAAGGTATTTGATTCATTCTCTAAAGTGTTCTATTTGGCTAACAGCGTCAGCTTCATGAGATTCAGACGCTGAAAGAGATTTCCCTCGGCAACTGTCGTCTTCTTTACGGCAGCGAGCGATTCAAGTTCTACGGTAAAGCCCTCGCACCAATGCTGAACACCGGAATTGACACGAGGCTAGATATCGTCATCTGCGAGGATGAAGGCACCAAAAGATTCGCTGCTATTCTAACATGCAATCAAGACGGCCAGACAAAGCTGTTGCGCACCGAGTTGAGCGGGTGTCCTGTCGTGGCGGTTCGCACTCTGGTGGATGGTCTTCAAAAAGACACAGCCAAGCTATTTCGTACGTTCTGTGTCATTCTCGATACCTCTAGTTGGTTGCTGACTCGGAAGTGTAGTCAAGTACGCAGTGGGTTCGCAGATTCGAGGCCAGCAAGGATTCACCAACAAGGACACTGGCAAGTTCGAGTTGTGGGACGAGGCACAGGAGAAGCGTATTCGTGGTCCTGACGACGACACGCAGGGCCTTGTTCGTAGCTGGAGTGACGCACCCGGTGCTGATGGTCGGCCCTCTTCAGATCGCCGTGGCGATGGCTATCATGGTCGGTACAACAAACGCTCGAGGCCTGTTGAACGCCCGGAGAAGCCCATGGTTGAGGCGGAGATTACTGATCTCGATTACTATGACTAGTAAGAGATGAAGGACTGGGATACTATCCATGTATTAGACGTCCAGGAGGATGAGAGTCTCGGATAGAGTCCGATCAGACATTACTTTCTGTCCTTACTCTATACTAAAGCTTCATCGTAAAGACTTCCACTCAGCGATCGTCAATGTCATGGCAAACTTCGAAATCTCGCAGGTTTCTCAATTGGTTTACAATGATCCTGGAACAGTGGGATTGATACGGAGGTTCTGATATGTTGGGCCAGATACTCAAATCAGATGGACTTGAGCATGCTTGAGCGAACCTCCCAGCTTGGAAGCGCGACGCGTGTGCACGTGAGATGGAGTTTGACTGGGTCCAAGCGCCCGCGTCATGACGTACCACCACTCTCCTGGCATATCACCACCCACTTTCCTGGTGGCCATGCTACTTGAACCTATCTTCACATCATGAACAGTCCCTCCAAACGCCGGAAGAAGAATGATGGCTCAGGGAAGCCGATACGCAGCTTGGACTACTTCTTCGCAAAGCAAACGGCTAGAGCGACACCCAAAGATGCGCCAACGAACACAGGTCCCAGCAAACCGCCCGTGGATCAGGACAACACAGGCCTGACCGATGAAGAACTCGCGCGTAAACTTCAGGAGCAGTGGGATAAGGAAGACCGACAGCAGGGGTCAAATCAGGAGCCGGCGGAGCCGGTGAACTCGAATGAACTGTATGAGGAGCCCGACAAAGTCCCTGCAGACACGACACAAGACACAAAAGGACAGAATGGGAATTCCGAATTAGCAATACGTGAAGCCACTGTAGAAAACACAAAGGCTGCCGAACTCAACCAGAAGAAAAACACGCTATCTCTCCAATCGACCGCCTCCGAAGAAGACGCGATAACAGCAAATATACCCTTCGATCAAAGCCCTCTCGAATTTGAACCGGCAAAATACATCCCGGAACTAAAGAAACATTGGGTGAACGACGGAGGGCATGCGACTTACGCGTTATTGACACGATGTTTCATTCTGGTCAACAGTACGACAAGTCGCATCAGAATAGTCGACACGCTTGTGAACCTTATTCGAACGATTGTCGAAAGCGATCCTGATAGCCTGCTTCCAGCCGTCTGGCTCGCGACGAATGCGATATCGCCCCCTTACATCGATCTGGAGCTTGGTTTGGGGGGCTCAGCGATCTCGAAAGCACTTAAGAAAGTTTGTGGGCTGGATAACGCAGGCTTGAAAGTATTGAACGCAAAATATGGCGATGCTGGCGATGTCGCATTCGAAGCAAAGAAGAAGCAGAGCTTCACCCTTCGCAAACCGAAGCCTCTGACAATCAGGAGTGTCTTCGACTCACTAGTCAAGATCGCAAACAGTAAGGGACATGGCAGTGTAGAGAACAAGCAGAGAATTGTCGAAAGACTGGTGCAGGATACACGGGGTGCTGAAGAAAGCCGCTACATTGTACGGACGCTCGTACAGCATCTGCGGATTGGAGCTGTCAAGACCACGATGCTTATCGCTTTGTCCCGTGCCTTCATGCTGTCGAAACCTCTAGGGGCTGAGTTCGAGATTCGTGATCAGAAGCAGATGGCAAAACTGAAGAAGGAAGAACTCACGGAGGCATACATCAGGAACGAAGAGATCGTAAAGGCATGTTTCGCTCGACGACCGAACTACAACGACCTTATACCTGTGCTTCTCGAGATTGGTGTTTGCGACGAACTACTCGTGCGCTGTGGGCTGTCACTACACATCCCTTTAAGACCTATGTTAGGAAGTATCACTCGCGATATGGGCGAGATGCTCACAAAACTACAAGGACGCGACTTCGCCTGCGAGTACAAGTACGATGGACAAAGAGCGCAGGTGCATTGTGATGCTAAGGGCAAAGTCACAATCTTCTCACGACATCTGGAAGTGATGACTGACAAGTATCCGGATTTAGTAGCGCTGGTGCCTAAGATACGAGGAGAGGGCGTCTCGAGCTTCATTCTTGAAGGCGAAGTTGTAGCTGTCGATCGGGAGAGTGGAGACCTCAAGACATTCCAGACACTTGCGAATCGCGCAAGAAAAGACGTCGTCGTCGGTGCCGTGACGATCGACGTCTGTCTGTTTGCATTCGACCTGATGTATCTGAATGGCGAAGAGCTACTGAACCGGCCTTTTAGAGAACGGAGGTCTCTACTCAGAAGTCTGTTTGTGGAGATACCACATCATTTTACGTGGGTCAAGAGCCTAGATGCTACGTCCGCCGACGTAGAAGCAGTCCAAGCCTTCTTCCAAAGTGCCTTGGAAATCAAGTGCGAAGGCATCATGGTGAAGATTCTTGACAACCTCCCTAACCCCGACCTACTCGCCGAAATCGACGAAGCTATTGAGAAGACGCCCTCGCTTCCACCAACACCCAAGAAAAAGAAGCCCGCAAAGTCCAAAGCTAAGTCGAATTCTAACGAAACCGAAAAAGACGAACCAAAGACATCTGGCCGCCGTAAAGCACTCTTATCGACTTACGAACCGGATAAGCGTCTAGACAGCTGGCTCAAAGTGAAGAAGGACTATAGTACCACCTCCGAGACTCTCGACCTGATTCCCATTGCCGCTTTTCATGGTTCTGGTCGGAAGGCAGCATGGTGGTCACCTATCCTCCTTGCCATCCGCAACGCAGAAACTGGACAACTGGAAGCAGTCACAAAATGCATGTCCGGCTTTACTGACACCTTTTACAAAGCCAACCGCGCAAAGTACGACCCAGACGACCCAGATTGCACAAACGTGCTCTCTGGCAAACCCCATTATGTAGAGTACAATGGTGGAGCTGGAATGCCAGTTGTTTGGTTCGAACCGCAAGAGGTCTGGGAGGTAGCTTTCGCCGATTTGACTTTGAGTCCGACGTATACGGCTGCGATTGGCTTGGTCAGTGAGGAGAGAGGGTTGAGTACGAGGTTTCCGAGATTCTTGAGGGTCAGAGAGGATAAGGGGATCGATGAGGCTACTGAGGCAGAGGAATTAGCTAGTCTGTATCGGAAACAGGAGGCTAAAGCGCCTAAGAAGAACGATGCTATCACAGAAGTCATGTACGAAGATGATGAGTAGAGCATATCATGACATAGTAACCGTTGAATACCCCGAAGCTGGCCACTTGAAACAACGAATAATGTAAAAGCACTCCCTGATTCATTGCATTCCTCGAAACTAGCATCTCAATCGCCATCCCGTCGTCCTAGAGCACCTGACACTTCAGCGTGCGAAACCTCAAATGTATATATCTGTTTCTTTCAAGGAGATGGAGATAGGAAAGTCGTAATCCTCCTCCAACGTGACATATCTGCTCTGCGAAACCGCGGCTCAGCATTATCAAATGTGTGTTCCACATATACGACATGCCGGCATGGCCATCCTCGACCGTATCGTTGGCTCGACCTTGGAGCGGTCGTTCGGCTTCGGCGGGAGGAGCGGCGGTGTGCATCGCACCCACGTCCTTTGTGAGTTTAGAAACCGTGGACCTTGATGGTCTTGCCATCAAGGCCTAGGCCCTCTTTCTTGTCGGTCAAGAAGTCTTGAACATCTTTGCGCTGGTCTCCCTGCAACTGGATCACCTCTCCCATCTCAGTGTCTGCGACGACAGTGCCATTGCAGGCAAACTTCTTCTTGATGACTTTGAGAATCTTCTTCTGGTCAAACTTCTTAGGCAGGCCTTGGACCGTCGTTAAAGTCTTGCGACCATTGCGCTCTGTTGGGGGTTGACGTCAGCCTTGCGCGATTTCTTGAAGCGTAAGGGAGGAGGGGAAGGAATGTCGCGCCGATGTCGCGCAGATGATGAGATCGAATAACAGAAGATTGGATGGTATACATACGCTGGATACGAATGTGGATGTAGTTTTGCTGAGTAGACTTTACTTCTCCTCCAGCATCATCAGCCTCCGCGAACGGATCGAAGGACTTGAGATTCTGGATGTCCGTGGTCATGAAATCGACTGGGGGCGCTCTGTGGGTGCTAAGAGTAGTAGGGCGGTCGTTTGTGGGTGTGGTGGGAAAGTGGAGCGTAGTCGTGTGTGATAAAGGTCGGAGTAGTTGAGTGGAGCGGTTGAGGGTATTAATCGGCGAAGGGAAGGGTGGCGAGGGGACCATCTATGGGGGAGCCCGCAGGCGGTCTCAGCCCCGCTGCCAAGCGCCAACTCCGGAACAGTCACTAGCGCTGATCCACATTCCCCCAGGGATGCCTGCATCTACCATTCCTCATGTTCGTTTGTGGGCGTAGATACTGCTCATGGTCGATATCACAGTCCCCAAGACTTCCTCGTTGGTCAGAGGCATGACTGTCTTCGTAACCACGATGCCTTCCCTAATTCTGTGCTACTGTCTTATCATGCGCATGCGCACTGTCACCCGTCTCAACAAAAGCGCATAGCGCACCAACAGGCTTGAGGCTTTATCGCTCAAGGCAAAGGAAGCTCATCCACGACTCATGAGTATGCCAGGTGCGACTTGTTTACCTTTCCAGAACCTTCTACAGAGGCACGGAAACCCTTATTGGTCTCACACAGACCCTCTACTTCCTCTGCTCCCATGAACGCTGGTGACTCCGGTGTGACCCCCTTCGTAGTATTGGTGTACAAAAAATACCAAATAAGCAAAGAATACGACCAGCGGGTCTTCTTGGGTTCATTCGTGTTCAAAAAAACTCGACATTGTGCCGCAGCTGGAGAATGCCGATCTATTACCATGTGACTCTTGCTTCCAGATGGTCTAGCATTCCTTCTGGGTACGCTCGAAGAACTGAGTGAGTATGAATAGGTTCTGCTATGTTTGCCCAGCCAATGCAGTGCTCAGGTAAAGCTTCCCAGTAGCGAACCTATGCTAACTTTCTTATCCTCACGTAATTTCCTTTTCTTAGTATCGGATCGAGACTTGTCTTGTTGGACACGCTTCACGGGCCGAGCAGGTTCATCTTTCAGCTCACGGACAAACCAAGCAATCTCTGTAGCCGTGTCAGGCATACTACGTTGGATGTAGTGCATAGATAATGATTGGTATGTTCCACCACCAGGAGATCCGTCTTGCGACAACTCGAGCGAGGCATCATACAATCTTCGCATGTCAGAAGCCATTGTGGTTCTAGACCTTCTCTCCCCGCTGTCTGAGTTTGTCTTGTCCCAACGGCTAAAAAACTATGTTACCTCAATGAGCCAACGTCTGGATCTAGGTCACTTACTCCAGATGAGGATGTTGGCGCCAATTCCCCCAGTAAGGTTCCTCTTCAGATGGATCTGGTTGGCCAGAGATTCCAACAATATTCAAGCTGGGAAAGCTGGAGATGCACGCTAAGACAAGTCTTGTTGGTAATGAGTTGCAACCGTCAACAAGAAGTACTCGCAACTTTTTGAAAGCACCACTTTCGCCGACGCTTCGACCCCAGTCGCGTAGCCTTTGAACGGTCAGTGTTTCGCGATACTTTCCAAGTCGATCGTTGCTTCCAATCTCTATTGCAAGAACCGCAAGCGTATTGATAGTATTAAGAGAAACGAGTTGATCAATTGTCATGTCAATGGTTCGGATACAGAGGAACGTCAGCATGTCGCCGTCGAGCTTGACCAAGCGATCGACGACAGAGGGTAAGAGACCTTCGGATTCCCTGTCATACACATGGAAGGTAGAGTGGCGATCAACATCTTTGGGAAATGCTTTTCGAAAGAGACTCCAAGTCCGAAAGGTCATTGTGTCACTGGACACTTAGATTAGCCATCGCACTTTGGGCCTCTGTGCGACCTTCGACCCACGTTAACTTTAAATAGTCGTGCAAGCGACTAGCGTAAGACCACCTGAGCCATTGTAGAGCCTCTGGTTCCATATTGTCAATGTTCCAGATACAACAACGGAGGGCCATTGATTGCAGGGTATCGCATCCTGGAGTTAGGCGCCGATGCTTCGATGGGTCTATTCGTCTACCCCGGGAATGGCTTGTCCACTTTGGTATCATTGAACTGACGGAAGCTGACGTAGTCTCCCTGTAGACAAGGCCAGACGAAGGGTCGAAGTTCTCCATGCCTCTGACTGACTGTCCGATGAAGTGAACCTGGTCCGACTGGCGAATGAAGGGAAGCGGCGACCGATATCGGCTCAAGATGGGTTGAGCTAGGTTGACAACAATATACTAGATCTGTTCGATACTGGGCAGGTATTCCGACATGTATGGTAATTGTCTGCAATAGTCATGTCGTGTATGCAGGAACAAGGTGGAAGAGTGATGCTCGCGACGCGTCGATTAGGGACCCACAGTTACTGTTAGCGCTTCCTGCTCATTCGCCGCTTCTATAAGATCACACGCATTCGCACCACCCACGATCGGATCGGGCAATGGAAGGCCATCATGTATTACACTGTCTTGTGCGATGGCAACTGGGCAGGTCAGGCAAATAGGAGGTGCTGCTAAAGTAGGGTCAACGGCTTCCTAAGTAAAACTTTCTTTGGACGTTCAAATGCCCATTGAGCATCGGCGCTCAAAACTCCGCACATCGGACAATGACTAAATTCCAACACACAGCTCCAACACACTCGATCAGATTTCAATCTTGGTCGGAATTTGAATAATCTACTCTTATCCAAACTCTTCGCGCATTCTTTTCGGGATATCCACCATGGCATCACCACTAAATTTATTGTCCACCCACATCGCTAAAGGTTATCCCATAATCCTGGACGGTGCACTAGCAACTTATCTGGAGACGTTGGGAGCAGATATAAGCGGCGCATTATGGTCCGCATCGATTCTCTTGGATCAGCCGTCCCTAATCAAACAAACGCATCTCGATTACTACCGTGCGGGCGCCAATGTCGCGATCACAGCATCTTATCAAGCGTCCGTTGCAGGATTAGTCAAGCACTTAAGCCTGAGTGAAGAGGAGGCCAAGCAAGTTGTGGCAAAGAGCGTGGAATTAGCTCAGCAAGCAAGAGATGAATACGTTACCGAAACAAGTGAAGGTGTTCGCGGTAGATTATTCATAGCCGGCAGCGTAGGCCCATACGGCGCTTTCCTTGCAGATGGCTCAGAATACCGGGGCGATTATTCTATCCCCCAAGAAGAGATGAAGGACTTCCACCGCGGACGAATCCAGGCCCTTGTATCTGCGGGCGTCGACATTTTAGCCTGCGAGACCATACCATCCAAAGGCGAAACCGAAGCTCTCCTGAACCTCCTTACCACAGAGTTTCCAAAGACAGAAGCTTGGTTTGGCTTTACACTACGAGACAGCTCGCACATCAGCGATGGAACATCTTTGTCGGAGATCGCAGCGCTCTTTGATGACGTGGAACAGGTGGTTGCGCTGGGCTTCAATTGCGTACCGGATGACTTGGCGTTGGCTGCTATGAAGAACTTGAAGCCGTTGGTGAAGAGAGGGACATTGCTTGTGTATCCCAATTCTGGTGAGCAGTGGAATGCTCAGGCAAGGAAGTGGGGAGGTAAGAGAACAGAAGGGTCTACGTTGGCGGAGAAAACGAGGGAGTGGTCTGAGGCTGGGGCTGGTTTGATTGGAGGTTGTTGCAGGACTACACCGGAAGACATTGGAGTTATGAAGAAGGCACTTGAGGGAGGCCGCTAGATCATCGAGGGACGAGAGGCTCAAGGATCATAGTCAAAAAGTTATCGCTGTTGTATTCAAGATGCTCGATTGATGTGTAAATGTATCGTAGACTACTTCTTTCGTTACATCCACTCACCGGGAAGTGACAAAACTCGCGCACTTGGCACATAGTCATCCATCACACTGTATGATGGGGAGTCGGAGGGTGCTGTTGGACTCCTTGAGGTTGAGCTATCCTCTGGCTCGGCTGTGTTGGTCGTTGTGACCGCCCTTTAGTTTCCAGGTACTCACTGCCCGTTCGGATGAACGCTTTGGCAACACTCCCTGAGATCCCTGAACGCACATGGTCTGTTGTTCAGGACATGAATCATCACCCTAGGATCGTCGCTTGCAGTGCATCGCGTGCATGCTGCTCGGTTGTTTGGCTCGGCTGGACGCATCTCACTCAATACGTCCTAGCACTCTCACCCATCGACATCCATGTATTCTTCTCCACCTACCGCACCGCCAGTTCGTTTCTGTAGCTCCTCTAGTATGGCCTTGGCTCGATCCAAAACATCTTCGGTCCCAACCTGTCCCGAGCTCGCCCTTGCGTTCAGCACGCCAACGTCAAATTCCCCATAGCCTCCGTTCTTGACTTCTTTCTCCGGGTCCACAACTTCCGTCTCACTTTCCTTGCCTTTCTGCCCCTGCCCTTGTCTCTGCGTGACGGTGAACTTGGGATGGCTTTTTGGGATGACTTTGTACCGCTCCAGAGCGTTGATTTGCTTCACCAACTCTGTTCGTATTACTTCGCAGGACGCACCGACGAAGAGAGCGTTGATTCGGAAAGCTTCTTTACGCGCTTCTAGGGTGCCAGGGGTACACTCCATAGCGTCATGTTGGAAGGGGATGGGGTCGTTGGTGAGCTGGCTAAGGGCGGTTGCGAAATATTTGAGCAATTTGGGTATTTGGTGGTTGATCTCGTTGAGGGTGTCGATGTGTTCAGCAGCGACCTCACGATATGTTTTCGGCTCTTCAGAAGCTTTGGTGGTTCCGGCCTGTTGCTGGTCTATCTCGTTTGCGGTTTGTGGATCGGCTTCGGTGGACATGGTGGGATGTCTGGAGGGTGTGGACAATGATAGCGGCCAGAGTGCCAGAGAGGTTGATTGGTTTATGAGGCTAAAGAGAGGTTGTCTGCGACAAAGAGTAGGTTTGCCAAAAAGTAATGCGACATGTATTTGGCGTGAGTTGCGTGTCTTGGAGTCGAAGCTGGGGAAGCTCAGGGCCGCCCGCCATGCATGCGCGCGGCCTTCTTGGCAGGCCGCGCGAGTCGAACCTCACTTCCGTCTTTCACTCCGCAACACGGCTAGGCTCGGTGACGTCCTGGGAAGCTTCAGACGCGACTCACCTATCTACACAGAGACTCCACGCGTCGATATCTCACCACTACCACTTGCGACAGAGAAGCAACCATCGGAAGGCGTTTCCGATCCTTCATGCGCATTGCGACCCGTCTCCACCCAGCCTCGAGGTGAAAGAGCAGCCATCTGCCAATATAGAAGAGAAGGAGCAACACCACAACCATGTCAGGGCCCCCGCAAGGGCCCGGGCCTGTAAGGCAAATGAGTGTAGGAAATGGACCACCCAGCGCAGGTTTACCACCACACAACGCCATGCCTCCACAAGGCGGTCCTCCGCCGCCAGGTGCCTCAGGGCCGCAGTCCCAGCAGAACTTGAACCAGATTGTGGGTACAGCTCTTTTTCCTATCATCACGTCGTCTGCTATTGTGGTGCCTGTACAATTACGAAGAGTGAGAGCGCATTGTTACAGCTGGTTCTGGATGTCGCGTTTGGTGAAAGAAAGCTGTCCTTGGCTATATTCTTGACTTGCGCTTCCTTCCACCTTGTACGCCGCTCAGCTCTCATTCTGCACGCACATTATCACTACATATCTACCACAACCTTTTTTCTCTACTGCGACAGGTTTCCAGCTTCGCGCGTTCTGCTTTGCACCCTGACCAGCAACGTCACGACAGTCAAATATGAGCGCATCGTTGCACAGCCAGGCCCATGCGGCGAATTCCAGTAGCAACAATATGGTACTGCGCACTTGGAGCATTAATTGCTTCCAACCTGGGGATGACTGTACCTTGGAGCGTGTCGTTGCTAACCTTTGTACAGGTCTTGGAGTACCTCTCAAAAAAAGGCTATGTTCGCACCGAGGCGATGCTCCGCAAGGAGTCTGAACCGCAGACCAACGGCCAGCCGCTCACGGCGCAGAGTACCGAAGCAGGCGGCGCGAAATATACAAAAGCATTCGAGCTTCTACGCAAATACACCGAAGATAACCTGGACCTGTATAGACCAGAGTTGCGAAAGCTGCTGTGGCCCGTCTTTGTGTACTCATTTCTGGACCTGGTGCGCGACTTTTACACGAAAGACGCGGAAACATTTTTTGCGACGTACCAGGGCCTCTTTGAGCGCGACCACGACGAAGACATCAAGACACTTCGCCAAGTGCGATTACAAGCACATCTGCAGGAGAGTCGAATAGCGAAGCTGTACATCGACAACAAATACCGGATCACGCTAACGACGATGCCATTCTTCAACCTCATTCAATTTCTCGAATCCAAGCATTTTGACGGTGGTGCGACAATAATAGACGTGATCCGGGAACACCTGAACATCGTCACTGTCGACCGGACGGCCACCGCCGAGAAAAGCATTGCAGCAATTCTTGCGAGTGGACATGGCGAAGACGAGCTCCCAGCGGAGGATGAAGGTATTCCAGGACACGCCCCAGGTCATCCTCTTACTGCGCGCCACGATCCCGAAGCGGAAGCTGCCCGAATCAGGCTACAATTAGGAGCATACCCACAGGAGGCAGATCTGCAGGAAGACGTCCGAGCAGCTCTACAAGACGAGGACGCTAAAAATGCGCCAAGACCAGGACAACCAAGTCTGGTAGAGGAGTTTGAGCAACGCATAAAACAGGAACCAACAGAAGACGGGCCTTCGCGCGAGTTTGTTCCTTTGCCTCCCTCTCTAGCGCGCGACGTCTCTATGGAGGTTCAGAAGATCATCGAGCACCGAGATCGCTACAAGATGGAAGGCAGAACAGGCGGTGTTGGTCCCGCTGTCAGCGTGACCATGTACACCTTTCATAACACGTATGACAGGTCAGTCAACTCATTATACCCCTCTGAAATTTAATGACTGACGCGGTAACAGTATCAACTGTATCGACTTCTCTGGTGACAACCAGCTCGTCGCAGCCGGCATGAACGAGTCCTACATCCGCGTCTGGTCCATGGACGGCAGTCCTCTCACCTCTCCGAACGACAACCCAGACGCTCAGCCATCGTCTTCCAGGCGGCTTGTTGGCCACTCAGGCCCTGTTACTGCGGTGGCCTTCTCACCCTCCACAGCAAATCCGTATCCTTCTGGCCCGCCCACAAACTCAGAATGCCTCCTTTCATGTTCGGAAGACAAGACCGTCAGGCTATGGTCATTAGATACATACACCTGTCTTGTAGCGTATCGCGGACACGACAATCCTGTCTGGGACCTGCAATGGGGACCGTATGGACACTATTTCCTCACTGGTTCGAACGATCGTACTGCGCGTCTGTGGTCAACAGATCACATTGAACCTCTACGCATCTATGTTGGCCACGACAACGACGTTGACTGCGTTGCTTTCCATCCCAACAATCTCTACGTATTTACCGGCTCTTGCGACCGCACGGTGCGCATGTGGCACATCGCCGGTGGTAATTGCCTGCGCCTCTTTACTGGTCATACAGGCAATGTAACTGCTATAGCCTGTTCTCCTGACGGCAGAACCCTAGCATCCGCTGACGATGCTGGCAACATTATCCTCTGGACTCTTGAAACTGGGCGAAGACGCAAGCGCATGCGCGGACATGGCAAAGGCGGGATCTGGTCGCTTTCTTGGAGTGTGGAGTCGAGCGTTCTTGTCTCAGCCGGTGCGGATAAGACAGTTCGTGTTTGGGATGTACTGCAAGAGACTAGCGATAAGGCTGCTGACGGTGTGGCTGCGAAGGCAGATGGCGCCATGACGACCAAGGGCGCAAGTGGCACCACAGTCACGGGGAAGAAGGCCAACAAGGAGGCAGGTGTGTCGGCGGACCAGATCAGCGTCTTTCCGACTAAAGACAGTCCTGTGTATAAGGTACAGTTCACCCGGATGAATTTGGTCCTTGCCGGTGGTGCGTATCTACCGACACGTCAATAGAGCTTAGCATCAAGCTAGGCCTTGAGGTGTTCATATACGGATGGGTGCATTCGGGCGTTTTTTTTAGGAGGTAAAAGCATCAAGATGACTAGCTATAGTATACCCGCATGTAGAATCTCATTCTTTCAATCTCATACTCCATGTTGTTGACCCCGATCTCCCACAATAGCGTGTTCGGACGGCATCGTGAGTCGTCTATTAGGCATATCTGCGATTCTGGCCTCACTCGGCCTTGAAGTGAAAAACTGGTCTCTTGCGATTGCGCTTGGAGCTGCCGAAGGTTATCTCGTGACGTTGCTGTAGTTTTACATCATCCCAGTGGCCTCCGAGGGTTGTTTCCCTTGCCACTTGGACTTGTTTGTTGTGATCTGAGAGCACCTTCCCTAACCTCAAAGCTTCACAGAGGTCGCCCATCCCTTGGCACTCGTGCCTCCCTTGATATAGTCCATCGCCCAGTGTTTATCATCTCTCTTCTGCCCACATAAACCTCCTACACTCGCTTGCCACAACCATCATCGCCCTCCTTCAGCAACTGATCTGGCCCTTTGATCATCTTGCTCATCAGGTGCACTCCCTTATCCAACCTCGCCTCAGCTGCCAGCCCGACGCTTGACATGAAGATCATTCAGCTTGCCGCTATCTTCGGAGGTACTGCTCTCGCAGTCCAGCCTCTTGCAGCTCCTCGTAAGTCATACCCTTCCTCCATGCCATCTTCTAGTCAGCATTGCTGCTCAATAGGGTAGCGCGCTCCTCGAAGCCAGATCTGGCGATCCTGAACGATCAGGTAACCCTGACATGTGAACAGATGTCCAGCGCGCCCTCACAGACACGCACTCCATGGTCGTTATGGTCACGTCAACTCATCTAGTCTCCGAGATCTGCACGGATATCGCGAGCTGCCCTCCTTATACTACAACTGCCCAGACATCCGTCGTTTATGTCACTGCAACAACAACAATCTGTCTTCTCTCATCCACACCTCCCGGGTATGGACCACCTGCGACTACAGTTAATCCTTCATCCGTTGCTAGCTCTACATACCCCACCGAGTCTGCAGGCATCACTGTCAGCACCATTCCTGGGTCTTCGATCTCTCCTACCGGTTCCGAATATCTCAGTGGCTCTGCTCCTCAGTCAAGCGCACTGCCAACGGACGTCTCCTCAAGCGCCTATGTCACGGTGCCTAGTGTGAGCGTAATCACTCGGTCGGAGTCTTACAACGGCCCTGTCGTTGTCACCCTTACGTCTGTGTATCCTGGATCAAGCGTTGTCATTGTGATCCCTTCATCTACCACCTTAGATGTCGTCAATTCGTTTTATTCCGGTTCACCAACTACACTCAGTCCTACCGGCTCTTCGACTGGATACGTTGCACCTCCTGATAGCTCATTGGTCTCATCGCTCACGATCCCAGCTCCTGTGGTTCCCAGTAGCTCAGCGGTCTCATCTATGTCATACCCGGGCTCTGTTCCCTCTGGTAGCTCAGCAACTCCATCCTACAGCAACACCGATGCAGTACCTACCTCGTTGGTCACTCCATCTCTGGGACCCAGTTCCGGTAACTCGGTTACTCCTTCGACGCCAGGCTATGCTCCCTCCAGCTCAGCAACCCCACCTAGTAGCAATACAGATGCCGTGCCTACTTCCCTCAGTGCTACCGTTACTGATTCATCGTCGAGTGGATACAACGTTCCTTCCAGCATCTCGACTAAACAGTCAGGCTCTTACGTAGGTACCGTGCCGACTACCTTCACAGTCTCGTTACCCACAGGTCCATCTTCAAGCGGGTATGCAATGTCATCAAGCAAATCGGCTATCTCTTCAAGTCCTGCTGGTCTGTCTTCGAGTGGATACATTGTGCCACCGGGTAGCTCAGACGTACTGACAAGCTCGGGCACTGCTGTTCTACCTTCTTCTCCCACAGCCTCTTTGCCAAGTGCCAGCTCTGCTGGACCTTCCTCAAGCAGGCTCCTCACAGGCTCCGAGACGGATGCTGTGCCCACCTCTTTTCCGTCTGGTGGCCCATCGGCTGGGCCTTCATCAGGTAGCTACTTTGTTTCATCCGGCACTGCATCAGGATCTTCGGGTACTGGCTCTGGTACATATCCGGCTAGAACGTCTGCGACATCTGGTTACCCCAACCCCTCGCACTCAGCAGGCTCTGACTCTACCGTCACCGATAGCACGATTAGGATTACGAGCTATCAGACGCAAACGTTCACCTCATACGTCACTGCAGGACCTTCCTCAAATGGGGCTGGCAACAACACAAACACGGATACACAGGCTGTAGCGACAAGCTTCCCTTCAAGTGTTTCTGGTTATCCCTCCGGATCCGGGTATGTCTTGCAGTCTCCTTGTACCCTTGAACATCCACTAACCAGTCTCTTAGTTACCCACACCCATCTAGCGGCATCAACGGTACGATAATTGCGCCCTCTCCCAGTTATATCGAAGTCCCTATCAACACCGGTCATATCGTCGGTGTCGGAAAGAGCTCTCTCACAGCAATCGTCGTCGCTCTCGTCTTCGTTCATCTCGCATGAGCCAGTGAGTTATCTCTTTCGCGCAAACTGGTCTCCGTCACAACAGAAGTGTGCTGTTGGTGTGGTAGGTCGGCCTGGTGGGCATTCTTGCATCGCGCATCGCGTCTAGCATGCAGCATTCTGGCTCTTTATACATATTTATCGTGGGTTTTTTTTTCGGGCAAAAGGGTGATGGTGTGATCTTTTTAGGGCGAGTTCCTTAGCTAGGCAGGGTTTTCCTCACATGTACTACCAGTTACACGGCCGCAACAGATCAGCATACAATATACAGCACCTTTCACTACGGCCGTCAAAAAACATCTTCTATTTATTGTGAAATCTTGATGAGGGCATTTCGTGAAGAACAATCTGCCTGGCAGATACTGGTGGCTTGACGGGAAATTGGATGACCATTTGGTCATTTATTGTTGAATAATTGACTAACTCAAGTGTATTGAGATAAGTTGTAATGTTCTATCTACGGGTAAAGTAGTCCTTATATCCCTTAAACCTTTCTTTGTCTTGAAGTTTGACTGTATAGTCGTTTGTCTTAGACAACATTTATCGACACCGTATACCAACAGCTTGCAGGGTACCATCTAGGCTCTCATCGTTACCAGGTATCTTTCTGCTCCAAACCTCCTCAGAAACACGTTCAGCTGCAGGGAGTATGTTGAAATGTGGACTTGGCTCGGCCTTCAACCACTTGAAGTCATCGATCTGATTCCACTGGTTGGCTGACTGCTCGATCTCTGGTGTCTTCTACACGATCGTTAGCGCTATTATATGAACAAAGGCTATAAATTCCAAAAGACGGACTCACGTAGGAATCAGGTAATGGTGCGAACCTCAAGCCCTCACAATCCTCAAAGATTGGTCGACTAGTACTATGCAGATACACATCCACGTCTTTGCTGCCATGCATACGGAACTGTCGACACGCTGTTACTATGACACTGTTGGAGACGTCTGTGATGTGGATTGCTCCTGCGACTTGGCCGGTAATGATGAGCGAGGAGGTTATGGAGCGGAGGTAAAGAGCGGCGAAGGGTGCGTCGGCTTTTGTTGGAGCGCTAAGATCGACGACACAGTGGGCAAGATGGGAAACCGTTGGTGAGCTTGTGGCGTAAGGGGCTTGAGCGAGAGTTATACGGGCATGCGACTTGTGGGAGAGGGTCGACGTGAACGAATCCTGTTGCGCCGTTTCTTGATGTTGCGATGGTTGCGATGGTTGCGATGGTTGCGATGGTTGTTGTTCAAGTAGAGAAGACGACTTCGCACTCGATGTATCCAATACTTCCGGTTTAGCTTCTGGTTTCATGATATCCTTCTTCTTGCTCTTGAAACTGAACTTCTTGGGTGGATCGAAGCTGTTCCTCACACTTGACAACTTCTCACTCAACTTCTTGATGGTCTATACTCTCTCGTCAGCTCGATCTTCCCATTCTCAAACTTTTTCATAAGAACTCACCTCGCTATATGTCCGCTGATCATACGCGGGTAGAAGACTTGACGCGTCTTGGACATCGTGGGATAATCGATCTATGCCTGCGAGGCAGTCGTCTATCGCTTGATTGCGCTCGCCACCAGATGTCGACAGGGAGGATAAGCTTTCGATTTGCCTTTGGAGCGCTGGTATGTGTTATTCTAGTGTATCTAATGCTATTGATTACAACTACGCACTTGCGACATCCTGGTGGAATTGGCGGTAGAAGGTCTCTTTGAGGTTGGACTCGGCCATTGTGCATGAGATTCAATCGCGATTCAGCTTGATTGACTCGAAGACGCTAGAACTTCAAGTTATCGTTACCCGCTTTACCAAATGCGCTGGACCTTGAGGAGTCTTGGGAGAGGTTCACGCGTCATGAGGTGGTTTGGTGGGGTTGGGAGAAGAGACGCGCATTGAGCGCGACAAAAACATCATCATCATGCAACACGCTGGTCTACATGATCTGCGACTTGGATTCCTACTCAATTTCAGTGATAAAATGATCTTCTAGGGAGCTTTTTTTCCCTTCTCGAGAACAATGTAGTAGCGAGCATATTTAAGGTAAGGACCGAGATACGCGATATGGTCGAACTGGTGGGATGCACGCTACCCCGCATTTCACCAATAGCATCTAGTATGTTGTCACCGATAGCAGAAGCAAGGCTGTTGTCCCAAATGAGTAGATTTAGACCGAAAATCGACAAGAGCTATCTGAACATCACACAATATCGCGCGCCTTCTTCTCGTTGACCAATTGGCCTTGAACAGAGCGGATAGCTGAAACTCAAGCTTATACACAGCCCGCGCTGCATGGCTCATTACATCAGTGTTCAGAGTATTCGCCAATTCATAACAGAGCCTATTGGGGTTTTGTTTGGTCCACATTGAGACTGAGAGACTTCCTCCCACCACATGCGTAAGAGACAATGCCACGATCTTGATGAACAATTCGATTGTCGAGATAGTATATACACGAGCCAGATGTAGCCCAGGTGTTTGTGATGAGGTATTTGTTGTGGTAAACTCCAAGAAAAGGTTTGTTGCTTTCAAGCCGACTATTGCTCTGCCTTGACGTCGATGCCGTACTTCTCCAACAGTCGTTGCCGCCTCCTCTCCTCGTAGCCGGGGCCATAGATTCCTAGGAGAGTCAGTCTCGGCGAGCGTGTGCTGCCCACCTTTCAACATACCTCGTCCCTCGCCCAGTTGCTGGAGCGTCTCGGATAGTGGCCGCCTGCGCACCTTCTTCAGCTCCTCCCTGCGCTCGACCTCGCCATCGTCATCGACCTGGTCGCGGATGTCTCCGACACCGCGCATACCATTGGCGTATCGGTAGGCACTGAGGGCGGTGGAGAAGCATACTCCGGCACCGAGCATGAAGGGAAGGCTCCGTCCTGTAGTCTGTCAGTACCAGGCCATGCACGAGTCTCGGATATGCGTACTGGCAACACCGACACCGCATCCAGCGACGAAACCAGCAACTGCTTCGCTGTAGCAGTCGTCTTTTTGTCGCAGGTTGCTGGTCGCGTCGAGTGTGAATTGATAGGCGGCTCCGACACCAGCTGCACGTCAATTAGCTTCATCGTGATGGATTTGCGTGCAATTGGCCTGCTACGGACCGTATAGGGCGATTATGCCTCCCGAGCGGGTGAGGATGCCCATGGCTCCGACATTCTGCTTCCGTAGTGTGTTCTGAACACCGGCAACGACGGCGCCGACAGCCGTGGTCTGGAGAGTGGTACTCGCCGTGTTGGAGAGGGCGTCCCGGGGGTGGAAGGTGACGTGTTGGTTGGCCATGGCGGGCGGATTGGGCGTGGGTGTCGACTTGGAAGCTCTATAGACGTTGGTGAAGTCGGCTGCGGCAAGTTGCGCCAGACGGTAAGCGTCTTGGCGCTCAGGGCTCAGGCGGCGGGCGGGCACTGCATCATCGCGCGCCGCGTCGCCTTGAGCTGTCGCATGGACTGCCGCGAGGCTGTTTGCTTCGCCGCTTGTGCCTCTATGGTTTTACTTTCTACCATGCATAGCCCTTGGAGTGGAAACTTCGTCCACGCGGGCTAGTTGTTCCGTTCCTTCTGGAACCTAGCAATATAGTGTATGCTAGGCGGTTGCCGCCCGCGATGCCCTCGCTGTAAACGCTTCAGTCGCACGTTGGCAACCTCTCTTCGCCCTTCTCCACCCATATCGCCGTGCGTGCTTGCTGTGCTGTCCTACTCCACCTCGCTTTCTGTCATCCATAACACAAGCTGCACTGCTGCTCCCCGCTATCACCCCCAGCAGACATGGCGCCCGGTACCTTTTCCACTCTTGTGCCACCAGCGTGTGCTAACTATGGCTTCCAGGCAAGACGGCGCCGCGGTTGCTCCAGGATCTCTTCACGTACGACCCACGACACGAAGAACGCGCCGGTCGGAACTTGTTGACCAGCCCCCCGCCGCAACACGACAGCAAAGCCCCGCCAGTCCCCGCCGTGCCCTTTAGAAACTGCCGTCACAACCTGTTTACCAAGTCCGAGCAGTCGCTGTTACCCGTGCCAGGCGAAGATCCAACCTCGAGTACCGTATACAAGGTCGCTTCTTACTGCATCAAGTGTCGCTGGCATGTCGATATACTCGTCGACCATCGCATCGATGCTGCCAAAGTCAAGTCGTGTGGCAAGGGAAACGAGGACTATGCCCTGCACCACTTTCTCTACCAAGGAGAGGATGACGCAAACAGCACGGCCAGGTTCGAGGCTCAGCTACGGCCGCGTACCTATATCTTTCGCTGTTCTGCCCCACAATGTTCGGTCCAGGTACGGATCAGCATCAAACCGCCGTGCTTCTCGGAGCACGACATTGAGACCTTGACGAACCAGGCTCAACTTAGAAGGCGATGGGAAGCAGCGAAACAGATCGCCGGCGACCGAGCAGATACAAGCATGGCACGGAGGGTCGATGCTCCTGATTATCTGAACACATACCTGCAGGACTCGTTAAAACCAGCAAAGGGCAAGGCGCGCATCCCGCTGTTAAACAAGAAGTTTCTCAAGACTTTTGGTAAAGATTGTGACTCGATACTGAGACGTCTGGGCTTCGAGAAACACCAGGAAGAAGAGGAGGACACTTTTGTAGAAGCCTGGTATCTTCCTAAGCCTGAGGAACCCGCATCTCCTCTCGAATCGACGCTGCGCTCCAAGATCGAGGACGCTCGCTATGAATTGAATACCATAATATTGGACATGCCAGAGAGTGAACGCGTGGGTTGTAGACATCAACCAATGTATCCTACGCCGTCACGTGGCGACATGGAAAGGGCATTAGCATGTGCGGATTGTATGTCCTTATACGCGCCGCTCGTTGCACAATGTGATACTGACAAGCTGCACAGATGCCAAGGCGAAAGAACGGGAGACACGCAGTACAAACCACGAAGAAGATCACCCGTACGTGCCCCGCCTTCACCTTCACCAGTCCTCTGTTTACTGACAGGGAATAGCTACTACGCTAGTCTGGGTGCCGTTGGAGACTTTGACGACTCCTTGATCCTTTTCGCCTTCTCTCGACAAGGCGCCGTTGACATCGAGAACAAGGCGTACTACTTTGAATGCTTGCAGGATCTCGCGACCGGTCGCCAAAGTGACATGCTCGGGATGCAAGTAGCTATGTTGGCTTCACAGGGTCTCACAAGCAAACGGGAGGCCGAGCGCGCATATCAATACTTTGGTATCGACCCAACACACGCAAGCGTAATAGGCGACGATCACATCATTGGATGTTTCCGTTCCCGCCTAGCCGATGTCAGCGTTATCCAAGCCGAGGAGGCGCGAAAGCAACTACGAGTTCTGGGAGACGTGCGTGAGAGCGATAAAATACGAGCAGAAGCTTCGGGCTCTATCGAGACGTACGAACAAGCGATGGCTTTCTTCGACCTTGATCCTAGCGTAGCTGACGATTTCGTTCCAACCATGTATTCGCTTAAGGTACTGTACACGGATCCCTACATGGACTGCTTGTCGTCTGGAACGAATGCTGACGCGCAAACTAGACTCAAGACAACCCTTCAAGCATAGAAACTGCCAGAAAGGCTGTGGAAATTATAGCAGAGACGCGCAACAGCGAACGACTACGCCATTTTGCCAAATTCGGGACGATGAGCGATCCTGAAATGGACATAGGTGACGCATACGCCCTCTTCGACCAAACAGACAGAACGGTCCCGCTTGATCCTGCAGTTCTAGAATCTGTTCTTAGCACATACGAAATCGGCACAAGTGAAAGATTAAGAATGGAGAAAGCGCACGCTCTCATCCAGTACGACCAGTCTCAAAGATTTGGCGACAACCATGTCAACCCGAAACGCTCAGAATTCAGACGAAATCTGTACCCTCTCGAGAAATGGCCGGTCGGGCTTCGCAACATCGGCAATACCTGCTACCTGAACAGCGTACTCCAATTCTTGTTCACTATCAAGCCTCTAAGAGATCTTATTCTCGATATTGAAAAGCATATGCAAGACCCCTCCCCAGAAGCATTGAATAACAAGAAAGTTGGGCGCATGCTCGTCACAGCCGAAAGGGTTCTGACGGCACAGAAATGTCAGTATAAACCTCCCTTTGCGCAAATTAAGATTAACTTTGGATAGTCGTTCGTGAGTTACGGGCTCTCTTCGAGCAAATGACGACCGCTCCAACTGAGACGGTACAGCCTGCGATAGATCTTGCTTCTCTCGCACTCTGCAAATCGGATAACCCTGTAGAACCGGCACAGTCACCGTCAATGGACACTACCGATCGCACTGGTTTAGGTACCATCGACGGAGCAGTGGTCAGCGGACCCATGTTACCACCTGCGGCAATGCAGTCAATCCCCGCAGAAGCTCCGGCAGGTTCAGTCGTGAATAGCGATGAGGCAAAGCCTGCGGACTCCGTCATGGATGATACCGATGCAGCCCCGATTACACCTGCTGATTTGGTCATGGCCGATGATGGTTCAGCAAGCAAGAGCGAGAGCGACATACCCGCTCCACCGACTCGACCTCCCCCAATTCCGCCACGAGCAGACCCTAAGCCGGCCATGAAGCCTGCTGTTCAATCAAGTACAAAGATTGGTAGAATTGAGGAGAGCGCTCGGCAGCAGGACGCCGCAGAAGTCATGGCCAACATATTTGACCTCATCTCCTGCGCCATAACGGGCGATAGTATTTTACGAGAAGGTGAGCAAGGAGACGCCATCAAGAAGCTATTCTTTGGTGATGTCACCACAGTTATGGAGAAACCAGATGGTGTACAGAAAGTCCAGGAGCTCCGAGATCATTTCCTCGTGGCTACTGGACAACGAGATCGCTCACTCTATGCTACCCTTGACGAAGATTTCGGGCTAGGTGAGATAGAAGGTGGCAGTGGCACAAGATACGATTATGTCGAACAGGCCGCGCCCATTCAGATCATCAACGTGAAACGATTGCAATTCAACAAGGGCCAGCCTGTATACGATCACTCGCATATCGGTCTAGAGAAGACCATGTATCTAGATCGTTACTTGGCGAGAACACCAACACTAGATGAAGCACAATTGCTAGAACTTCGCAAAGCGCAATGGGCAAAACAGAAAGAGCTGCGCGAGCTAGACGCAAAACGAACAAAGCTACAGACAACAGGCATGGAAGGCATGAACCTACCTGACTGTCTGAAGGCAGCGGGCGATTTCGTCGAAAGTCTCGCCACAGAGAAGGCAGAGCATGAGCCAGTATCATCGAGGCAAGACTTTTTGCCTACTCCACCTCCCGAACTCTGTGACGCCCTTCAAACTCGGGCCACCAACCTCGCCGCCGATCTGTCGGGCATCGATGGCCAGATGACAACTCTGGAGTCGGAAATCAACACCGTCTTCAAAGATTGCACTTCTGTTCCCTACCGTCTCCATGCTGTCTTCACCCACCGCGGCGATGTTAAAGGTGGCCATTACTGGATCTACATCTACGACTTCCAGAACAACGACTGGAGAGTCTACAACGACGAACAAGTAGATCCTGTTGTAGAGGAGGGTATAGTGCTCGACAAGGAGGAAGGATCCCGACCGAAGGTCAGCACAGGTGTGGTGTACGTGAGAGCTGATCTCGTGGACGAGTACACTGAGGCTGTATGTCGCCGACCTGAAAAACCCGAGGAGGATGTACCGGCGGATGTCGAGATGAAGGATGCTGTGTTTGCCGACGATGCCATGCCGGCGCTTGAACCGGCAGATCTGAAGGATGTACCTGTCATTGAGGGCGTGGAGAAGGAGTAAGCTCTTTTCTTTTGAGCCCCTGCTCCTTTTCCCCCCTTCTCTCTACTCCTGTTTGCTGATCTTGACTGTTCTATTAGCATGGATCTGGTACTCCAGGATGAGCCTTTGACTACTCCTCAGGAGAAGAGAGTAGGCGCACGTCTGGAATCTCCACCTAAGAGAGGCAAAAGCGAAGTTGGGATCAATGATAGATCCAGTGGGATTGATTGACTAGAGGTGAACATCGGTACTGTGCAAACCGGGCTACGCTGAGCGTATGCAACTGTGTTGAAGGGCATGACTAACGAATTGTGCTTGCATTGGCACTAGCATTGGTAATGGCTCACAAATAGAATTAGGATAATGCATAGTGACGGGCACTGTTTTTGTGACCCGGTGAAGGCTGATGTATTCTGTTGCATGCATACGACGTGTTTTTACTCGTCATCACCGTAGCGGCACAGGAAGCTCACACAGCTTGTCTCTTCCTTCCTCCGCCTCTTCGCCAATTCCACAGCGCTTCCTGAGCAAAAGTGCGTGCAGTCAAATGACCCCTCTCCTTGTTGGCCTCTTCAGTCAACGTCTCAATCACCCTTCCTTGCTCGATGCACTGCCACAGCCCCCCTGCCATGGCACTGCCAATATCCTCCTCTACCCACTCCTCTCCATCCTCGTCTTCTACTACCTCTGGATTCTTGGCTACTTTTGCTGGTCCGTCCGTCGTTTGTTCCACGCTCTCAACGCCGAATTCTCCTCTGCCTAGTCTGTATAGGATACGACCTAGCGTTTGGTATGCGATACACCGTTGACTTGCCACTTTGCTTCGCGCCGTGACTGCCAGTTCTGGTATTGTGTATCCTGCTGCCTCTGGGGCTTCGGCGTGATGGTGAAGGCCCCTGTCGGTGGGTATATCTCGTGCGACGCTAGGTGCTAGCAAATTGCCAGAAAAGTCGAAGCGCAGTTCTGCCGGATTCAGGGCGGTTTGAGAGGGGTGGTAAGGAGATTTGGTATCGGACGGGTCAATTGGCGACATCCATGATAGCGAGGAGGGATCGTAGGGTAGCGTGGGGAAGTACTTCTCATGTAGGTTTTTCAGGAATAAGGGATCGTTTGGGTCGAGGTCGGGCGGTTGTGGAGGTCGTGGGAAGTGTATTGAGTCTGCGGCATCCGGAACAGCTGCCGATGCGGTGTCGTCGTCTGGCGAAGATTGTGTGGCGGGTATCAGACTCGGTGCTGGTTGTGACGTTGCTTCCTTTGTTGGCTCTGGGGCAGCGAAGGAGACCTTCTTCGTACTTGGGGTCTGGGGCTGAGGTTCTGGCTTGGCTTGGTCAGTCAAGAGGGGTGCAACGGCTGCTGGTTCTGGCGGCTCTGTATCAAAGTCGCGCTCGTTGCTCCCTTGATCAATGTTGGACCGCATGAGCAGCTTCTGCAGTAATGCTGGATTGAGACTCGACATGAGCTCTTGCCGTTCCTGCTGAATCTCTGCATCTGACATGCCCGCTAGTGTCTGCCTATTCTCTTCGTCTATCGCTCGTCTCTCCTCGTCCCGGTCAAGCCCAAATGCGCTTCGTGGTTTGGGCGCATCTTGCATTTTCGCAGGTGCTTTTGGTGCCGCCGCAGCTTGCTGGTCTTTGGCCGCGCGCTGCTGCTTGAAGGCCGACATTCTCGGTACGCGTTTTTTGTGCGCCGGAAACCCATTCACATTCGGTTTGAGCGAGGGCGCAACTGGAGGATTAGCTGGTGATGAATCGCGCTCTTGAATGTCGCCCACGAAGGTAGGGAACGACGGCATGCGGAGCTCATGCTGCTCTTCTTGATCCAGCTTCTCGACTGCGCCGGTATCAAAGTTCAAGTTCACGCGCTCTCCTCTCTGAAACTCCATGTTGACAGCAATATTGTGGCGGTGGTGTACGTGACGCAAATGTTTCCTGTCGAAACTTTGGGCTAACGGACCCTTGCATGCGGGGCGGGGTGCTATGAGCGCATCGGCTGGACCTGCCTTACGTGACACTTCCAGCAGCAATGGAGCGAATGCACGCGGCGACAGGCAGCTCAAGGCTCGCAGCTGATTCGATACCACGCCCATGTGTACTACAACTATGCTTCTTCACAGCTTTGACTTGAAGTGACAAACTGGACAACATCCTTGTTCTGGGATGATGATTTTGTCGAAAAGGATACCCCGTTGAAAACTTTCCTATTGTCTGGAATGACCCAAGTAAGGTGCAGGGTGCCTAAGCTACCAATGATGACAGGGACTCAGGTACCTGCATCGATATGTGGGATGTTTGTAAGACGAATTCGGCCAATGGTCAAGTGGTGACTGAGCTTCAGGCTGCGCAGGCAGTATCCCAATCTCATATAAGATAGCTAGGCGTGCCGTTTAAATACATGAGTACGAAGAAATGGCGATCTCTGAAAACGATGAGTCGGTTGTGATGGGATATCGACTGTCGTGCCGTAACAACGATCAAGCCAATGTGATGGATATGCTAAAATGCAGTTACAACATTGCAGCGCGGCCGCCCCGGCGGAAAGCTGCCTCGGCTAACCGCGGTCTACAACTATGAGGTCGCCAAACCACATCCCCACAACAACGACACTGTAGCTTTGAACACCAGCATATCTGGGCGTGAACTGTACTGTACTACTGCGGTCGCATACACAACGTAGACATCATCGAAATGCCCTCATTCCGTCTCAGCCCCCGCGTCCTACATCGTGCCCTTCAAAGCCGCACATATGCAACCGCCCAAGCACCGGCAATCAACGTCACCAACGTCCCAGCACCACACTGTGGAAGCATACGTATACTTTCTCTGAATCGACCTGCGGCACGTAATGCGATATCGCGGCAATTGCTCGCGGATTTGAGCCATCAAGTAAACAGCATACACAATGAGGGTGACAACGGGCCAACCAGGGCGTTGATATTGGCGAGCGATATCGACACGAGTTTCTGTGCGGGCGCAGATCTAAAGGAGAGGGCTACATTTACGCAGGAAGAGTATGTTCAGCCATATACGTGGGAAGAGTAACAGCTAACAAAATATTAGAACATCCAACTTTCTAACTACGTTACGGGGAACATTTGCATCGATCTCACAACTACCGATTCCTACAATCTCTGCATTGGCAGCACCAGCATTCGGTGGCGGCCTCGAACTAGCCCTTACAACACACATGCGCGTCTTTGCCTCTAGCACCACCGTCGCTCTCCCAGAAACTCGTCTCGCTATTCTTCCTGGCGCAGGAGGGACATACCGTCTCCCTGCTTTGATCGGTCTTTCACGTGCACGGGACATGATATTGACAGGCCGCCGTGTAGCAGCGCCGGAAGCCTATTTCCTGGGGCTGTGTGACCGGTTAGTGGAGATAACTGCCGAAGACGTACAGCAAGAAGGTGCTGCGCGAAAGAAGGTCTTGAACGAAGCTGTAAGACTAGCAAGGGAGATATGCGAAGGTGGGCCGATAGCGATCAAGGCTGCGCTTCAAGCGGTGGAGGGCTGTGCGCTGGGCGAGAAGGCCGAGAATGCTGCATATGAGCTTGTAGTCAGGACAAAGGATCGCGACGAGGCGCTTCTCGCATTTAGGGAGAAGAGGAAGCCTGTTTTCAAGGGCGAGTAAACAAATATTGGCTGTGTCGCGATCAAGTATCGACACTTGCGCACCTAGCCTGAGCCGACATGCTTCATTTCTGCATTATCAAGTCCTAGGCTACACGCTACGTTCTACATCTTACTCTTGATCTCCTCCAATAGCTTGCTTAGCTCGCCCTTGTCCGCCTCCTTGGTTGGCCAGCCAATGCCCAGCCCTTCTTGCTCATTTGGCTTGGGAATGAGGTGGAAATGCACATGATCCACAACTTGATGCGCAATCCTTCCATTGTTTTGCAGAATGTTATAGTCTTGGATGTTTTGAGCGATGGCAATGCGCTTCGTGACGGACAGGACTTCGGCCAGTTGGTCGTCGGGTATGTCGTGAAGCTTTGCGCCATGATGTTTGGGGATGATTAGCTAGCAGGAACATTAGCATCAATGGAATAGTGTTTGTTGTACAGGGACATGGAGTGAGTTAGAAAAAGCGAGATTACACACCGAATGGCCCTTGCTCAATGGGCCGATGTCAAGGAAAGCAAGTGTCTTCTCGCTCTCGAAGATCTTCATCGAAGGGATCTCGCCTAGCCATTCCGTTAGCCATTGTTGAATGAGACAAGGGTCAAGGGAAGCAGAGAGTACCCTTGATGATCTTGCAAAAGATGCATGCAGCAGAAGACATTATGGTACTCTCGGATTGGGAGTGTTGGTTGATTGGTACGAGTGTGGATTGGAGAGAGCAGTGAGGATGACGCAGGGAGCTTGTTGCGAGCCAAGTGGGGTTGACTGAGGACATGTGGGGTAGCTTTTTGGCGGGACGGTTCCGCCTTGCTTGACTTGAGATATTCTAGTTACAAAAAGATGTCTTTTCGGATACTACTGTTACTTATGACAGTTTGCACACTCTCACTTGTAGCTTCAACGCATCACATCCTTGCAGGTCATGACTGTGCCCACTTCCACGATGCGCACTCAAAATTTGCATAGCATCTGAACTCGTTGCTCAAACCTTTCGCGTGCTTGATCTCGTAGTTCGTCGTCTTAGTTCCTACTTTCCCATATAGTTTGTCTGTGATCAAGCTCTCCATACGCTCTCCAGTGCACACAATCAGACGGAGAGAGTCTTGCGACCAGGACTTGGCGAGCCATCGTACAGTCAACGCAGCTAAGTGCCATTAGCGACATAAAACCCACGCTTGTCTGAAATGATAACAAGACTTACCTTTTGTTTGACAGTCTTGGCTTAGAAATGGTGGATCGCAAATGATTACGTCAAATGAAGCCTTCATCTCAGCCGGCAGTTGGATAGCCTTCTCGAAGTCGTAGCGCACAAACTCCTTGAAGACGGCGAAGCGTTCGTCGAATTCCAACAACTTGATCTGTGGACGACACTTGACTTCACCTGAGTTCTGGACTGAAGTCAACATGCGAGCCTCTCACTGACCCTGAACTCTTACCAGTAGATTCTTTAGTTGGATGAAAGCACTCGGAGCAGACACAACCGCTATCCTTGTCTCGTCTGTCGCACCCTCCAGAAGTTGCCGCGCGAGCACCATGGCAGTTTCGTCGCTGTACCAGAACTGACTTGCATTCCAGTCTTCGGTAAACGCATCCATGGATAGTTTCCCCTCGAAGTCATCTTCGGCTTGGCCTTTCAGTTCTTCGAACTGTTTTTGTCGTGCGTCCCGCTCGCCATAAAATTCCTTTAGGGCGGCAAGAGCATCGCCTGAAAGCTGTCTTTATCTTTCAGCATTTGTGTTTTAACCTTGGAGTCGAGTAGGGATAACCTACGGGATCTCGTCGTCGTCTTCGATCGATGCCATGCTAATTTTGGCTCAAAGCGATTTGTCGCAAAGTGCACCTGAAAAGTAATGGTCTGTCTGAGTCGTACCCCACTATCGATAAGCGCCGTGCCTCGGTAAGTCATGTCCGGCTGTAGCTCATGGTAAGAGCGACAATGCACCCGCGACTGCGATGTCTGACAACCACCTGCACGCGCAGACTATATTCAAAGATGGCAGAACCTCAAGTATTGCTTCCGGACGTTGAGCAGATTAGTGACCGGGTAATTAGAGTTCTTGGGGGTAACCCCAGCAAGGTAAGCGCTTTTAATCATTTGAAAGCATGGCGTACTCTAACAACCTTCAAGTTCACGCTGCAAGGTAGACGCATCTGCGCTCTGTAGGCTTATAAGAATCTAAGAATAATAGGCACAAACACGTATATAGTCGGTCGCGGCGCATCACGACTCCTCATTGATACTGGTGAAGGCAAGCCGCAATGGATAGCCTCGATCAAACATCTCCTTTCACAGAGAAGCATTACAATTGACAAAGTACTCTTGACACATTGGCATCACGATCATATCAAAGGCGTCCCCGATATCCTCGAGCACTCTCCAAACACGACAGTCTACAAGAATGACCCACACGATGGCTGGCTACCCATAAGCGACGGGCAGAAGTTTGAGACAGAAGGCGCGACCCTGCGCGCTTTCTTCTGTCCGGGGCATACCACAGATCACATGGCATTTGTGTTGGAGGAAGAAGACGCCATGTTCACAGCGGACAATGTATTAGGACAGGGCACGGCAGTATTTGAGGATCTATCAGCGTACATGAAGAGCCTCGACGCCATGTCGAGACAGTTCAGAGGTCGTGCATATCCTGGCCATGGACCTGTCATCGAAGACGGCCCATCAAAGATCACCGAATATATCAAGCATCGCAAGCAGCGTGAGAAACAGGTACTAGACGTGCTAGCAGAGGACAACGGAGCTGGGATGACTTCGATGGACATTGTGAAAGTGATATACAAGGACTATTCAGAGAGTCTATGGGAACCTGCAGAGAGGGGAATACGACAGATCCTTGATAAGCTGAAGCTGGAAGGCAAGGTGGGCGGAGATACGTTGTGGGCCCTTAGCGGGAAAAGTAGCCTTTAGATGTTCCAATGACACATAGTTTGGCATGGTCAGACTTTGATAAGCGACTCGTTCCAGACTTGACTGCGCCCCACCACCCTCAGGATGAATTGTTTAGATAGCATCTTCCTGACAGAGCTGGTGAATGTTATCTTGGAATATAAATTTTGCATCTTGACCAACTTTCATCGAATCATCAGTCGTGATGCCAGAGTGGTTAATGGGTTAGACTTGAATTCTTCGTTCAGTCATCTAATGGCTTCGGCCTCGCAAGTTCGAATCTTGTTCACGACGATAGCATACTGTTGCGACAGGAGCTTCTTTTTGCATGGTGGTGGTGCTGGTGGTGGTCGAGGGGGTGATGGTGGTGGTTGTCGCTGAATTGGGTTAGTCCGGCGGCATCCACGTTTTTTCCCCCACCGGGCGATCATGGCGATCCTTTGCTTCCACGTGTATAATCTACGTTCTATTCCTTCTCTTTTTCTTTGTACTACACAACCTGCGCGACTGCAGTTTAGTACATTGACGCATCATGCGACGCGGCAGTTCGACGCCATGATCACTGGTGAAAACGGGACGCGAACAGACTTGAAGAGTGACGACACCATATACAAAAGAAAAACTGAACAGGTAGAGATAATAAGTGCTTCCTTACAGCTTACGTCAGCCCCTGATGAAATAGATTGTAAACATTGATAGCATTGTAGTCTTCTAGAGTTTCTATGTGTGTTTATATATCTCTAATACAATTTGTTGTAGTAGGAAGAAGTACTCTACTGTAATAAGATGTTTAGTTTCCTTCCTCAACGTAGTGACGACAGAGCGTCTCAATACGAACAAGGGCCAGGAAAGGAGCATGTGTGCAGACAGTGGTAGATACATCAGTTTGAGAGAAGAGTATAGCGAGTATAACTACTACCGCGGTATTGAATTTGCAGTATTGTATAAAGGTGTGACATGCGTATCGTCTACAGACAAATTGAGTGACAAGCGACTTAGATCTTCTCGACTTCGAGGATGTTTCCTTGTGCATCAGTAGCGAGCTTCTTCTTGATGAGCGATGCGTTCCTCGGGTTGGGCGCATTGAATATGTCGTCGATTTCTTCGAGGGTGCGGTTCTTGGTCTCGGGGATGAAGAGCCAGACAACAAAGGCCTGTATGGGGCACCAGCAGGCGAAGACGATGTAAAGCCTCCAGCCAATCTTCTCCAAAGCGATGGGGTAGGCAAATTGGTTGATCAACATAGCCGTTGTGAGTGACAAGTTGGAGAAAGCCATACCCTTAGCACGCATCTCGAATGAGAGCACCTCAACGGGATATAGAGCCTGGAGCGGGGTGATACCGAAGGCGAAGACAGCGTTGAATAGGAAGACCAGTGCAACAAAGGCATTACCTGCGGGAATGCTGTTCGTCTTGTTCTGGTAAGAGACCGCGCCGATAGCTCCAGCCCAGATAACGGTTACAGTCGAGAAAGTGCCAATTAGCATAGGGCGTCGACCCAGTTTGTCGACACAGAGAGCGCCTATAACAGCCTGCGTACAAACTATCAGTACAGCGATTAATGATATTTAAGCGACTTCACTTACGAAAGCAAGCTGCATGCAGCTCTTGCCCAAGTTGATGTTCATTTTCTTGATCTCATCCGTGACGCCTGCGGATTCAAGAACACCGGAGATGAAGTAGTCGACAGCACTATGTGATAGAACAATCAAAGTCAGCATCGTTTCTTCTGACACTGCATCTGGGAGGTTTACTTACCCGTTACCTGCCCATTGACCGAAGATAGCAACGATACAGTTGCATGCGAGACGGTAGCGCGCGGGACGAGTCTTGAAAAGAGCGCCGTAGTCCCACCAGCGTTTGTCACCTCCATCCATGTTGAGGTACTCTTCGTACTCGCGGATTTGCATGGAGACCCAGATACTGTCCTCGTTGCCACAACCATGGTATTTGGCAAGGGTTTTCTTGGCTTCGGAGTGTTTACCGCGGGTGTACAGCCTAGATCTCATCAATATGTATTCTACCTAGGTATGCATGAAACATAGCAAGAATATGCTACTCACCAGCGAGGACTCTCAGGGAGAAGAAGAGGAAGTATAACGAGCAGGGCTGGGAACAGCATTTGCAGCCAGACAGGAATCCTCCAGGATTGGTTGCCTGCAAGGTCTGCGGCTCCACGTGTGACACCGGCTGCAAGAAGCGATCCCACGAACCAGAAAGTGTTGTAAAGACCAGTAATGACACCTCGGTGAGCTGGATGCGCAGTCTCGATAACGTGAAGGGGGCCAGCTGTTGTCATAATTGGGACCGCGAAGCCGAGCAGGAAGCGACCACCCATGACTAAATTATGGTGCGAGAGGTTAGTATGTATTCAAGGCGGGCTTCTCATATGGGCGTCTCTTACATTGGCCGACAGGGTTGGAAGCAGGAGCAGTCGACTGAATGATTACTCCAATGCAACCAAGGACTCCACCAATCATCATTCCAATTCTGCGGCCCCAGGTATCACAGGCAGGACCGATGAAGGGAAGAGCGACAACTCCACCGATCTGGTACATGGAAGTGACAATACCGGCCCACGCTCCGGTACTCTCGACGTTGTAATACTCCTTGAATGTATTGTTGGTAAGGAGAGAGTTAAACATGGATCCGTCGAAACCGTTACATGTCGAGCAAAAGAAGCCAACAAATGCGCAGACGTAGAGTAGCATGGCAGAGCTAGAGAAACGAACTACAGGCTCCTTCAGCTTGGCCTCTGCTATGGCTTCAGAGCCAGAAATGACGGCGATATCAGCCACGGCACCTTTGTGGTCCTGTTAAGGTGTAAGTAAACTTAGCATTTCATGATTTGAAGATAGACCTTACGCCATGCTCTGAGGTTGTAGTGACATGAGACTCCTTGATGTCCGACATTGCTGCGGTGGAGATACTCCAGGTGAACTGTGCAGGATACAACTCGGATGCAGCTCAGCTATTAAACAAAATCGGAAATACACAAGGGTAGACCTTCAATGGCCAGAATGTCGGGCTATGGCCCGCAATGTCCGGCTAATGCTGCATCCCAGCGGCGTGCCGTCGGAGTCGCAGTTCTGGAAACATGTTTCCGAGCTAAATGGCCACGGAGGGCTCTGGTCCGTAGGCCTGATTAGGAAGCGGCTCCAGCACGTTGAACAAGCCTCAACCGTCCCGTTTGCGTGCAGACGCCACACGCTTGGGAGGTATGGTACAGCGAGAGTCGAATCTTTCGGAATCATGGACCGTAGTCAATTGTTCTGAGCGCTCTACGGCAGCTGCCACTAGTCAAAGCCGCTCTCCGCCCACCCAACACATTTCTGATAGATGGCGACGCCGTAAAACGCGGGGGATTTGATGGGGCCCCGAAACCTGGGACGTATCCTGGTCCATCAAGGGTATCCACTTTGCTGTCCTCGGCTAGGCTGCTACAATGAATGCACATCAGCTTTGAGAGGATCGCCTGTTCCCGAGTATGCCTCTCGCCTAGGTGCTAGAAGGGTAATCTTTAATATCAGCAGACAGCATCCAACACATGCTGGAACGAAGATCGCTGGTATCAACAGAGGCGCTGGGCGATCTCTGCACAAGACTATCAGCATGGTCACGCTGTATAGAGGAACGAGCGCTGGTGTGCGGCCGCCTCAGGTGTAGACAGGGCCCATCTTGATAGTAGCAGTTTTATCCGCGAATAAGCTCGAAGGATTGGCACGAGCGCATGGTACAGCATAACCTAGGGGCGTTTGCTGAGAAGTCGCTGACGCTTGATCCTGCATGATAATCGGCTCTAAGCGCCTCGATGCATGTCGGAGGTCAAAAGTAGAATCAATTCGTTAAGAGCTAAGTGTTTTCACGCTGGCGTGTCATGGACAAGTGATGGGGTGAGGATGTTGTGGTGCAACGGAGGCATCCCCATCCCTCTGATGCCCAGCCATAAGCGATGGCGCTACTGCGACCTTCCCGCGGGGTTAACACAAAGGGGGACAGGCGCTACGGAGAGGACGTCTCCGTGCCAGCTTCAGTAAAGTAAACATATTCAAGCTAACGGTTTCACGACGCCTTCGTTGTTCGCCTTGAAACGGACCGTGACTGCTTGGCTGAAATGCAACGTACGGTCGGCGATGGATGATTATTGATCTGCCAAGGTTGCCTAGGTATGTCACAGCAGTATGCTATCGTCGTGAACAAGATTCGACTTAGGAGGCGGAAGCCATTAGATAACTAAGCGAAGAATTTAAGTCCGGCCTATTGACCATTCTGGCTTCACAACTAATGATTTGATGAAAAGTTTGATCTGCCAAGGTAAAGCAAACCTGTCACCCATCTTCTAGGCATCGGTAACCCGGTCCGGTTCGGTTACGCACTAGATGCCTACACCGGAATCCTTTTGGCTTGAAATATGTCTTTGAAATCTCGTGATATCCCTAGACCTCGTTCCGGATGCATCCTCGTTCGAGCAAGACTTCCCAAGTCAAACTCTAAAGGCTTTAGTATACGGAGATTTTAGTTCATGCTGGGCTAGATCTGGGCCTCCAACGAATTGGCTGCAGCGGGATTACACTTATATCTCGGAGTTGTTCGCGAATTTTCCGTATTCTTCATCTCGTTCTACGCAAGAAAGATACTAGTCGGTACGAACCGCGGAAAGACCACAGGCGGAGCACGGAGTACAACGCTTCTGACGACACTACAGCGAAAAGGAATAGACTAGTTGATCTTGAATACATAGGTCATTTCCGCGGCGTCGAGCTCTATCGATCACTGGTCACTCATGTGATGGAAAGCCCTGGATCCCGTTGTGGCGACCAGCTGCTCTTGACGCACTATTCACACAGAAGCTCTTGCCACCACGTCCTGGATCTCGGCGATCAAATTCACATTGCACTCGCCCATTTTGATGAGCTGGGCAGCCAACCCCATAGTACAAACAGTGGTAGTTCAGAACTCTCGCGCTGGATCCCCACTGCAGGTACATTCAAAAAGCAGGTTAAGGTCTTCGAGACCTAGACTGACTTCTGTATTCGACTCGGCGAAACGGTGCCATAGAGCTAATATCAGCTCACGAACCGAGTCATCTTCGAGCTGCGTGGCGAAGCAGCACAAGTTCATGAGCAAGCTACTATCGCGAAGAAGATGTGCTGGCAGCTCAACCAGCCCTTTGGATGAGGTACAGCGTACGTACGATTGAACGACTGTGGTGGCACAGCAATGAAGCTGCACTTGTGTCCTACCATTACCGTTCATTAATCGTTGTAACAACGGGGAACTTACAAGGTCTTCACGGTCAGCAACAATAGTCCCCAGCGATACGTTCTGCGCATCAAAAACCTCTATCACAAAATTTCCGATTTGTGCTGACCTCAGTTGATCTAGGTAGCTACTGAGGTCTGCCACCTGATTGCGAACGATGTCTGGTGGTACCCAACCGCCGACATTCATCTTGCAGTCTTCTTCGTCGTCCGAGTCGAGCATATAGTCACCAACACGGTGGTTGAAGATGTGACCTTCGAACGGTTCGGCAGGTGTCTGTGATTCACCGGGCTTGACGACCAGACCGTCTACACGCCGACCTTGCGATGTCTTGGCCTTCTTCGTATAAACTATGCTGGTTGGATAAGTTGGATGCTTTACCATCCAAGCGCCTCGGTGTTGCCGTGCACGCTTTTCCATCGCCGCTGGGCCGACGCAGAGCTTGTACTTCTCGTTGTATGCTTTGGCGACACCTGGCCATGGAAGGGGCCCATGTGTTTCTGACACTGTACCGTAGGCATCTGGCTTGTTGTTGTCGCGTGTCAGAATGATGAAGCCGACCTGTTCGTCGGAGCGATACTGTTTTGCCTCTCTGTCCATGTGAGCTATGGTGTGAGGAGCGCCAATGTGTGTGCTTTCCGGTGCATCTATCATCATTGCATCCTCATGGTCGTGCTCTTCCTCATAGTCGTCCGGCTGGTACTCATCTGCGCTGTCATCCACCGTATCCGTGGCATGCGAGATACTCGAGTGATGAGTTAGAGCTGCCCGTTCAGTAGCCTCCAAATCATCGTAAGACAACATGTTATTACAGCCTGATGTCATAGCACTCTGTTCGTGTGAAGACAACATGCCAGCGATGACGTCTGTTGTAGAGTAAGATTCAAATCATGGCAATACGGAAGAGTATTAATAGGTCTGTAAAGCCGCTGTGTGTGATTTATGTAAGGATTATTCGCTGGACGTTATGCGTTCACATTCGTGGGCCTTCTTCGCATTGCATTCACACCGAGATCCAGCCACTACCTACCACCATGCATCAGAAAGAGCGGTGCTCCTATATCACAGCCACAACCCATATATCAATGGTATCTCGTTAGGAGTATCTGGACCTTTCGGGTATCTAAATAATATAACAATCTTACGAAGGCCCTGAAAATACAATTGATCGAAGTGATGAATCTATAAGCTGTAGTTGCACGGTGTCTGCAGATGTGGCTCGAATTGTAAGGAGGTGTTGAGGGTGATGCAAGCTTCAAGGAAATTCACTCGGTTCTGTTGCAACTGTGCACGCAATGGTCGATGAAGATGAATCACATAACAGGGCTACCCAAGAAGTAGATGGCTAAAACCGACGCTGAGAAAGCGTTGCCACCACCTCAGTGAACAGAAAACCTTTTCCCTATAACCTTCTTCTTCCCAGATATACCGAACTTTGCCTTCATAGCCGCCCACGTACCTGGCTCTTTCTTTAAACGCGCTAGAAAGTTTGCCATATCCCCTTTGATGGAACTTAGGCTTTGTAGCATATCGTTCGCGCTCTTGGAGATACCGTTGAGATGTACACGAATGTGCTCCCCAGCAAGCCCTGAATCTTGGCACATGGTTCTGTGCACCTCGTTGTAAACGTACAGGTCCTGCATAGCACCTTCAATAAGCGGATCCAGTTCAAGCGGCAAACTGGCTATGTCAGAGTTGCATGGATCGGAGAGCGATTGAAAAAGCATTTGGTAAATTTGAAGCACTTTGAGGGCACGAGAGAACAAGCGATTCAGAGGTGCTACCTCACTGAAAATAGCGTTGTGCAGTATTTCCATCTTACGCAGTAGGGTAGCCTTGTCATTGACAGAAGTGGCTGCGGATGAAACCTCGAACTCTAGTTTGTCAATGAGCGTGGTAAACGTTTCGTTGAATAGTTCGTTTTCGTTTTCGATTTGAGAAGTGTGTGACATAATATTAGCGAATTGGGCTTCATTTGCTGCTATGAGTCTTGCGTCTTGTGCGCGGAGGTGAGCGAATGTCTCAGCCGTGCGTTCGTTTTCTGTTTGTAGCTGCCGGATCGTGGACTGATGCTGGCCAAGCTCGTTCTGTAGACGCTCAATTTTGGCAATAGCTTCATTGAAGGCAATCTGGTCTTTGACAGCAAGAGAAAGATCGCGATGGTAGCGTTGCGCACGCCGTTGGGAGTCCTCAGAAAGATCGCGGTAGTAATCGATCTGGCGGTACGCTTGTTGGAGATCAACCTTGAGAGCCTTGAATTCAGCTGGCTGGTCATTGATCTCGGCTTCTTTCTCTTTGATTTTGGCTCGTAGGGCGTTGTTATCGATCTGAAGATCTTGCTCACGAGCCTGGATCTCATGAATATATTGGCGTGCTGCGTTGAGCTCAGTCATCTCCGAGAAGTGATTCTGCATATTCTCTGGGATGACGTCCTCGATCTTGTAGCCTTTAGTTTTCGCCTCTTCCACAATGTGGGACAGCTGCTTCTGCATATCGCCCAACGTAGACATGGTAATGTTGATAACGATGACCTGCGTTTGGCGTTCAGTAAACTCTGCAAAGTTTATACGTTGGAAAGGACCGAGAAGGTTTTATGTACGAGACCTAGTCAGAATATGATGTTGACATGATATACTAACAGTGTGGTTGTCAAAGTATTTAGGCGTGATGCATATGACTTTGGCGGAAAGGCGAGACATCAAAGTGCTTGTACAGTGTATTCATCCAAGACATGACACAGTCTTGACTTGTAAGAGTGAACCATTGCGCAATCGACAGCTAGGTACCTATCGCAGTTGACTTAGAAGCAAAGCTATCGGCCCGGCGAGGGGGCCGCGTTAGGTTTTTCTACTTTGCGAATATCTTCAAGCTGTGCCAAGAGAACGCGACCAGTCTGCTCCAGTACCGTATACAAGGAAATTCCGAGGAGCGGGAGTACCTAGTCCTCCCTACTGCAGTCTACAACAGTATTTTGTAGAATAATACCAGATATTCTAAGTTAATGTAGACTTTAAACCTTAATGTCTATATAAATAATAATTACCTTAGTGCTGTTGTAGGCTGTAGAGCAGTAGAAAGCTTTAGCGTACCTCTTCAATTTCTCCCTTGTATGCGGTGCCAGCAAAGTGGAGTTGACGAACTCCGCGCTAAAGCCCCACATCTCGGTAAAACCTTCCGCCGCCCAAATTTTCGAGCCGTGCCAGGAACTTTCTTGCGCGTCTTCCAAATCTCACGTCACTATCGCATACTTGTCTCCACCAGCTCGTCAACATGTTCGCTGTTCCTGGGTGGAACGTTGCCGCGCAGGTGAAGACTCAGGTCGAGGCACCCAAACAGAAAGATTCCACGAAACCCGGGAAGAAGGCGCAGAAGAGGAAAGAGAAGCGCGAGGAGCAGCAGATTAACGCGGACAACTTGGCAGAACAATGGGACAATATAGCCAAAGGAAAAGGAACGCAGGTGGAGAAGACCAAGAAGCCGGAGGCTGATGGCGTAGAAGCGACAGATGAGGCAGCGCAAGAGAAGCGCGGGAAGAAGAGAAAGCGAGGAAAAGCCGGAGGTAACAAGGACAAGGCAATGGATGGAGATGGCGAAAAAGGAGCAGAGGCAGAGGTTACACTGGTAGCAGAACCTTCAGAGGGTAAAGCAGATGCTGCCAAGTCTGCTGGGGATGAGCCCGCGACGGCCGAGAGCGAGTCAAAACGCGAGAAGAAGAAGCGCAGGAAGGAGTCCAAAGCTGACAAACTGCTCGCCGCAAATGCCGCCGGCACGAAGTCTATTTCTGAAACCCCAGCCTTAGAAAACCTCCTCCCCGAACCCAAGGGCCTCACACCCCTCCAGCGATCTATGCGCAGCAAGCTAGCTAGTGCGCGATTCCGTCACCTGAACGAAGCACTTTATACGAAGCCCTCCGCCGACAGCGCGTCTCTCTTCAAGGAAGACCCATCCATGTTCGAAGATTACCACCGTGGATTTGCCCAGCAGGTCGAAGTATGGCCATCGAACCCTGTAGACGGTTACGTGAACAGCATACTCGTAAGAGGAAAATTGCGGAACAAGGACGCGCGGAAGGACAGAAGAGGACCAGCAAAGAACGGAGTCCGCAGAGGCCCAGGCTTTGAAGAAGAAGAGACTACAGCTATAGCACCTCCCAGAGGCGACGCGAAACCACTGCCCAGAGACTTTAAAGGCCACAGCACAATCGCTGATCTAGGCTGTGGAACAGCTTCGTTATCGTACCGCCTACAACCGCACCTCAAGTCCCTCAACCTCACATTCCACTCCTTTGATTTGTCCAAACCTTCGGGTCCTTCTGCCGATCTCGTAACCATAGCCGACATCTCCGCACTCCCTATCCCCGAAAATAGCGTCGACGTAGCCATATTTTGTCTCGCCCTTATGGGAACAAACTGGCTCGACTTCATCGACGAAGCATACCGCATCCTTCGCTGGAAAGGCGAACTGTGGGTCTCGGAGATCAAATCTCGATTTGGACGCGTAGACAAGAAGAAGGGCGGTGTACCCATAAATTCTATCGGCTCACTCAAGAAGACAATGGACAAGAAACCGCCTAAGGTAAAGAAAGCAAAGGCAGACAAGCCGCCTGAGGAAGGCCCCGTTGACTCTGAAGACGAGGCTGAACTCGCGGTCAATGTAGATGGTCAAGAGGGCAAGGAGGGAACAGATGTTTCCGCATTCATCGAGGTACTGAGGAAGCGGGGATTTGTGCTTGATGCTTTGCCGGAGAGGCCAGCGGATGCGATCGATCTGAGCAACAAGATGTTTGTCAAGATGCAGTTTGTCAAGGCGGCACACCCGAGCAAGGGCAAGAATGCGAGAGAAGATCAGAAAGCAGGAGCTGTGGCACAGAGAGGCGGGGGTATGAAGTTTGGGCTCAAGGGGAAGAGATTTGGTGCGGGTGAGGGAGAGAATGAGGGTGACGAAAAGGATGGGGCGGTATTGAAACCTTGCCTGTACAAGATCAGGTGAGCGGGGCGTATAATCGAATAGGTGTGGGAGTATACTGTCATGGCAAGAAGCATGTAACAGGCGTTGAAAGCCTTTCATCAATTGATCTATCTGATCTTCGTGAAGATGCATTTATTCATAGGAAACTCTTCAGCTTCTATTCCTGTTCAATGATAACGCATGCATGCTATTCGATGCCATGTCGTGAACTCGTTTCCTCGTCTCCTCATCTAAAGACTCATTTGAATTATCCACATCTCTTCAAATGGTAGAAACCATGTTAAGTAAGTCGTAGGCAAAGGCAGGCAAGCGCCGTGTAGCAATACTGAGCATGTCCTGATGTTCCCGCATGCACTAACCGATGAGAAAACTTGCAGCATGTTCGACGTTGCCTCCGAACATCTCCAAGGCTTGTATGGCTTCTTGTTCTGAGCAGCCAAACATACCGGTAAGTTGCTGAACATGTTCCCGGGGAAAGTTGCTGTTAGGTGCAGACGGTGCGGGTGCCTTGGACGCTGTGGGTGGGGCTTGCTGCTGTGTAGGTTGAGACGACGAAGATGAGGCACCTGCATTCGAGGAACCAGCTGCAGCGCTACCTTTCGGTCGTACAGCACCCGTCTTTGCACCAATCTCCTCTCCATTAGGACCAGACACAGTCGGTTCATTCATCTCGGCCTCCTCGAAGCTCCTGGGGATTTCCGATTCGTGCAAGAAGGGTACTTCCTGACCTTCGAAGCACAGGGCATTCTTCTCAAGATCGATTTTGGCGCGGTAACGCTTAAGCATGTCCAGACCGAAAAGTAGATCGACATCCTTGCCTTCCATGACAGTGAAAGCGCAGGGCATGACTGCGCCACCAATCTTGATCTCGGCGTGATGTACGCGACCCAGAATGCGCGCTGTACCGACACCACGCGCCATGCCGGCGTATCGGACGTCCATCAGCCGCATGATACCACATCGCTCGGCGCAGTCGGGGGACATGATTGTGGCCTGGGCGCCAGAGTCGACAAAGGCCTTGACGGGCACGCCATTGACCTCGGTGTTGACGTAGAGCATGTGCACGCGGGTGAAGACTGTGTGAAAGATTAGCATGGGCTCAATGCGAGTCGGACGTGTTTGACTTGTTGGGAATGATGTGTTGGTACCTTCAGGGTTCTCGTCGTATGCCTTTTGCAGATTCTCGACAACGCGGTCCTGGCGAATAATGTCTTCTATCTTTCGTTGCGCCTCGACGTTGAAGGGGTCCTCGTTGAGCAGGGCGATCTGGTTCTGACGCTCGCGCTCCGACTCCTCCGCCTGTCGTTGCCTCATGGCATATGTATCTCTCCAGCGGGTGGGGTCGTTGACGGCGGCGGCGAGCTCCGGGTCACCCTGACGCAGCTTGTTCATCTGCTGGGGGTCGTTGAGGACGAGCTGTCGCACGCCCTCTGGATCAGGTTGGGCGGGCCTGCCCGGGTGCTGGAGGTTCCTGTTCTGTCGGGGTGCGGGGCGCATCACGACGGCCAGCATCTCGCCATCCCGTACCCCGGCGTCCTCGAGTGTCTGCGTGTCTATGGCTACCGGCTGGCCGTTCAGGTAGAGGCTCTGTGACGCCGCGGGCAGGTTGGTGTCGGCCTCGATGAAGCCCTTGAGGTCCTTGACGGTGCTGCCCGGCGGCAGTTCGAGCGTCAGCAGGTCTGTGTCGGCCTGGGTGCCGGGCGCGGTGATGGATATGGTGACGCGAGGCCTGGCAGCAGCGGGTTAGCAGCGTGCTCGGGGCAGCGTCGTGGCACAGCAATGGCTCTGGTACAAACTCACATGGTGGGCCGGAGCGCGTGTTGGGGCGTATGCGGGCACGTCTGGATGAGGCCACTGGATGTGACACGCGGGGTGGTTGAGGTTGGCTTGGGTCGGGCGGGAGGCGACTGTGTGATGTCTCGGTGCGCGGGAGGGAGCTTATAGGGAAGGAGGCACTGGGCCGTGGTGTTTTTGTCGCAACCTTGGGAACGCGGTCGCCGCCTGGGCTGGAAGGGAATGGAACGTAGTGGAGCCGCGAACCCAGCGTCGGATGAATCAGCGCGCAGGCGTAGGCATCGACGCGCAGTCGTGGGCGAGCGTACGGAACCACGACGTTGGCCGTGTAGGCCCAAGCTAGCATCACGTCTGCCATGCCTCGACGTCGGCCCAACGCAGCATGCAGGAGAATCGTCTGGCCGCCGCTGCACCCATCCTCCTACTGCACGTCATTCGTAAATCCATTGCCACCACCTTGCTAGTCAGGGCATGGGCCGACGAGGCCGCCGCTGAGCACACCCCGCTAGCACCGCCTGCTGCTCCCGAGAGAAACACGGTCACGTCGCGAATTAGTACATGATACACCACCACAAGAATACCTACCTAGGAAACATGCCCCCGCCTGCTCCCCCGAGTCAGCTCCCGTCCCCAGCTAACCCGGAACGATCTGCAACGGCAACGCGAAGCGAAGCGAACCGCTAGTAAAGGCGGGGCTGAGGCCGCAGAGTCTCGTGAGTCTTCCAGGAACCACGAACCCACAAACCCATCGCTGCACTTCGGCCTCCTACAGCTGCATCCACCTGCCTCCCTGCCGTATCCTTCCATCGCCCACCCACCACAACGTCTGTTGCCATCGACCGCCAAGATGCCTCGGGACTTATTAGCAGACAAGAAGACGCTGGATGCCATGCCCCAACTATCAAGAGAACCTGAGACCGTCTCTAGTCCGGAACCCGTCGAGCAATCTAGTCTGGTACCCCATCGCAGCTCCAACATTGCCCAGGAGGGGCGGTTGAAGCAGATGGGAGTTCGTCCATATGCTTCTTTGCTGAACATCGACGACCTTGACGACTGCGATTGGCTTGAGCATGCCGCCTTTGATCCGGTTGAAGCCGCGTCGCGCGAGAAGGTGAGAAGAACAATTTGCTGTCTGTCTTGTTTCTCTAGTATCACAGTCAATGCCTGTATCTCTTATTCAGTACCACCGTTGGGCTCCATCAGGCCTCGCACCGTGCGCTCTTCTCCATCACCAGGTTACTCCAACTCTCAAGTCTGCATGCTTTTCGTCTGCCTTGTTTTCATCCAACATTGCACCAAACTCTCATCTCCCTCGTGCATCCATTAACGGCATCAATTGAGTTTGTCGTACACTAGCTGGTCGCTCTTTCCTATTTTGGTCGTTCCTGTGCCACGCCCCTTCCTTCTCAAGACTTGATCCAATAGACTCTGGGTTTACAAGCATCTCTGGTATACAAAATCTCCAGATCTGACGCTGACCAATTGTAGCTCGAATACCGTCTGCGAACCTGCGGTGAACTATGTAGCGGCCTCTTCTCATCCGCCTACCCCACCACATCAGGGCCACTAGGCGAAACTATTAAATTGCATTCGTTTCCGTCATTAGACTCGACCGACACTGACCGGAAGCGTGTGATAATTGGCCACATCATCTCAACCAAAGCGAACTCACCTGTTGTTACTGATGACGCTATGGACTACCCCAAGGACTGGAAGACCAACTACCAGCTTACGCCAAAAGTAGGGCACAATGAAGACGGCCAGACAGTGTGCCTGCACTCGCTATGTGTGCATCCCAACTTCGCGCGCAAAGGGCTCGGCTCGATATTACTGCAGAGCTACGTACAAAGAATCAAAGACTCAGGTGTGGCATCTAGGATAGCGCTCATCTGTAGGGACCGATATATACAGTTCTACGAGAAGGCGGGGTTCAAGAAGATTGGCCCGAGTAAATGCCAGTATGGTGGAGGAAACTGGGTAGACATGGTCCTAGACTTTGAAGATAGTGGAGATGATGGATGGGAATATTGAGTGGAACTGGCAGACCAAGTCGACCCTTGATGGATTGATATCAGTAGGCTAGATCATACACTATCTAGTACGAGCCTGCCAAAGTTTATGCGTATTGACTCCTATCCTCCCATCGATCCTGCAACGCCTTTCCATCGATGCTTGCAAAGGCGAAGCCACTCTCATACCTAGCATACTCAACCAACTTCAGCGTGTCCAACTTCGCTCCAGCCTCAGTCTGCGCCCACATCGCCACGCTCAAAACATTCTCGCCCTTCATATTGAGGATGCCAGGAGGAATAGGGAATCGTGTCTGGAAAACCAAGTCAGTGCATGTCTCACATGCATGTCGTACAGCCATAACGTACCTGTGGTCCAATGTGCGGAACATATTTGCCGTACTGATACCCGTTGACGAAGAGAAGCATACGGGCAATGGTACCTTTCGGCGCCCCGACTTCGATGCCGACAGGGACATCGAGATCGGAGTCGATAGAAAGAGAGAATGTCGTCGTAAACCAGCGGATGGCGGCGCCTTGGACGCCGTCAGTGGTGGGGCTAGCATCCTCCCAGGAGGAGGTATCGAAACCGGGAAGATGCCACCCAAGACGCTCACCGTAGAGACCGCCTTCATTCATGGGGCCGCGAACCTAAAGGTCGTACAAAGTCAGTGTATGTTTTACATGCGTTTTGTGCAGGAAAACCACTAACAGGGTCGATGTTACGCTCTCCGCCCGCGTTACCTTGGATCTTCCATTGGTCGAAGGATAGCTTGGTATTGTTGCCGCTGAGGAGCTGTGCACCGAGTATACCACGAGGATTTTCTGCGCCGGCTGGGCCTGTTGATGTCTGGTCATGGCCAGTATAGTCCGTTGTTACTGTCAAAACATTGCCTTCATCCTTCAATGTGATGTTTTTGAAAGACAGCAATGCGGTCGTCGAAGTTTGCGACGCGTTACCAGGATGGTAACCAATCGACTTCCCATTCAGCCATGCGTTCCATCCTAATATACTCATGTACAAAGTCAGTTTGTGTGTCTCGTGTACAATCCGTACAAGGGGTTATCTTACCCGCAGCCACGCCACCCTGAACTGTGATGTTGAGGGATGTTGCAGATTTGCCTGAGAAGTATCCGCGATAGATTTTGGCCCCAGTGTAGTACTTGTAGTCACTGCTGAAGAGTACAGGAAGAGTTAGGGGCTTTACAGGGCTTAGTGTGGTGTTCTTGTCGGCGACTACCCAATTGCTGTCGTCGTATGAGGGTTGGATCTCGGGGGAGGATTCAGCCGCTTTGAAGTTTGAAAGCTCTGGAAGAGTGATGTCGCGGTCCTTGGTACCATCGATTGCGGCAGTGAGGGAGCCGTAGGGTGTCTTCGTTGTAGCGAGCTCCTTTCCATTCCAGGATATTGTATCCGCACCAGAGCCGGCGTATACCTCGATGGTGGTCGCATTCGCATTATCGCCAATAACAGAAACTGCACCACCTGATATGCTAGCTGAGCGAACTAGATACGGTCCTTGTACGAAGATCTGGTGCTCGGGAGTGACATTCGGATCATTAGTCGTTGCTGGCGCGAAAAAGGTGTACGCAGTTGGTATATCGAGCAAGTAAGCAAGCACCCCATTTGAGAACTCTACCACCGTTGCCCCCTTGCTTTGTGTGTAAGAAAAGCTTGAGTATGTGCTGTTCGACGATGCGCTTGCAATGTCTGATTTCGCGCCGTACGTTTTGAATGTCAGGTTGCTCTGCGATTTGAAAGCAAATTCTCCCGCCTGTCCTTCGCGTGTGTAGAAGACAATGACAGGTCGATTGAACAAACCGTAGGTCGCGATCTCAGCCGACGAGTAAAGTAGCGTCTCATTACCCACAGAGTAATCTGTAATTACCCATCGACTTTGTCGACCCGCAAGCTGTAAGCTCGAAATCTTAACATCGCCTTCAGATGTCTTGACCGTCATCGAGAAATCAGTCACAGCACGGGTGCGCGTGTTGTTGTTCTCGGCGAGGTAGAATCTACTCTCTGTATTGCGATTCTTGAGTTGCCAGGTCCAGATGGCTGAATTGTCGACTGCATTTGCGGTGCCGTTGTTTTCCATGAAGGTGTTGTGCAGGCCTTTACTAACACGGGTAAAGAGGGCAAGAAGCTTGTACTGCTTGAACTTGTCGCGTACCTCCCTGGTCTCGCGTAGTGGTGCGTCGTAGTCGTAGGAGGTGTATACTACCTGAGTATGGGAGTATGAAGTCAGTATATGTTTCAAATATAGTTCATGAACAGGAGTTACGTACGGGGGCGGCACTGTTCAGATGGAGGTACCAAGTTAGTGTACGTCTCAAATGCATTTCGTGCAGTCCCGACTCACCTATGTCCCCAGTTTGTACCTCCATAGGCCATGTACAGATTCAAAAGACTAGCGCGCTGTCCGATTAGTCCTTTGTAGAAAACATCCGCAAATTCAGGGCTCTGTTCAGCCAAGCACTGATCGAAGAAGTAACCGCCCCAAGGTTGGAACCACCCTCCCTAATGAGGTGAAGACAACAGGTCAGTGTATGTTCCACATGCGTTTAGTAAGGTCACGACTTACCTCGAACTCGGGGAGATATTCAGGTTGAGTGGGGGAGACCTCCTGAAACCACTGGTAGTACGTTCTCGGCAGGTTGAATCCAGTGTCGAGATTTGTGCAGCTCATGCCACCGGGGTAGCTGTCCAGCCCATAAACATTGATCGCGCCACCGACATTGTTGTAATCAGTGGACCAACTCTTCGATCTGAAGCCCTTTTCGTTGTGTGACAAAGGTACGATGATGCCTGCGTCTTTGAAGGCGGTCTTAAGTTGTTCCATGTAAATGACCAATGTGTTGTCGGCCTCGTAACGAGTTTGCTGGAGTTCGTTCTCGACTTGCGCTAGGATGACTGGTCCACCATTGGTGATCTGGTTCTTCGCAATGATCTTGCCAACTTCAGCAATCCATTCCGACCATGCTTGCCGATAGGTCTCATCTGATGTTCTGTACTTGCCACCACTCCCGTCGCTGGTCCAAAGCGCGAAACCACCACCGTTAGTTTCGGCGTTGCAGTAGGGCCCTGGCCGTGCAATCACGTAGAGGCCGGCTTCTTTGGCCATGTCAAACAGGCGCTGAATGTCCTTTCCAGGTGTCGTGAAATCGTACACGCCTTTCGATGCCGAATGATACGACCAGAAGAAGTAGATCGAGACAGCATTCATGCCGTTCGCCTTGAACTTCTGGAAGACGTCGAGCCATAGCTCTGGAACGGGGAGACGAGCGTAGTCTGAGAGGTACACATGCAAGGATTAGCATGTCTTTCATGTACGGTCTGTTCATTCCATTTCATCAACGTACGGAATTCTCCACTCATAATCATTACACGCTCGCCATTGACCATGAGCGATCCATTATCCCACTCCACGTCCGTTTGAAGGCCATTGTCGGTAGCCAATGCACAAAAGAACAGCGAGATCGCGACAGCAAAAAGATGGAAGAACCGCATCTTGACTTGCTCAGTGACCAGAAAAAGGTTCAATACTGGACGCGACGCGACTTTTGCTCAATAACCCTGCCTTGGAGCTCGCATGCAACTAGCCCGCAGATTTCAGCCGCGGTCGAAGATCGTCCTCCGGACCTGCGCTTCACGGAACGATATCATTGACGGTATAATGTTTGCCATGGAAGAACTGCTGCAAGCGAGGCCGCGGGGTAATATATGCAAGGTACTAAGACCCCAGATGTGGCGTTTTGCGGAGAAGGGGGAACATCATCTGCCCGAGAATGCCGAGGTGCTTGTGAAGGAAGCTTGCCAGCGGAAGGTTTGCCCTAACAGGAAGGGACAAGTCCGATACGCGTCATGGGAGAGTCCAGCAGCATGCATTTTGTGTCTTTTGTTGGCCTTGGAATCGCAGCCACAGAGATCGGAACGAAAACGTGAGCGACCCGCGAACCGCGAACCGCTGGGAACAACGCAGATGTGCAATTAATGTCCGGCGGAAGGGCTAGCCGCTTTTGAGACCTTACCTCATCCACGGAAGAGAGCTTTCCCATGTTCCTTCTCCTGAGGCGGGCTGCAAAAGAGTCAAGCATTTTAGTTTCCGTGTTTCCCGATGCTTGTCACACGGTTCTGGTAATGCATTGACGCGAAAACGGGGGTGCCTTTCGAACGACAGGTCTGGACATGTGGATCTTTAGCGGGTCCACCCATTGGAGGATTTTTTGAAACAAAAGTCCCTTGGCGACACACACGCACTGAGCAAGTGTTGCTTCGAGCGATTACGTCTCTCTCATCTCGTCTCCATGCTCTCCACTTATTGGAGGACTTCGAAACAATCCTTCATCTTTCACTATGGAGAAACTCGACTCGGGAAATGATGGGAACGTAGACTGTACCATCGATACATGAGTAGGAAGCTGATAGCTAAGTCATTGACATGCGTGTATAGCATTGCTAGAAATCTGTATATATATGTGGCGTACCAAGCATGTAGGCCAAGCAACCAAGCAATTCACTCACTCCTTCAAGCTTCTCTTCAATATCAAGCATCTTTCACAATGGTTGCCTTAACTCTTGGTATCTTCTTCACGTCGCTGGCGGCGTCTGCTGTTGCAGCTCCGGCCCCAGCCATCACTCCTGCACCCAAGCCCGAAGTCGTGAAGCGTGCCTCCAGCTGCACTTTTTCAGGCTCCAACGGAGCTGCTGAGGCTTCCAAGTCACAGTCATCATGTGCTACCATGGTCCTTTCCGACGTTGCCGTCCCTTCAGGCACAACTTTGGACCTCTCTAGTCTGGCTGACGGTACTACTGTCATCTTCGAGGGTACCACCACCTGGGGCTACTCGGAGTGGAAGGGTCCTCTTCTTGACATCCAAGGAAAGAAGATCACTGTCAAGGGCGCCGAGGGATCTGTTCTCAATGGTGATGGTGCTCGTTGGTGGGACGGTAAGGGTGGAAATGGTGGAAAGACCAAGCCCAAGTTCTTCTCCGCTCACAAACTGACCGACTCCACCATCACCGGCATTACCATCAAGAACCCTCCCGTCCAAGTCGTTAGTATCAACGGCTGCGATGGTCTTACCATTACAGACATGACTATTGATGCGTCCGACGGCGACAAGGACGAGCAGGGCCACAACACAGATGGTTTCGATATTGGCTCCAGCAACAACGTCATCATTGATGGCGCTAAGGTTTACAACCAGGATGATTGCGTAGCTGTCAACTCAGGTACCGTAAGTAATGACATGAAATTGCGGTATTCGCACCTACTAACAAGTCGGCTAGGAAATCACCTTCAAGAACGGCCTCTGCTCCGGTGGACACGGTCTATCCATTGGCTCGGTTGGTGGTCGTGACGATAACACTGTCGACACTGTCACCTTCTCCAATTCCGAGGTCACCAAGTCTGTCAACGGTGTCCGCGTCAAGGCTAAGGTTGGCACAACCGGCAAGATTAACAAAGTCACCTATGAAGATATTACTCTGTCTGAGATTTCCAAGTACGTTTTCTCAAAGTTTCACCCATTGCCAAATTCTAATACGTTCCAGGTATGGCGTTCTTATTGAGCAGAACTACGATGGCGGTGACCTTCATGGTGACGCGGACACTGGTGTCCCCATCACCGCCTTGACACTTGACAACGTCACTGGTGGTGTTTCCAGCAGCGGCTACGACGTCGTTGTCACCTGTGGCAAAGGCTCTTGCACAGGCTGGACCTGGACCGGTGTCGACGTTACTGGTGGTAAGACCTATGACAAGTGCTCCAACGTGCCCAGCGTTACCAAGTGTTCGTAAGTGCTTGAAGGTAATCGGGGCCTTGGGTGGAAATACCTGAGTTTGGCTCGGTTGAGATGATGCACAATTCTCCTAGAATCTGGCATGTTGCTTGATCCTGCAGTCTTTCCTTGTGCTGCGCTGTAAATATTCGCTTCTTCTTTCCAAGATGTTCGGAAAGGTGAGGGCTTTGAGTCCTTCTTGAATCTCATTTAGCCAATACACACCTTCCTACGAACATGTTCCCTCGCTCAGTGTCTCGAGACTTTCAGTATGCCGGGATTGGAACCAGACATGCACGATGGACCGTGGATGGCGATCTTTCCCCGAAGTTCTGACGGGAGGCACCGTACCATCTGCAGAACAGTTGGAGACAATGTGGTTCATACTGCGAAGAGTTGAAATCGAGAGTATGGTGCCACTGCCAACGTCTGGTTTGTTACTGTTATGCCGGATTTTCGACCAAGTAGGGAACAGCGATGACGTAGCGTGAGGTTAGCGTACTGACCAGCCTCTCTTTTTCATTCTTCACGCTCGCAACGCGTCGTAGAAGCTCTTGGAAATCGACGCTCAGTTCAGGACCCAACGGTCCTCGGTGATTTGGATCTTCCATCCACCCAATCGATATAGCGTGTGGGGTTCTCGTAAAACATGACGGCGGTGGCTGCAGTGGTTGCGCCGAGCCCTGCCTTCCAATCTTGGAGGCTTTTAGTTTACCTAGGCATGACGCGAGGGTCCCAGCAGCCACAACCAACCCATCGCTCTTCACACATGCCGCATTCCTCACGCTGCAAGATCAATGCACCGAAATCTGGAAACGCAATCGCCTTAAAGCACACGTCAATTGTAACCTCGCACCTTGCACATATGCTAAATGATCTCTCAAATGGACCAAGAAACTACAAACTCTTATCCGGCTAATGCAAGTTCGCATGGCGTCCGTCCTCCAACCCCTTCCTCCCAGCAATTTGTTCGTTTATTGATCAGCGACTCAATGCTTCCTGCGATCCAAAGTACTTTACTGTCTCCGCTACGAGCCCCGCGATCGCCATAACCTCGCTCTTCGCATCTGGTGTGGCCTCTTGCAGCGTCCGACTCAAGCGCTTGAGGTTTTGGATTTGCAGCTCGATGCTGTGTAGACTGGAATGGATAGCGAAGCTCAGAGTCTCTGTAGGGTCTAAATCACAGCTGAAACCATCTGTCAGCACAATCGTGTTCGCGTCCTACAGGCACGTACCTGTCGTCATCTCCATCTTCGAACAAGCTGTCATCTTCGACTTCAGGGAGCACTTTAAACTTTAGATCCCGCGGCTTGGCCCTGAAACAAGCGTCGTTCAAGGTCGTTATCTGATCCAGCAGGCGGTCCAGGCTTCGCGATGCAGCATCCACGACCTCCCTTTTACGTGAATCGACCCTGGCCATACCCTCAATGTTCGCAAGATGAGCCCACACCCGCAAATCGAAAGAAAAGGCTTTAGTCTGTTCAACTATCTTTTCAAAAGTGAGGTCTTGAGGCTCTGCTGCTTCAACGTCGATGTATGGCGCGCATGTACTGCTGATTTGGTAGAGCTTGTTTTGAATTGTTGCATATTGGTACTGAAGCTGAGGTTGTGCAGTACGTGATCTTGGACTAGCGCTTGGGCTCCTCTTTGGCGCAAAGGTGCCGCTCACGGACAAGGGAGGATTATCTTGGTGGATTTCCACCTTGATGCTTGGCTTTTTCTGGTGCTGCATCTTTCGCTCATACACGACAGTTGACTGACTGGGTAAGATTGGCTCGCTGGTCAGATCGTACCTGTCGACTGGGACAGTGCTCGGGCGCACCTCCTGTGTGTTGTACCTTCGTTCTGGTTCTCTAGGTCTTCTGCTCGCATCTGAACTCGATCGCGTCCTTCCTGTTGTTTCGAATACAGGAACGCCGAGTCGGTCAGGCGTAGGTTGATTGGAAGACCTTGAAAATGAGGCTGTACCATAGCGGCTGTCATGGTAACGTTTCATCTCTCTTTCGCGGCTTCTCCGGTCCCATCTCGTCTTCTCTTCTATGTGATCGACATAGCTTCCTGAACGCGACCGAAGGTGGCTCGGATGTCGATCATACTCATCGATCTCAACTGAAGATGGTGCCATAGTGTAGGATTGAGCCAGGGGAAGAGATCAGTCACTCAAGAGCTTGTTCTGTGGCGCCAGTCGAGATGCACCAGTGTTGATGGCAAGGTACTACGGGGATAACAGGCATGCGTCAAATCTTTCTTCTTGCACCGCCCCCCATTGCAGAGGGAATCTGTGAGTGGGGTCAGAAAGTCAACAGAATCAAGGAGATGGAGGAATTTAGGCTCATATGATCAGTGCGACCCAAACACCTGAACAGGAAGCCCAATTCTGACATCGTTGGGGGCCGTTGGGGGCTGAGTACCACCAAACGGTGACCTCATCCTTGTGCAGTGTGCTTACAACCAATCTTGCCGCGATACCCCACACCAATACCGACGAGCTGAACGTTCGCATTAGTTCAGCCGCAATAGTTCATGGGTCATGCTACCAACTATCTAATATCCTTGGCTACTCTCTTTTGATCCATCACATCGACCCGCCTCTGCTCGACCTGGCACTCAGTACCCACATTACATTCTAGACAACACCGTGCGTTATAACATCTACCCTCAGTAGCTGCATGTTATTGCGATCGAGCTGCGCATAGCTCAAAGGTCCTTTCCGCCTACTCCGCGTGCGCTTTGCGTCATCGAAATTACGTACCAACTACGTCTTCAAGATAACACGGCAGTCATTCTGAATACGCCATGGCTGAAGTGCTGGCTACTATCTCAAATCTCTATACAGCAGTAAAGGCTCTGCACACCTTCGCACTGCAAATCGAACAGTGGAAGCTACTGTCTGAGCGACTTTTCGACATCGAGGAGGGTCTCGAATTCGCAAGAATCTCTCTTGACAGCTGGCAATACAAGTACGACATACAGATTCATCGACCCAATATTTACACTAGAATTCTCTTTGGAAAAGAGGGTCATGAGCGCGTAACAGCCACAATCGGTACTATCAACATAATCACAGGGAACGTCAAGAGCGACATCAGCCGAATCAGAGGCCTTGCTCTCAAAGTTGAGCAAGGGCGCACCTACTATGGAGAAAACCAAGATATTGGTCACGAAGAACGAGTCAAAGAATGCCTCCGAAAGATACAACGCAAGAGCACATGGTCGCGCAGATTTTTCTTGAGCGTTCTGGGAAAATCATACGACCTAGAGATGCGTCTCAAGCGGCTGAATCAGAAGCTCGCCACACTGGAACGCCTTTCTGATTTCTACCTCGAAAAAGAGCACGTGGACATTTTCTCAGAGATTGAACGGCTCCCTGGGCGGCACCTGATCATCAGGGCCGGAGACAGAAGGTCAGACACGATTGAGAGCCAGTTACTAGATGTTGTTCGTGCCCAGAAAGACGCTGAGCGGCTTCATCGGTGCAGCGCATTGAGCCATCGACTGCACATCGGCATTTCAGTTCCTCGAGTTCATAGGCGCGACTTTGCGTTTTTACTCAGTATGCATGGAACAAGCCACGAAGTCCTTGTACAGCCCGTTACCATCAAGGCCGTCCACGATCCATCCATGGTCGCAAACGACCTCGCCACTGCCCTGTCAACTCTTGCAAGCAAGACGCAGGATAGTTGCTACATGGTACCAACCTTGTCTACATCGGCAGGTTTCATCGTCAAGAATCCGCCGACAAATCTCCTCTGTGATTTGGAATACAAGGAGCCTCTATCGAGTACGATTCGCGACCAGAACGTCTATCTTGGCTCACAAAAACTATACTCGCAGGATCAAAACGCGATAGCAATTGGCGTCGCGCAAGGCTGTTTCCGATTGATAGGGAGCCAATGGCTGTCTTTCCTCGACTGTTCGAACATACGCTGGCGCAGGACCAAGGATGGAAAGTGGATCAGCATGCTAACCGCAGCGCCTGGCCAGTCATTGACGACGCGCACCTTGGAGAAATGCTACAAAAGCAACCGTGAGAGAAGAGACAGTCGCGACCTCTCCAAACATATCCAAATCTTCCGCATCGGGCTCGTTCTCGCGGAGATGGCGCTCAAAGCGCCGTTCTCACACATTGATTTCGACACTGCGACATACACGACGAAGCTGTACATCAACGATGGTGAAGAGGTCAGTGCCCACGAAGTCGCATCGCAAGTTGACATGAAGAGCAACATTCTATTAGGAAACATGGTGTTCTTCTGCCTCAATGTATTACAGGACAACAACGCCATGGCTGAGAGGAGCATCGAAGGCAGTTATTTTCAACATGTGCACAAGCAAGCAGAGGAGCTCGAAAGAATTCTTGGGTCCGACGGACGAAGAGGTGGCTTAAGCCCAGGCTCAAGTCCAATGGGAAGTGGTTCAAATACCCCCAGATCAGCTGCAAGCGCATACGTGTATTGATTTTCGTGGAATTCGAGAGGCGGCCTAAGCTACTTAGACTCATCAATGGAGTTTCTGCATTGACTGAAGTAAACGATGTTTCTATCCAAGCGATCGAGACTTGCTGACCTTGACTTGAGGCGCTGGTCAGAAAAATGCTTCCCTTGGCAGACAGACAAGAATCTCTTTGGAAGGCATTAGTTACAATCACTTGACCACGACAGACCCACCAGCATATTTCGTCTCGTTTCATATCATTACGCTAGCTCAGCCGTGAGCAACTTCACGAGATGTCTTGCGTGCCCCTCCCTCAACATAACCCAGGTTTGCCCCTCCAAGACCACCCCGCCGCGCCCCTCGCACCTTTGCCCCTCATCGTTCTGCCCCTCTGATAGTGCTGTAATCTACGCCTTGTTGTAGTTGCCGTTTTTGGTAGTGGAAATCTGCGGTGAAGTTTGCTACGTGCGGGAAACGTCACAACCCCATTGACAAAAACATGGACCATTTGCGGAAAAGCGATACAGAAATCAGCCACGCGTCGGAATTATGGTTGTGTATTACATTAGCAGGTTCAAAAATTGATGCGCGGTACACTATAATTTCCTCCATAAATTATTGTTGTGATTCCAAAAAATATGATGAATAGCGACGCATGTGCAACACTGCAGACAAGCAAAAAGCAAGCCCCAATCACCCGCATGGCTTGCGCAGGCGCAAAAATTCAGCTGTCCCCTGCCAGACTCGAACTGGCGGCCTTGGGATATCTGCTGTATTCTAGCAGTCATATATGATGATATGAGACCCACGTGATAACCAACTACACCAAGGAGACGGGAAATCGCTACACCAAGCGATGATGGAGGTGATTGATGGAAGTTTTGGAGAGAAAACCCCCTATATTGAGAGGTTTGCCACGAAAAACCGACGTTTGAGTTTTGCCAAACTCCGTCGTTGGGTTCGGTGGGGCGGAGAAGAAGAGTTTGTTGGATGAGGGGCACCAGGGGGTTGCAGGACTAGTGTTAGTGGCTGCAAACCAAGGCGGAAGATGGCGAACCATGGTCGGGAACAACTAGATTTGCCTTGGAGAACATTAGAATTATGCCGTATCGCGTTAAGTCTACATATCTGTACAGAAAGACCAATCGTCCGTATTACAAGCACTGCAACACACCTCAACGCCTCGTGGCGACGTAGACTCCGCGCAATGCAAAAACGCCGGTAGCAAATCGACAGCCCAAATCCCTCGTTTGACTCGACTACGGCCCAAGTCGTTGTCCACCGTCAGGAGTCCTATTGCTCAGCGGCACGCTCGTAGTCGGAAGCACGCCGTAGCGGCCGTATGTCTTTTGGTCGACACTGACGTAGTGCGGTAACCTTCCGAGCAGGTTCAGTTTCGTCTCAATCCATCTCAAGATCTTCTCGTGTGGTACGAGGAACTTGATGTATCCGGAAGCCCAGAGGTAGCCGAGGCCTGCACCGCACAGGTGGCCCACAAGACTGACGTGCGGGACGAGTATGCTGGTCAGAACGATAAGAATGAGTGGTGTGGTCCAGGTTGGAATCTTGTAGGGTCCGACACTGAAACCGATTAGTTACAATTGAGTTGGGGGGAGTGAAAGTGTGATTGTACCTAAAGTAGGGGTTCGCCTTGTGTGTCTTCATCACTTCGGCTGATAGCAGGAGGAACACCCATACGCTGTCTCTGTTAGTATGTCCTCATACACGGATTACTTGGAATTGGCATACCTCGCACCCATGACCGAGGTATTACTCCTCAGCACAAACTTCTCCAACAAGGTGTATACGCCTCCTGGTATGGTTCCAAAAGCTGCCACATGGTCAGCTTGATATTTGTGCATGTCACCCCGAATATATCTTACGCCCAGTGAAAAGCGCCAGCGTGACTAGTGTCCCGTACTCGGACTCGAAGCGCTCGATAAGTGGTGTTACGGCGAAGAGGTTGAAGATCATGTGGATGAAATTCCAATGGAGCAAGGGAAACAAGTTGAGTCGGTGCACTACAGGTATATTCTATTAGCTCTTCGTCTTCTTCCCAGCTCCGTGACTTCCGCGCCCTGCCTCGGTCATGGTACGCCTGCGCCGCAACACATGGCAACAAGACGAGCATTGTAGTTGGCCTCAATCCCCCGGTATTAACAGAACAAACATACTCTGCGTCAAATCCATCTTGGCCGGCTCCAAAGCCCCAAAGTCTCTAATCCACGGAAACGGAATCGTCGCAACCCATAGTCCTACAATGGCCGCAACTAGGAGCTTTGTGCAGAATGGCAGGCGCAGGATATACGACCGTATCCGCGCAGGGCTTATCTGGGGGATCGAGGTTATAGGCATCGTCGTCGCGAGCACGCCGAGTGTTTGGGGTGGTTGTTATGCAGGCGCGTTGTGTTGTGCTAAGATGAACAGACTGGAAGATTACAATGGGACTAGGGTCCAGGGTCGACGGGGCGCTAGTGACGATCCTCCCGCTCGAGTAGACTTAGCACCTTCCCAGACGGATATGTGGGATGCTGGGCAGAGGGCAAGGACACAGCTCGTTTTCTGCTCTCTCTCTCTCTCTCTTCTCCTACATGACGGGCGACTGAGACGTCAACATGGCTCTTCTGTGTGAGTCTAGCTCTGGGCGCGCATGACATGGACCGACAGCTAACAAATACGTGAAGCCTCGATACTGGCGCTCCGGCAGGATAAACGTCTACTCAAGCTACCGCCCTACCTTTCCGCGCTCTGCATAATCATTGGCATAGGATGGCTCCTGGTACTCCCCTTGAACGAATACTCGCGGAGAACATATGTCTCTGAGAATGCGCTCCTCCCGGGACAAGTACATACCTACTTTACCGGCAGCGAGCACAATGTTTTTCGAGCCTATCGCCATGAGGTCCATGGATTGATAGATAAGCCCGTCGCAGAGTGCGTATGCAGACTGGAACTTGCAAACCTGAAGCTGACTATGCAACAGGCGCTCACAGCGACTCGAAGCCATCTTCCGTGAACAGAACCTCAAAGTCGCAACCCAGCACTACAACTACACCGTCTCGAACCGGACCATCGCGAACGAAAACGTCTATGCTATCCTCCAGGGTCCCCGCGCAGACGCAACCGAAGCCATTGTTTTGATCGGAGCATGGAAGAACATGGCAGACGAGGTCAACAACTCTGGCGTCGCATTGGTTCTCACATTGGCGCGCTACTTCAAGCGCTGGAGTCTTTGGAGTAAGGATATCATCCTGCTCATTCCTGGGGATAGCACTATCGGCTCGCAGGCCTGGGTTGATGCCTACCACGAGGGACACGATACACGTTACGTTGAGAGCCTGAAGATCAAGAGTGGGGCATTGCAAGGCGCTGTCGCTGTAGACTATCCCGCTGGTCCTTGGGGTCATCGATACGACAAGCTGCATGTCGTATACGATGGCACAAACGGCCAACTTCCCAACCTGGATCTGTTCAACACTGCAGTGCAGATTGCTTCCGGTCAGATGGGCATCGGCTGTGTGATCCAGCGCATGTGGGATCACAAGGACTCCTACAAGGAGCGGCTTCAGACCATGCTTCGAGGTATGCTCTCGCAAGGCATTGGTCATGCAACTGGGCCTCATTCGTCCTTTATTCCATACCACGTCGACGCCGTTACCTTGGTGACAGTTGGGGACGGCTGGCATGACGAAATGTCACTTGGGAAAACCGTCGAATCACTCTTTCGAAGCTTGAACAACCTCCTCGAACATCTGCACCAGAGTTTCTTCTTCTACCTTTTGCTACAAGATAAGCGCTTCGTCAGCATTGGCACATATCTCCCCTCGGCAATGCTGATCGCCATCAACTTCAGCATCGCGGCAATGGCATTGTGGGTGAGGAGCGGACGTACCACAGAGCCTGTCAGCAATCCCGCTGCCACAAAACCCAAAAAGGCGTCGACCGAGAAGTCCTCTTCGGCAGACACCAAGACAGCCGAGAATGATACTGCCAAAGACGAGCTCAAGAGGAAGGACACTGACTCTAAGGTCAAGCAACCAGAAAAGAAAGAAGAATCTGCATCTAAACAACCAGCCACCGAGCTCGTCGAACAAGACGGCTCCCTGGCTGTTGTCCCCAAAGCCAGCACGACGATAACAGAACGTCATCTCCTCCTTCCCCTTGTTCTCGTCCTCACAGCCCATGCTTCCGGCCTGATCCCCCTATACCTGTTCAACAACTGGGACGCCGACCACCTCCCCAACCTTTTCCTCACAGCCAGCAATCTAACCACGCTCGCTCCACTCATCATAACCTTTCTCTTTTGGTGGTCTGCCCCCGATGTGCTGACACCGCAAGCCCTTTGTCTGCTCCAGTGTTTCTCCCTGCTACTGCTAGGCATGTTCCTTGCGGCCCTAGCAACGCTGAACTTTAGTTTGAGTGTCTTGGTCGGGGTGCTGTGCGTGCCATTGAGCTTTGTACGCAGGAGTAACAATCGTGGGATTACTGGAGTGCAATTGCTGATGCTGGCCATGCTGAACCCTGTTCTGGTTATACAAACTATAACGAAGCTGCTAGGAGCCAACCTAACGGATGTTCTTGTTCAGAGCGCGATCGGGTGGCATGTTTGGGGTATGTGGACGCAGGTTGTTGTCTGGTTGGTTTGGTTCCCTGCATGGCTTGCGGGAGCCGTGGTGGTTTCGACTGGATTTTGGGAATAGAAGTGGACTACATGGTAAATAATACACAAGTCATCGAGTGCAATGGAGTCATAAGTCTTTTCATTCGTTGGCCGTCCATGGCCACTACCTATGATTACATTCAACCACGCGTCTTGCTTATAGCTGATGCATGCCACCTATTGGAAGTGGAGACGACGTGCTCTAAAGGGCGTATACCGGTGACCTGCTGCGAGATGATACTCATTCAAGCAGCCCAGACGTCCTTACCTACACCCTCGATCCAGTTACCCAGCTGGTTAACACTGGCGTCCCACTCCTTCAACCTTGTCCTCATGCCCTCAATCTGCTTCATGTCCAGAACCTTGGGCTGCACCCAGTTGATTCGCGCAATCTCAGCAACCTGGTCGATTTGACCCTTGAGTAGTCCCAAGCTCAGCGCCTTCATGATCAGGTGCTCAATCTCGTTCGGTTGTACCTTCGTCTCGTGCGAGATCTCGGAGAAGGTCATGGCGCGGTCGTGGGGTGGGCGGCGGAAGACGGTCTCTGTGAGAGCGGATAGCGAGATCTTCTGGTAGAGGAAGGTCTGGTGCTCCTTGAGAAGCGGGACCTTGGTGATGTTGTTGGAGAGCACGTCGTAGGCCATCAGGTCGCCGCGATTGAAGGCGAAGAGAAGATCGCGAAGCCATGCATGTGGGGTGTTGACGAGCGAGTCGAGGATGGGGTGTAGGAGCAACTCTCCAAAATTGTAGATGGAGTCTGAGACGAGGGCGGCGATGCTGAGGTCGTAGGCGCGCGACTGGCGTTCGCGGAGTTCCAGGTCGTTGAGGTCGACGCAGGCGAGGAACAGCAGGGCGTTCTTGTAGTATGCAGCGAACTCGTGCTTGGACTTGTAGTATTCTGCGCTTGCTCGGTAGAAAGACGCATGCACAACGGTTTCGACCGAGTCAAAGGTATCCAGTATCTGTTCACACTCGTCTAGCTTCTTCTTGGCTCCCTCCTCGTCCTTTAACCGTAGCTGTATGCTGGCGGCAGCGACTGTGGCGTATACGTAGGCGTCTTGTGAAGCGGGCTTGTTGACGCTCTTTGCGAGGTCGTTGACAAAGGTGAGGCGTTCCTTGTCGTCTGTGAGGGTCAGCTGGTGTTTCTGTCTACGACGAAAGGGCCATCCTACCCTTGTATTGTGTAGCTGTGTTGAGTCCCAAGGTGACGAGCTTCAGCTGGTTGATCTTGTTTGCGAAGCTCTTGATGAAGGTTTCGAAGAAGGGTATCCGCTGTTTGGCGCTCTCTGGGTGGTCGAAGAATTCGATGAGCTTGTCGGTAAGCTCGTGCCATAGCTTTCGCTCCCAAAAGTCCTCAAAGGCGATGAAGTATTCCTGGAGTTCCTCGGGTGCCTCGTCCCGCGCATCGCCCAGAAGGTTCGGAATCGTGTCTGTGTCCATGGCCATGGTTGCTGCGAGCGGCTTTTTCGATGGGGTGAGAGGGTACGGGGGTCGAGTTCGGGGTCGGAGGAGTGAAATGACGGGAGCTGGGCTGTTGTTGGAGGGCGGGACTCTGTTGCTGTCATGGCGTTGCGGCGGAAGCTACGATTAGCGCATAGCGCCAAGGCCATCAACCACGGACGTCCAGACATGGCAGCCGCCTCGCAAGAAGCTCCATTCGACATACCAGCAGCCATTGAACGCCGCAACTATGCTGCCACTCCGCTGCGCTCGGTCGCCAGTGGCGCTGTCGGCGCAAATGCCCTTGAAGCGTGTCGCCAACCTGTCCACCTCCGTCTGCCGACAACAACTCAACTCGGACGTCAGGATAACTAGGTCCGCCCGACTGCACCCTGCGACGCCAAAACGAGTGCTGACAACGGCATAGGACTGGAAAGCCGATTCTGACTGTCTCTGGTGGACGATCCTCGCTCGGAGGTACGCCGCGACCCCTACCCGCCTACTAGATCAACACTCACACACACGCAGGATATACCGCGACTGTTTTCGGAGCCACTGGATTCCTAGGACGATACATTGTGAACCGATTGGGTGTGTGCACGTCATTGGAAAGCCAAAGTGCATTGCGCTAACAGCACGAACAGCCCGTTCAGGATGTACAGTGGTAGTCCCCTTCCGCGAGGAGATGGCAAAGCGTCACTTGAAGGTCGCCGGAGACTTGGGCAGAGTCATCTTCGTCGAGATGGACCTCCGAAACACTGCGTCCATCGAAGAGAGCGTGCGACACTCTGACATTGTCTACAACCTCATTGGTCGCGACTACCCCACCAAGAACTTTGACCTGGAGGACGTACACGTCCACGGCACAGAGCGCATCGTGGATGCTGTCGCCAAGTACGACATTGACAGATTTGTTCATGTCTCATCTCACAGCGCACGCTTGGATTCACCATCCGAGTTCTACCGCACCAAGGCTCAGGGTGAGCAAGTAGCACGCTCCATCTACCCAGAGACCACCATTGTTCGCCCTGCGCCCATGTTCGGTTTCGAGGACCGTCTTCTCCACCGTCTCGCTTCCCCCTCAAACATCATCACCTCGAACAACCTGGAAGAGCGCATCCGCCCCGTCCATGTCATCGATGTCGGCATGGCTCTTGAGAAGATGCTGCATGACGACACCACTGCCGCTGAGACTTACGAACTCTACGGCCCGACAGAGTACTCCATGGCTGAGATCAACGAGCTCGTTGAGAAGGAGGCCATGAAGCCGCGTCGCCATGTCAACATTCCCAAGCGCCTCATGAAGCCTGTCGCACACTATGCCAACAAGCTTCTCTGGTGGCCCATCCACTCTGCTGATGAGGTCGAGCGCGAGTTCATTGACCAGATTATTGACAAGGATGCGAAGACTTTCAAGGACCTGGACATTGACCCTGTCGAGTTGAAGAGCTTGACGTTTGAGTACCTCAAGGGTTACCGAAGCTCAAGTTACTATGATTTACCACCCATGAGCGAGAAGGAGAAGAGGGAAGAGAAGAAGTATCTGCACGTTCTTGACGATCAGTAGACGGGTTCAAGCATGGCTAAGATTATGGAAAATTTTGTAAATATCTGTGCCCCTATGCTGGGCTGACATGGTCTGTAGAATCGAGATTTTTCCTTTGTACCTTTTGCCTCTGATGTGTTCAAGGTATTCGTAAATTTAGAGTGGGGTATCGTTGCGCTAAAATGCTATCATAAGACACTCTCGGTCTTCTCTTCAAAGCTTCGTTTCCGCTAACCTTTCCAAATGACTCCTCAGTAACGCCTCAGTACTGTCCGGATCGTCCTTACCCCTGCGCTCGTCCCAATGCCGATAGAACTCAAGCACTACTTCTACAGCAATGAGTGCGATAATCGCCCATTCGAGTCTCAACCCGTGTTTCTCACTCAACTGCTCTCTCAACACACTAGCAATTTCCTGAGCAAAACCAATCTTCTCATTGAGCACTTTGATTCGTACCCCAACATCCAGGGCGCGTCCAACTTGATCGTAGTACTCGCCCAAGCCCAGCTCGTGTCGCGAATCCCAGAAGATGTCGGGCATGCTGTCGGTAAGCTCCGAGTAAAGGTTTAGCTGAGCACGGAGAGACAACAGTTCGCCAGTTTTGCGTAGGATGAAGGAGCGTGTAAAAGGGGCGCTGCGGCGATGAGAGATGGTTTTGGAAGAGGCAAGCATGGCTGGGATATCGCGGGTTGAGTTTTGGTAGGCTGACAGCAGAGTTTCTAGAACGGCGAGCTTGGTGCTACGAGCGAGACCAGAGGAGAAAGCTATTTTTGCCAAGACAGTGTCTACTTCGTGACGCTGGTCGGTAGGGTTGGTAGACTCATCGGGTTGAGATGACGATGGGTTGTCAGACACTGGCTCTGCTTTTGTGCCGAGGACGATGGTGTCGCCGACTACTTCGCTAGTTTCTTTGCTGGGGTCTTCGAGGTAGTCCAGGTCTTCGGTTTCGAGCAATTCGAGATGTGAGCCTTCAGCTGCTGCTGGTAGCACTTGGTTGACCAGCTTCAGTGCTTCTCTTTCCCGGACATTCCATGCCACTACCGTGCCAGAGGGAAAGATGAATATGTCGCCTTGTTGGAAATCCTTGACCTCTGACGGTCGTTCGGAAGTCTGAATATGTATGACTTGCGGGTATAAGCCGGTCTGGAAGGGATCGAGCTCATAGCCTTGGGCTTTGACAAGCCGAGCGGCAGCGGTAATGTCGTAGGTTTCAGCCGCACAGTATGCAGTCACCGTTTTGGTTTCAGCGTCTGGATCTATGAAGCGTGTTCTTCCTCTTGACTTTACGAAAGCCCGCGATCTCTGTGCCTCAACCGCAATACTCCGCAACGACGTCTTGCCAGCATTCTTCCGGGCGCCCTTGCGATTCGCATTTTGCTGCGTCTCCTTTACCGCCTCTTCTTTCGAGACTAGGTCCTCCTGCTTTTGGCCGAAGTCGACCTTTTTCGCATATTTGCTAGTTGTCGAGAATAGTCGGCCTGCGGGGGTGCGCAACAACGGTAGAGTGTTTAGCGGAAGGCGCGCGGCGAGACAGCGTGTCAAGGCATTAGACACGTAGCGTTGGTAAGCCGTCATGGCCAGCGCAAATCTGTCTCGGACATAGTTTCCAGCAGCGAGCAATCAGCGGAGGCGATGAATCTTGAGAGTGGTGGAGCATTTGCGGAGAGCTAGACCCTTGCAAGTCCGCGGGAATGGCTTGGCCAGCATCATAGGCCTAGATCGACAGGGCATCGACACCTCCAACACTCACACACCTCCACGCGCCGGAGCTATCCCAGGTTTCTACCACGCCCGCCGCAGCTCATGCCGCCAGCATGGCTGCGGAAAATACCCCAGACGAGCCGCATACGCCTGCGCGCGACCCTAAACACGTCGACAAGGTAGCGAGCGAAGGGAAAGAGAGTGTCGAGCACGACTCGGACGACGACGACGACGATGTCGAGGAAGAGCCGAAGCTCAAGTACAGCCGACTGACAAGAGATCTGGGGCCCGTATACCGGAATGGCGACGCGACAGCTACCTTCATGGTCGCTGGGGACAAGATGGTACGGTCATAGCTCCATGCTTCATGTGCATGAGCCCTGCAAGCTGTCGACCGAATGCTAAGACTGTACGTAGATTGTAGGCACCCACAATGGCAATATCCATGCGTTGAGCATCCCTTCTTTCCAAATCCTCCGCACCTACAACGCGCATCCTGCTGCCTCAGTGACAGCCCTATCGGTATCGCCTCTGTTGGCTTCGCAGCCCTTCGTGCCCACCGCCTCCGATCTCCGGTCAGCAGACCAGACAAATGCATCTTCCAGACGAACAGACTCGCCAGCAGGCAATGCAGCCTCTCCTCGCACACCACGCCAAGCCCAGGTGCCGTCGACGCCCTCGAACCAGATATACATAGCCTCTTCCTCCATTGACGGGCACGTATGTGTATCGTCTCTGATCGATCCCAAAGACGTCACGCTACGAAACTTCGGACGCCCTGTGCAAGCGGTTGCGCTTTCGCCGGATTACAAGAACGATCGCTCTTACCTATCTGGAGGACTAGCTGGCGAGCTCATTCACACTGTAGGAGGGCCGACCGGTGTACGTTCCAACGCCAACACCAGCTCAGCGTCACAGACAGCTCAAGGATGGCTTGGAGCGATAGGTCTCGGTGGACACAGTGGAAAGGATACCATTCTGCATTCCGGAGAAGGCACCATAACTGCCATCAAATGGTCCCTCTCTGGGAAGTTTGTTGCTTGGTCCAATGAACATGGCATTCGCATCATGCGCACCGATCTCCACCTCGACAGTGCCGACTCCGATAACGCTTGGAAGAGAATTGGCTTCATCGAAAAGCCGAATCGTCGCATATGGCAGGAGATGGCCGGCGTATGGAAAGCACGGATTGAGTGGGTTGATGACAGATCGCTCGAGTCTGACGATGATGCTATAATGAGCATGAATGGCCACCACCTTGCGGATAAAACCGAAGGCACATTACCGCACAACCGCTCGCCCCAGGCATCCAAGGACCTGAAGAAGCAGAACAAGTTTGAAAAGCTCATCATTGGATGGGGCGATGCCGCATGGGTCGTTCACGTACAGCCTGGTGGACCTGGCGTTGGTCGCGATGTTGGTGAGAGATCGGTTGGAAGCGCCGAGGTGGTTCATTTCCTTCGTTTCGACGACTGTATTGTTTCTGGCATTTCGCTCTATACCCCTTCTTTGCTTCTTGTTCTTGCATACCGGACACGCGACGATGATGACAATCCAGTCTCTGGGCCCGACACGACTCCCAGGGGGGGAAGGCACCGTCGCACAAACGGTCTTTCTCCGGAGCTCAAACTCATCGATGCTGCAACCTCGGATGAAGTCGAAGTGGATTCTCTGACCGTCAGCCGATTTGAAAGCCTCTCGGCTGCCGACTACCATCTGGGAACCCTGTATGTACCACATCCAAAGACGATGACTCCGGCCCAGAGGAGCGCACTGGAAGCCATCGGGGGTGGAATATGGGATGTAGGTGCTGCCACCGCACGCATATTCAGCTCTGGAGCAAGTGTAATGAACCTTCCCATTGGTTCTGATAAGCCGCCCTCGAGGGCGCCGTCCATGTCTTCAGCAAGCGCCGGAAATGCCGCTGGTTCAATATCTGGCAAGCGTCAGCAACAAGTACATCCGAACGCTGCAACAGCAGGCCTGAAAGTCTTCATACAGAGTCCATACGACTGCGTATTGGCCATCAAGCGAGAACTATCAGATCACTTCCAGTGGGAACTCGAGCACGAAAACTACAAGGATGCATGGGAGCTTTTGGAGGACCACCCCGAGATCATCGCGTCTGTCTCCCAGTCAGTCTCAGATAGCTCCGATCCCAGTACACCAACAAAGCAACAAGGAAGCTTGCACGAGTTCTTCGCAGATGATAGCGCATCCCAGACGACCCTATCTGCCACAAGAGCGAATCAAAACTCGGCAGTAGAAAAAGAGAAGCGTCGTATTGGGGATCTATGGGTACAACAGCTTGTTGGTTCTGGCGACTGGAAGCAAGCAGGCAAGGTCGCTGGTCGCGTACTCGGCACTTCCACAAGATGGGAACATTGGGTGTGGAAGTTTGCACAGACAAACCACTTCAACGAGATCTCGCCCTACGTCCCTAAGAAGCCCATGCAACCTCCATTGCCTTCGATGGTATATGAGGTGATCCTTGGTCACTACATCATACATGATCGCATACGCTTCAAGCACCTGCTTGAGGATTGGGATCCAGACCTATTCGATATAAATAGTGTCGTTGAGGCTATCAAAAGCAAGCTTTCTGCTGGCGATGTCACAGAGGAATCTATCGAGGGCGATATACAAGGTCGAGACTGGCGGATACTGCAAGATGGCCTTGCGAAATTGTTCCTTGCCAGTGGCAGACAAAGAGAAGCACTACGCTGCTATATCCGGTTGCAAAATGCAGATGCGGCTATGACACTCATACGGGATTTCCACCTAGTAGAAGCTGTACGAGACGACATTCCTGGCTTCATCATGATGGGTGTTTCGAAAGAGCAGATGAAGTCAGCTGCAGCGAAGCTGGAGGAATTGGAAGAAGCCTCGGCAGAAGCCATCAATGTTCTCGTAGAGGAAGGCTGCCGTGGTACCATTCCTGCGAGTGACGTTGAAAGCCAATTACAGGCGAAAGGCCCAGCGTTCAGACCATTCTTGCACTTCTATCTACGGAAGCTCTGGAAGCCGGACATGCATGAACGAACAGCGAAGACGGCTAAAGAACGGGTTGCTGAAGACCGCCTGGCGGCTGACGGCAAGATCGTTGCAGAAGAGTTTGCGGATCTCATGGTGGAGTTGTTCGCGGAGTACGATCGACCGCTATTGATGGAGTATTTGCGCAAATCTCAAAGTTATGATCTGAGCAAAGCCACCGCCGAGTGTGAGAGGAGAGAGTACATTCCAGAGCTTGTGTAAGTGGAGACTGTTCCTGCTGTACCAGTTGTACCTGATTTGCTAACCCACTGCAGACACATCCTCTCCAAGACTGGTCAAACTAAGCGCGCTTTGTACTTGATTATTGAGAAACTCTCGGACGTCAGCTTCGCCATCTCTTTTGCCAAGGAGCAAGATGATCCTGACCTCTGGAATGATCTCTTGAATTATTCCATGGACAAACCTCACTTCATCCGCGGTCTGCTTGAAGAAGTCGGCACAGCAATAGACCCCATCAAACTCGTCCGCCGTATTCCCGAAGGCCTCGAAATTGAAGGGCTAAGGGACGGCATAGGCCGCATGGTGCGCGAGTACGAAATCCAACACTCCATCTCAGAAGGAGTTGCGAGAGTCCTTCGGGGCGAAGTGGCGGCCGGTATGGACACGCTACGTGCCGGCCAAAAACGGGGTGTCAAGTTTGAAGTCATACCATGTGACGGCGAAGGTCATGAGAACCATCGCCACGCAAAAGGGCAAATCGACATTGAGCCCAAGGGCGTCGATCCGGCAACCGCAGCAAAAGCTACAGCTAAAGCTGACAAGAAACCTACAGCTGTATCCTCAACAACTACGGCACCGAACCTCGATCCCGCTCCTGCCGAAGCGCCTCAGGGCGAAGCCCCTCCTGGCCACTGTGTGGGGTGCCACCGTCCCTTTACGCTCCCCACGGCCGAAGAAGAGGCCGCCACCGTCGAAGGTGGGCCTATGCCTCTGTCTCGCGACACGCTTGTGGGGTTTGCATGTGGCCACGTCTTCCATCTCACTTGTCTACTACCCAAAACGAGTGCTAGCGCGAGTGTCGCAGCTGGCCTACAACAACAACTTGCCGCTGATGCCCAAGAAAGCGGCGGAAGGTGGACAAGAAGTGTGGGCGCAAAGGTAGCGCATGCACATGTTATCAAGAGTGCAGTGGGCCGGGGCTGTGTCGTCTGTCGGGAACAAGAGGTAGTTGGTGAAGAATAAGTGCAAACGACAGGAGACATGCTACGAAACGATGTATATACGACAGAGATCTGAATAGTTGGACAAGACGGATGTGTACCGAGGTGGATCACATACTGTATTATTAGACGTCAAGTGGTGGGCTTGAGTCCGTGCAGCATTGCATTGGAGGCGCTGGAAGCTAGTTGCGTTGACACATCTATATGGAAACATTGAGCCATGTCCATCAATACGATTTCTAATACCTATTTCCGTTTGACGAATGTTGCCCGAAGAGGCATCTTTGAGAAAGCTGTTGAAAACTGTGGAAAGGGCGTGGTGACATGCAGAGGGGTAAGGGGCATGAAGGGCGTGGATTTGACATGCCGTCGCTAACAAGAAGCACACGCTTCCAAGCTTATATGACCACGTTGATGCGCTCAAAATGTACTCGCAGATCACCGCCTAGGCTCTCGCGCTTGACATGAAAGCTGCGCTTTGGTGGAGAGGATGATTGTGATGGCATTGGAGTGTTGGTCGGAATGTCTGACGTGTCACTACGTTTCCGTGGTTATCGGTGGGTCACTAGGACACACGTTCATTTGCAGAGATTAGACAGAGAAGAAAAGAAGAAGAGACTGGCGATGAAGCTAGAGTGACAGGTACGTGAGGGCATTCGCATGTTGGAATGCAACTGCCAACGTGTGGTAACAATAGACTACCCTATACCCCAAGCAGTATCGGTGACGCACTAGCTAACGCCGGTGAATCTCCGGCGTCTTGATGGTCAGTTGTTCGCATCAACGCTCCGACAACGAACAGTTTGCGCCTCTCTGCACCGCCCTCGGCAGCCTTGATCGCTGGAGAGGATGATTGTTGTCAGAGACCCGCGACTACGACATGGCATTTGAGGTGTCGTATGATCTCGAGAATGAGCAACAGTTCTGGGATGGTGAGAGCGCCTGGCAACCCCACCAACAGCCTCGACTAACACGCTACACAGAACTCGACGATATCGTCTCGACGCGCTGTCACCAGCACGAGATAATCGACAACTCGCTGCGATCCTTCCTTAATGTCACTACGAATTATAGATGTACGCGTCTCCAACCTCTGCCATGACCAACGTTGACCACCACCAATAGCCGAATACCTCCAAACCGACTTCAGCGTCGCAAAATGCATCTTTCGCATGCTCGAGGGCGACCTCTTTGCCTCAAACAAGGCATATGTACGGCGGCAGATAATATATTGCCTCTTGCAGGTATGTTGGTGCATGTCTGGAGCGCATGGTCGCTGGCTGAGCCTGAGGCTGACCAATGCGATAGGAAGATGATAACCCTACTCTTCACATAGTGGCCGCCTTCCTCCTCTACGATGGTCGCAATAGCAAAGACGATGATATATTTGAGATGATGCACTCGGAGGGCACATTTGCTAGACTTGTTGAGTTGGTGCAAACGCCGAGCGTGCAAGAGGAGACCACTCTGCATCAACTACTTCTACAACTGCTCTACGAATCTTCACGGGTTCAGCGATTGACGTGGGACGACTTTTGTATGGCAACGACACCATTTCCCATCTTTCCTCGAAGCCATTGCTAACGCTTGTTGTGTAGCTGCGGTGAATGACGCCTTCATTATCTACCTGCTGGAGATCATAGAAGGTGCTTCCGACGATGCTGACGATCCATACCACTATCCTGTGATACGCGTTCTGGTCTGTCTACTCGCACCCCCTACCAAGTCTTGAGCTGACACCAGAACAGTTGGTTTTGAACGAACAGTACCTTGTAGCGTCAACTAGCCGTCATAGCGATGGACGACCTGGAATAACGAATCGGGTCATCAAAGCTATCTCGACTCACGGAATGACCTACAAAACTTTCGGATGCAACTTGATTCTTCTTCTGAACCGCGAGTCGGAGACCTCCCTTCAGCTTCTAATCCTCAAAGTGCTTTACCTTCTCTTCGGTAATCCTTCCACGGCCGAATACTTTTACACCAACGATCTTCATGTCCTGGTCGACGTCATCCTTCGAAATCTTATAGATCTACCACATGATTCGGCTGCTGCAAACGCATTACGACATACCTACCTCCGCGTTCTATACCCGATACTCATGCACAGCCAAATCAGCAAGCCACCACATTATAAGCGTGAAGAACTATTGCGGCTCCTTCACCTCCTCGTCTCAAGCGGTAATCATTTTGCTCCCGTTGACGAGACCACCGTACGACTTGTGAACCGATGTACTAGTGTGCAATGGTTACAGCCTCCCGCTGCCACCGCGGAACACGGCTCGACCAATGGCAATGGTACCACAAACTCACCGGTAGACCATGTGGCGAACGGTCAGAAAGAGTACGCACGACGAGCGCTGGGCATGACTGTGCAAGGTAGTAGCGAGAGCTCGACGAGCGTCTTGGAGATCGCAGGTCACACTGCACAACCTGGCGTGCAAACGCCAAGTATGTCAAAGGTGGCGCAATAACACGTCGGAATGTTCTGAAGCTATGTTGAGCGACAGGCGTCTTGTGATCGTTATTTAGTGGTTGCGCGGAGTCTGGCGAAGTCCCTTATCAGCGAGTTCAGATATCCACACGTCAGTGGGGGCAGGTCGTACTTACACTTGCATGGTAGGAGTTCTGGGTACGTCTAGCGTTTCGTCACCAATCGTGTATCCTGTTTCATTCTACAATCACCTCGACGTCTTCTAGTGGTGGGTTCCTATCATCAATCTGTCTTTGTTTTTAATGCATGCCCCTGGATGGTTGTCACCACCCGCTTATGCAGCCGAATGTGGCACATATACAAACAAATTGAAACCTTGGTCGGGACACTTGCTGAGTCCACAAAGTTCGCATAGCCAAGCAGTGGTCTAAGTATCTTACTGCACATGTGGCACCCAGACGTTTTCTAGTCACATGACAGAGGTCGAGCCCAAATGCGAATCGGATCTAGACTGTAAATCTGTTCTCACTATAAAGATCGACATTGCGCAATGCTGCCAAGCTTGCCGCGCTACTTGGAACGATGTACATCGACATCATGTATCCAAGCGGCACATATCAGACACCAACCTCTTACACGCACCAGTCACTTCGGTACTACCTACTCATGCACAGACAACGTCCACCGGATACAAATCTCCCACCGACGCTATTTAATCTACGCACCATAGGAGCCCTCGCCCCGCGTGCACCACAGAAGGTGCCGCGACAAGACGAGCGGATTGCTTGGCTTTCCGCTATATAGATGAGCCACAGCCGCGGTTAGTGCGGGTACCAAGACTGCGAAGGAAGGTCAAGACGGAATGAGAGATTTTTGTATCGCTTGTTTGGGCTAAGGCTTGCTTATTGCTCCCTTATGATGGTGGGTATGTCGTTTCCGGCTTGGACGTCACGGTGGTGGCTGAGTATGCATGTACATCCGTGGAGGCGTCAAAAAGTGCTCAAGTCATCCTGTATCGTCATAAGCGTCTTGTTTGAGAAGTCTTGGAAATGCTGCTAAGTCTTTTGCGACTTTTGGAAGAGTGGTTCGCTTTCTATTCTACCGAAATGCCAAGTAGACGACAACACCGGAGTGGCATCTGGCATCATGATGATGATCAACAGCATAGTGGACTTACCCCATAGATCTAGCATGACTCTCATCAATCTCCAGGCGCGTTAGTTAAGGTGACTTCCGCTAGAAGTGCCACAACGGTGTGACTACCCGAATTTACTCCGTTACATCGCTCGCCGCGGCGTACTTCGTATGTTTCACAACAAAAGCTCCGTTCCCTTGTTCTAGGCTCGATTAATCCCGCATCTTCTGGCTGTCTGCTCTTCCTACCCGCTGCACCGTCGCATGGGTCCGCGGTGGTCACTGCGTCACCTAGTAGCTAACCACTGCAACGCACAGATGATCACACCGCTCAGCATCCAAATCACGAACCAAATAGTCATATGCGTTGGTTTCCGAACGTCAAGTGTTCGGAATCTCGGCCCAGGCTTTTGAAGCAGACTTTGCGACTCTGCACCGGAGGAGATGGTTGTGAGACTACAGGGGTGGTCTCTCAATTTATCCCAGATGTTGAGGCTGTTTTCCTGATTCTTTCGCCTGGTATTCATTTCTTGCGTTAGCATATGCGAGATAGAATGCAAGTGATGGAATTATATGACTATGGATACGTGTACGCACGCAAGGTACCTTCAGGCCCCCACAACATTGTTGCCGCAGCGAAGCATCTGCCCTAGACTTGAATGCTGGCGTTCTAATTTGGCTTGGCTATTGTTGGTGCGTAGTTCGGGGACGCAAGTCTTTCTCAGATTGAGTCTGAGACGGCGAGCCTATGTGATGCAATCAATATCGTAGCGGGTGCTACTAGAGTAAAAAGGAGACGATAAGATGGGTGTGTAATTGTCATCATGATGTCTCCAATCTTTTGAGCGCATACATGCCTAGTGCGTCTTTACGGGTTGAAAAACATGGGGCATTACAATGTTCCAAAGCCTATCTACCATGGAACTCATGCTTCTCGAACAAAGATGATCAGTGATCAACCACTTAGGTATGTGTCACCGTGCCTACCGTGTCAACGTTCGGTACCACGGAAATAATGAAGATCGCTCACCGTCGCACAAATACGATACTGCGTCATCAGAAAGCTATACGCCTAGATTTCCAAACTTGTTGCTCCAAGATCTATGACCATCAGGATGGATATCAGGCACACATGAACAAGACACCACGGTGCTTGAAGCATTAGTATACCGAAAGCGGAAGAAGCCTTAACTAGGCAGACGAAATCATTAATGCGGCACAATGACAATGAGCGATAACAATACGACACGTACATGCCTTTGAGAGGAGATGCCGGCCAAATGATCCCTTCGCGAAAATGTCTGTTTATAAACAGCGTCCCAAACCCGACACCAAATAACCCGGACACTCGGACGTCGACGCATGCCGACCTCGTTTCCCGAACTACCCTAAGGCTGGTTCCCCCAAAACGCGAAACAAAGCTTTTGCACATCGACGAAATGACAGATTGCGATCTTCGTACTGTAAATCCAAGATCTACGGGACGTGCGTTGTGGAAGCCCAAACTGCCGCGCCGAGCCGGAACAGTGATCAATTTGAACCACTGCCACGGAACTTGGTGATGGACTCGTGATGTGTGCGCATAATATGACAATAGTTCATGTCCGTGGGGCTCTTGCAGCCCGAAAGCCCGGATGCTGCGGTATGAAGTGCTGATTGAGTGAGCCGCAGAGCGATGTGCGGGAATCTCGGGTACGATGTTCGTCACTGGAGCACCACGTTCACAAAGTCATGTCACGGCTGGAAGGGGACATCTGAAGCAGGAGTATGATCAAAAGTTTTAATTTCAAACGCTACGAATTGTAAACTGATGCTCTACCCGTGATCGAGGGAGCTCCGTGCGCCTACGTTTGTCTCGAAAAGTGATTCGAGACAGAGAATTTTGGTTGACGGGAACCCTCGATGTCCTCCGCAAAGAAATCTAGTCATAATATGCCGCCGAAAGATGATAGGATATAGAAAGAGCCTGAACAAAGAAACACATGACCCTTACATGCTAACAAGAAACTTCGTGCAAGCATTCATGACTTCGTAAAGGGATACTCCAGGCGCCTCGCAGAAAGTACAATCAAGAAAGACTAAGGAAACCGCCCGGCGAATGAGGTTCTTTAGACCATCTGGCCGGCATCGCTGACATTGTCGGAGGAAGCACGCGGTGAGGGAACCCGGGTAGGGGCTTGTGATAGTGGGTCAGGTGATGAGGTAGGGTCACTGTCCCTACGCTTTTCAGATGTCTCAGCCTTGCTCAGTCTGCGAATGATTGCCTCCTTCGCATGCTCGCCATTATCGCATGGTAGATACCAGCGAGAGATGATCATGCAAATACATGAGAGCATGAGGTTAGTACCGGACCACATCTGAACAGTGATGTACGTGTTGTACTCTGTGATGAGATGACCAGCAATGACGGGGCCGGTAAGGGCAGGGATGGCTGCAAACGTGTACATCATACCGGTCCAGTGGCCAAGCTTCTTCTTTGCAAAGTGTCTCGTGTCAGGTGTGGCGTAGGTGCAATTGAGAATGTTGCCGATAGACGCAGGAGGGAGACCAATGACCATACCAGAGAAGACACCGAAAACGACGCAGAAGGCGATAGCGTCGGTCTCTGATCCAGCCAATGTCCAGAGGACCAGTGTGAGCATCGACGCGGTGAATTGAGAGCCGATATGCATATTGAGGGCGCCGACTTTGTCCGAGAAGTGCGCGAGGAGCATGCGTCCGACAGTCGAAGCTCCGTTCATGATGACAAGGAGCCAAAACGTTTGAAGAGGTTTGTCGGTCGTGTCGGAGGGGCTTACTGGGGAACCTGTCCGGTCGCGAGTGCCAAAGCCGCGCACTGATGCCCACTAAACACTGTTAATTATCGGCGTGGTAGACAGAACAGAGATACTAACCTCTTCAAGGTTGAAGAAAACCGGGTAAAAGCCAAAGAACATGAACGCAACGGCAGCTGTGAACCAGCACCAAGCCTTGTTCTTGAAGGCTTCAGTATCGAACCAAGTCCTAAGCTTACCCCAGCTCTTCGGTTCGTGATGCTCGTGGGCAGGGTCTGGCGTGCAGAAGATGAAGGAGTAGATGCATGTCACCGAAGTGAGAGTGGCAACGTAGCGTACTGCGTTATTGAAACCGACAGACTGGATCAAGTAGCGGAGCATGCTGGGGTAGATGACGCCTGCTACACTGGCACCACAAGCCACATAGCCTACAGCAAGACCCCGGCGCTTGGGAAACCATGTTGAAGCAACTGGAATGGCGTTAGCAGGAAGTAATGTAGAGTGATGAATGTAACTCACCTTGGGAGCTGGAAACGAAGAAGGTACCCATACCCAGGCCGACCACAAGGCCCTGAGTTGCCCAGATCGAGCCGAAGTTTCCAAGAGCCTCAATGTCGCTGGGATGCGCGACAGAAAGCATGAAAAGACCAAAGGGTACAAGGAAAGTACCACAACCGATCACCTTGCGAGAGTGACCAGCATCCAAGAGCCGCCCGACCACGTTCGACAGTAGAAGCACAATAAAGGATTGAGTCGAGCCGATCAGGTTCAGTTCAAGCTGATCAGTACCTCGGAGTGAGTGGCCAACATAGTATGAGGACCACGTGCCGTAGGCGTTGACTAGTCCCCACGAGTTGAACATGAGGAAGAAGCAGCCTAACAAGCATGCGTAGGCACGCCATGATTGCGGCCAATTGGGCTCGTCGAGTGTGTCGACACTGGCGTGTCGTGATTCGTCTCGCATAGAATTGGTCGCGGTAGGTGCTTCGGAGAGTGGCAGCGTTCCTTCGCTGTACTTCCGACTCTCTTTGTAGGTAGATCGTGTAGGTGGCATCTTGACCGTGGTTGCTGTAGGTGAAGACGGTGAGGCCAAAGAGGGAAGAGCAATCAGTTAATTGGGAAAGCGTTTGACGTATGAAACGATAAGATGCTCAACACAGATAGCACGTGTTGGAGGGGAAGCGCTCAAATGGACGCACTGGTGATGGATTGGTACAAATTCAAACAACTGTCAAAGCGGCGGGGATGGGGTATAAGTACGGTACTCATGTGCAAACACTCACGGAACTGGGGAACGAGCCTAAGGCTTGGGTTGATAGAGGGTTCTTTTACGGCTCCACTCTTGCTAAGCACGCGCGTAACCCCCATGTAGATTGTGGCTACCTTCTCCCATAGTGACGTGGTAGTCAAACTGGTCGTGTAATGGGGAATGGATGCCGCAGGGCACAAGCAACGCAGGGGTGCAAGCCCAAGAGAAGCCAAGGCCATACGGAAGTCTGAACTCCGCCGGTAGCAGGGAATACTTCATTACTCTGTTAGAGGCTTCAGATGCCCTGCGGCCCAAAGCTTAGTGCGGCGCGTTAATCCGGTGGAAGAGCGATCAGCGGTGGTAGATTCTCCGGCGCATCTTGCGTTTGGGCTTCCCCACGCTCACTCGTTGTCGTGAAAACATGTCCACCATGTCGTCTCCCAGGGTATTCCCTTTGACTGCTGGTGACCTAGGCTGCTACAAACTAGGACGTTGCCACCTCTTTTTACTGAATGTGTGTGTCACAATAGGCGGTTCTGAACCGCGCTGGGCGAGACTACCATGGTACATGGACCAAGCATCTCCTTTCCCATAATTGCGTGTGCGAATATCGAGATTGCTCATAGGCTGTGCAGTCTTGGCTTGTTCCACCAAAACGAAGTCGTCCGTGGGCATAGACACTCGGTAGACGATGATAGGGGTCGATGCGTCTAACAAGGTTGTATAAAATAGCGGAGCGGGCCCCCAGCGCTTGGCAGAGCGTCAGCGGGAGGCATGATGAGTGATGCGGCTCGATTGGGTCGGTATGCCAAGAATGTGCTCGAGTAGTGATGTACAATCCGCCTTGGCTGGCCCAGTTATATTGCAAGGGCCAAAGATGAGTACTCTCGCGGTACTACCGCTGAGACTTTTACAACTCTGGGCAGTTCCTGGATCAGAGCGGATGCGCCGGCCGATAATCTGGATGGAGACGCGCAAGCACATGGAGGGTGTCGACACTAGACATGCAAAGTCACTGTGGAGGAGGGTCGAGTGTCACCCGCAATACCTTGAGTACATGACAGAGAGGCCACGCTAATGTTGGCGGCGTAACAAGATCAGCGGGCCGGTGCGGTTCGTTGCTTCGTTATCTTCAGTTTCAACACAGCCACAACCGCTTCATACGGTCAGGGATCGACAACTAGGGCGCTCTGCCAAGCATCAGCACCCACGCTGGCGTTGATGCTTTGTTCTTCCCGCCGTAACGAAGATATGCTCTCAAGGAAACGTATCATGTTGCGAGTCATATCGGAGGGTACGGTTGTGGCTGCATGAGATTCATCACCCTGCATTGCGACGAGTCGTCCAGCGACGCACACCTATGTCAGTGCTTGGCCGTCAGCTAAGATGCATCTTTTTTGTTGACGGACGACGCGCGGAAAGTGGACTCCAGGATTCCGAAAGCGCATGGAGTGTGTTGGGGTAGAATGGTGGAGAAGAGTTAAGGCTGGCGATCAGCGACGCTACCTTCAGAGAGTTTGCGTTGCCAAGGCTCTTTGTCGGCCGGGCAATTACGCGTTCAGGAAGTCCTCGCACAATATCAATCCGATCCAGCGTCGAGACGAGCACCAGATACTATTTCTAATCCGATCTGGAAACAAGTCCAAGCCCGATATCTTCCTAGGTCTCTGCAGATCTTCCCTGTCGGGAAGTGTCAAGAGCCGAGAAGAAACAAAGAAGCATCCCGCGCAGAACTGCGCTACATGTTACTCAAATGACAAAGGCAAAAGAGAATGTTATCTTGCCTGATTCTTCGCAGTCGTCTTGTTGGATAACAGCCAGAGTTGAGCCTCGCCACGGTAGCGGTCAGCTGGCGGCTTCGTCTCTCCGTCGCGATAGCTAGTCAGTTTCCTATGATGATGGCGAGGCACGAGCTGAATTCCCGCGGACTCCATCGGCTACGTCACAAGTGTTCCACAATAGTCCCATGGGGAGGAGGACCCTTGGAAAACCGGGACTTGTCCAACGTTCTAACGAATGTAGCGAAGTTGTACCGGAGCCGGACGTTGAGTAGCGGATATCGTCATGCATGCTACTTTGCAGTGCCACATACATGCTGCCGCAGTCAGTCCGCACAGCGGAACCATGTCGTGATTTAGCTTTCGAAGGTTGACCTTTTGGGTTGGCTGGGTAAGGCCTCCGTGTATCGTCCGATGAGCAGCTGTGACAGCGGAAGCGGCGTTTGGGCTTCGATCGCAGTTCCACGGCTAGATGCTCGGAGATTTCGATAGGGTGTGACTGATGGTATCAATCGCATGGTGTTGTCAGCGACTTCCGAGCATGGTCGGTTCGCTTCTCTATGCGAATTTGCGGGAGCGCGCCCGTCCGCAGTCTGGTTCAATAATCATTAGCGAGCGCGAGCCAACTTGTTGAGATTTAAGAACTCGTATCTTATTATCACGGTAACCATTCTACCTAATGTGTGTTAGTTCATGTCGTGGTCAATTAAGGGGTCATCAGTTATCATCTCAGTACTCCCGCTGGTGCATGCGACGATGCCAAGTCCTGCACTGGAAGGAAAACTCACCCAGGAAACATTTCCATCCACTCCAATCCTCTGAACCATATGGAAGAGAGCCTTTCGATTTCCGCCCCCGCCATCACTGATAGCGCTGTGGAAGAAACAAGCAAATACGAGCGGAACGCCACAAAAAAGGACCCCCTGCGGAGGCGTGCAGTTTCCGTGTGTCAACATCAGGCCACTTCAAGATGCAACTCCGAAACGCGATTCCGCACCTATGAGACGGCGGCCTCGAAGCGACAGCCGCCAGGGCGGAGCGGAGAGCGGAAGACGTTGAAACAAAAGAGATGATGTTATGGCGAAGCGCTTCAGATCCTTCTTGTCGTCTGCTGGGCGTAACTGGGCAGGGCCGACTCGCCACGTTGTTAGAGGTCCGACGACTGCTCCGACTTGGAAACGACTTGGAAACGACAAGGCGGCGACCAAGACCGACAACCGCCGCACTCCATGTCAAAGATCATTTCGACTCGAACCGCTGCCCCTAGCATGTGTTGGCCTCAGGCGGAGCGGGAGGCTCAGCGCTGCCTGTGGCGCTGGGTTCCAGGTTGCATACGGAAAGGGGTTTCCATATGCGACACGACTTCGTGACTCGCAAAGAAATATTCACTCGGGCAATCACGACTGCGCAGGCATGCACGCGCACTGCGCTGAGACCTCCCGTTGGGCACTGCCATGCTTTTTCCATATGTTTCGGCACCTAAGGCACCACAAGGCAACGGGCAACAAGCAACGAGTGTCTCGCACGTTCACCATCATGGTGTCAGAGCGCGGCCTCCGAGAGTACCGCGAGCTCAACAAATATAACATTGGGCTCGCCACAGGTAAGTGCGGTCTTGTCATCAAACGCTCCAGGAGTAAGCACGATCCTTCCATTTGACCACCTACAGAGCGCAGCCAATTCCATCATATACTTGGCATGGTGTCTTGACTATACCCAGACACTACCCAGTCGGCGTTTAAGCAACACTCTGATAACATTTCAGCGACACACAGCGCTACGTGTGAGAATGATTTATTTACACCCTTTTATATTCCAGACGGTAACCAAGGCAAACCAATTCTGCTGCAAGCACCTTTTCAAAATACAATTGTATACGAAACAAGCTTGTCGAAACAGCAGCCACATGTTGCGACGCTTGACACTGGTATATTTCCTTCCCCAGTCTACACGTCTACTCCAATCCTCTCTCAAGTACATTTTTCTCGGTCTTTCGCACTCCATCATTGAACAACTCCGGTCAGACCCGCGAAGCGCTTGCGCCTCTACCCGGGCGCATCCGAAGAAACTCATGTCGGAACAATGCTGTCATACTGGCATAACAAGCAAATTTCCTAATACTCTCAGATCCTTGATGCTTACCGTCAATACCACTACCCTCACTCTTTCCAACACGTCTTCGTTGAGCTGGAATATTGATAACACGAATTTCGCCATACTTTCGGCGCCGCAGTTGTCGTACGCGCGTCGCAGTATTTGCAAGTAGTAAAGGGTTGTTGAGGGGACCCGAGACATCTCCGACCAACAAAACAATGATACACAGAGACGACAACAACAAACTATGCAAAATCGTGTTGTCAAGACTTTGCTCCGAGGAAGAGTCAAGCTGCCATGGCTTGCTTAGGTAAACGCGTGGCTGCCATGTGGCCACGCAATCGTAACGTTCATTTTTTCTTCTCGATCTTCTCGATTTGTCATGTTCTGTTCTAACTGGGGTTCTTTTTCATGAATGGGTCAGCTGGTCGTTCGGCATTCGGTGATTTCTCGTGGAAAGTATATAGAAGTCGTCGGCTTTCATGGTGTATATTCTCTCTACTCGAGTGATGGGACAGCTTTCGAGCAATGTCATCGTGTAGTCAATAATGCGACGAGCTTGAGTGTGAAGACAGCAGGTTAGATGACACGTCACACGAGACACAGTGTTGCACCACAGCAGACAAAAGCACGTCATGGAATACGAATGGCTGTCATTACTCTAGCTACAAATACAAGTTCGCTAGACGCTTGCCTCATAACGCCATGCTCCAGGGACGAAAGATTACTGTCCCGTGTTCGAAATCAGAAGCTGAAGAGTCAAAAAAAAGAAGCTCCCAGCGCCACTACGTCAGGGCGTGGAAAGCAGAGCTGCAGATGGCCATGGCCAAATCGCCCGAGGGGATATCATGTCTGCATATCGCATATCGCATGTCTCGTCTAAACACCCTTGATAGCAACGGTGCGCTCGCTGTTCAGCTTGTCCGCATTCCGGTCGTGGCTCTCCTTCTTGCAGTCCTCCAGTCCCTCGCACTTGTGATCCTCGAGCATGCGATGACGGCTGCAGTGCCTGCCCTGGCAGAAGCCGCAGTCACCGACAATGGGTTGTGCGCGGTCCTTGCAGTCCTTGAAGGAACAACGGATCTTCTTTGGGGGCATGCCGCCGCGGAGCGGGAGTGCGAGGTGGAGAGTCGAGTTGGGGCCGATGGCGTAATCAGCCAAGGTGGTGTCGGATGAGGAAAGGTGCTTGCCGGCGTGGACGATGCGCAGATCCGAGGGCGTGGAGAGGTTGGTTCGGAGAGCGAGGAGAGAGCGCAGGGTGCTTATCGATGTGTTTGAGGGGATTGTGAGGGGGATTGCTGATGCACCATGTTAGCCGTGTCTGCTGTGACTTCATAATGCGACCTGTTCCGAGCGTCGGAAGCGTGGCGGGAACGACTTACTGCTGCTGCCGGATACCGTCTTGACGAAGATCTGCATCGTGTCCTCGGATTCGGAGCTGGACGAGCTGATGCTGCTGATGCTGGATGAACGGCGCATAGTGGCAGTTGCGGAGAGGCAAGTACGGGTAGGTGTCGTGTGCGTGTGCGGGTGCGGAGAGCGTGTGAGATGACGCTGATGTGGTCGGCGAGTTGTGGCGGCGAATTGACCGGCTAGATAACGGAGATGGTTGAGCGGGTAGATGCAGATAGGAGATGTTATATACAAGCAGGAGAGTGAGAGTAGGGCGAGTGCTATGGCGGAGAGTGAATGGGTGGGTGGCAGTAGCAGCAGTAGCAGTAGCAGTAGCAGTAGTAGTAGTGACAGATGGGGATCAAGTAGGTAAAGGTGACGCAGACCGCTTCTTAAACAAAGGCAAATGGAGCCCCATGCTGTCACTGGTGCCTTGGTCCGACCGATGGCACTGCATTGCGCTGCGCGCTGCACTGCACACGACTCGAGCCGACATGCGTTCGCAGCGCGTCCTTTGCCTCCCCGATGCAGGGCGGCTACCACTAGCCGACCTTCTTCCATGGTATTCTATGCCTTGCATCAGCACCAAAGCTAGCCTGGAGCCCTTCAAAACACGCCTCTCATCATCGCCAGCCATGAGGCAAGTCTGACAAAGTGTCCAAGACGCTCATGCATCTACTTCCACATCATCCCTCGCCCGACTTGCCTCTTGCATGTGACACGTATCGGCGACATGCCTCACCCACTCCTGTATGGTACTTGTGACATGCAATCTAGATCGTGTCTCATGCACCCTGCATACCAGGAACTCGCTTGTTGCCGCCTCAAGGCGTCTAACACGCCGACGACAGCAGACAGCAGCGCCTGCCACTGTATTGTGTCGGATGAGGCGCATCGCTCGGCCTGCGCCAGTGTTTGCGATTCGTGGCGCGTGCATGCCGGCTATGCCCTGTGTGAGGCTGGACGACTATCGTCATAAAACAGAGCCATCGTCATCCTTGGTGTTGACCATCGCCCTGCCGCTTCCATTCGACATGCTTCGTTCTGACATATGCACAAGGCCTAATGCTCCGAGTCGATGTGGACATGCCGTTGATCATGTCGAGTCACGCTACCATCCGCCCATCGTGTCGTCTGTGCGACGACCGCTTGGATCCGTGTGCGGTCGGCACCTTTGGTACTCGAGACACGTCCATTGCTCTGTACGCCTACATGGTCAAACATCTTCCAAACATGGCCTTTCCCCACACGCGCTTTCACGCACGCACACACACACATACTTTATATCCGTCCTGTCACATTGCCATTGCTTCTAGAAGCGTTTCATCGTCTTCCGGACCGCTTTGGGGCCCAAACAAATATGTTTATTACTACGCTACTATCATACACCGCTGCTAACCCAAATTTACAACATGCTCTTTGGGAAATCCTTCATTGCCTGTCTTACACCCAAATCGCCCAAAATCTCCTCGGTACCCCCAAGGATAGCATCGAACTTGTAGGTGCGGTGGAATTGTTCAATGACTCGACCCATTCCACCCTGGGTGATTCCGCGACCTCCGAAGATGTTGACGGCTTCATCTGCAATCTCGTGTGCAGAACGAGTAGCATACGACTTGAGTAGACCGATGGGTCCGCCAAGGTGTTTTGATTGTTGCGCGTACGACATGTGCGTCATTTGGTAGGCGATAGATTCTAGCCATGCTTGGTTGGCTTCGACGTGTGAGACCATCTTTGCAAGCCTGGATAGTGTAAGTACGGGCAAGGTAGTGTGAAACCATCGTTAGAGGCAATACTCACTTTTGACGGATGGCAGGTTGCTCTATGAGCTTCTTGCCAAAAACAATTCGCTGGTTAGACCACTTCAAGCACTCCTCTACAACGGTGCGAGACTGTCGGATAACAGCGCAAGCCATCATGAAGCGCTGCAGAGGTAAAAACACAAAGTTAGTCCATGTCTCACAGACACTTTGTAGGGTCTGTGCTTACCTCGTGGTTAAAGTTGCTCATGATAACAACAAAGCCCTTGTGCTCTTCACCCAGAAGATGGTCTACCGGTACCTTGGCATCGTTGAACTCGACGAATGCGGTACCTGCCGTTGTGGAGTAGCTCGTCTTGATGAGCTTGGTCTCTACGGCCTCATCGCGTTCGATGAGTAGGACAGAGAAGCCCTTTTCCGTCTTGCAACCTGTAACGAAATAGTCGCAGAACATTCCGTTGGTGATCCACTTTTTGGTGCCTCGTACAATGTAATGCTTGCCGTCTGGGGTCAGAGTCGCAGTGGTCCTAATTCCAGCGACATCAGATCCAGCAAAAGCCTCGGTGATGGCTAGGCACATCTTCTTCTTGCCAGTCAACACCTCGTTTACCACGCGCGTCTTCAGCTCAGATTCAGGCATCCACTGCAAGACGGCTGTCAAGCTGATGGTCATACCAGCCATGTTGCCGTCTTGGAATCCACGAGCGTTTGCGCGCACACCTTCCTGTGCCTGGATAAGGTCATGGAGGTAGTCAAATTCCTCGCCCTTGACAACACCCATCAGGTTCTTGCCGTGGAGATGCTTTCCAGGCCCAAGACGCATGGCCAGCATGTCGTTCTTAGCCATCTTGTTGATCAAATCTTGGCTGATGTATGTACCATCCTTCTCCTTTTGTTGCGCCTCGGGTGTGACGTGTGTGTCGACAAACTTGCGGACCTCCTTTTGCAGTGCTCGGTGCGATTCCTTGAAGTAAGGGCTCTTGAACTGGGGTCGCAACCACAACGGCTCTGCGTATGGTACTGGGCTCAGATCGCCAGGCTTTCCGACGATGACTTCTGATTTCTCGCCCTCGATTGTGCCGATGCATAGCTCCTGGTACTTGTCCAAAACTTCTTGTCTGTGTAGATTGTAGAAAGCCGTCGTCGCATCTTGACCAGCTACCTGCTCGAGCACGACGGAGCCGCCAGGGTGGGCGTCGACGAAATCGCTGAGATCGTAGACTTTGTGGTCGATGATGCACCAGAGGTCCTCTGGTGTGTTGTGCGAAGCGACTGACTCGCGTGTGAGCGTGGCGTGAGGCATGTTGGCGGTAGTAGAAAGGGATACGACGGTTGGGCGAGGAAGGAGCGACGCGATGCACGGCAGAGAGGACGACTGGAGGAGTTTAGGATGAAAGGAGAACCGGCTACCAACACTGCACTACAATATGCGGGTCTCTAGACGTTTGGCCTCGGTCTACAACATGAGCTAGCCGTCTCCGCGTAGCACTCCGTCTTGTGTGGAGCTGGCGCAGAGAACATCTGGGGAAGATGCCGAGGCACGAGAGGTAATCATGTCTCCAACACCGCTGATTGGCTGTACGATACCCACGGCTTTCCAACGGCAACCACGAATTCTGATTTCTTCATGGCAAAGTCCTTGCTCCATTATTCGGCAAGTCATCTACAAACTTCTGCACATTGTCTCTAAGACAGTTCATTCTACAACATACCCCTTGATCGGATCTAGCATTGTAACCGTCTCACCCTCGCCGCAACCTGCGCTGTGCATAGTGGCCCATGATGTGTCGTCAGTATGGCTCGAAGTAATTGTATTCTTTTCTTTGTTCTAATCTCTCGCCTCGCCTTCTGCATTCGAGTTCATCCCACGCCGAAAATCACGTTATCGAAAGAAGACATAGGTGGTGAAACGCAGCCATTTTGCTTCGAGAGAACTTTGATAAGCTATTGAGTGTCCGATCTAGCAAAAAGATGGCATGGAAGACAAGAAGAGCTAGGGTGACAGCAAGATCAGGAACCCACCTGTTCCTGCTAATTTCTCGAGTAACATTGTAGGATTGCCAGCAGTAAAACTACTCGTGGCAGGTGTTACGCAGCGATCAAGCCGACTAAGTTCCCTTCGGTAGACCTTCAAGAACAATCGTCCTGTTGTTCGCAGCGGAAGGTCGCACGAGCTTCAACAGACGTATATTATCTCTACTATTCAGGAATACTTAAAAAAAAAAGAGAGAATGGAGAGTGTCTTGTTCTGTAGCGCCAAAGTCTGTCAAAATCCGAGAAGGAGCAGTCGATATAGCAAACAAGCCCCAATCCCGGCTACAGCTTTCATTTCCTACTTATATTCACCTGTTGTTCGCTCCGCACAATGTTATTACCTCAATAGGATTTCCCTCAGGAAGCGTGCCGGTGAAAGCAAGCCAATCATGTCGTGCCCCTCACTCTCATCTTTTCGAAGTGAAAAATGTTTGCCCCTCCATTCTACATCCCACTACACACCCCGCCATGCCCCTCGTTGCCTCGATAAGAGCGCTTGCTCTTCTGCCCCTCCAATAGTGCCGTAATCGACAACGTGTTGCTCAACTTTCCGGATCCAGTAACCTCCCGTAACGCTGCCAATGCTGTGCGGGTGAAGGTTGAACTTCCGCCAGTTTTTCAACACATGCGCACAAATACACTCTCAGAGTCGACTAAATTAGTTTCGCACGGCAGTAAAGAAGTATTTGTATACAAGACTTTCTTAATCGATCCGTATGTGCGTCAAAGAGGCACGCATATTGCTTCTCGCATCATGGTGAGAGGTGTGATATTTGGGTATCTCTGAGATCTATATTGCAAACAAAAAATGTCTACATGTCTATTTTAAACCTTGAGCATCGTCTTGACGTCTTCGTCGAATCTTATAGTCATATGCACAATCTCTGTCGCTCGTGTACGCCTTAACACCCCTCCAGCTTCGCCAACGCCTTCCTCAACTCATCTTCTCTCTTCCCCAAAACAGGCAAACCTCTATCCACACAAGCCCTCTGAAGCTCCTCCTTCCCAAGACCTGCCCATCCGCCATCTCTGTTAATCAACCTATCGTCCGTGTTCAAGTACTCCAACTTCTTCCTAACATTGCGCTGTAAGAGGAACTTGGGTGCTGTCAGAGGTAGCAAGTCAAATATTGCGGGATAGCAGTCGAGTTGTGCGGCGGTAAGCGAGAGCTCGTAGAGCGTCATCTCGTTCCATCTCTTCGTGGTGACTGGCATGAGCAGTCCATTATTCGGTGGGGATACGGATGGCGCGTCAGAAGATGCGGTGCCAATAGGCGGGCGATCCCTGCTCATCAGTCGCATTGCATCTAGAGCGACCCTTCTTAACCGGTCTTGCCGCTTGTCCTCAAGTTTCCGTATCGCGCGTTGAACCTGCTGTGGTATTCTGCACGCCTCTGGAATTACAGGCGTAATGTACATGACGACAATCGGTAACCACTCTCCAAGTAACAAGACCAAAAGACCGAACGCCGGTAACCTCAACGTGTCCGATCTGCTTCTCCGCACAATCTGCCATTCCGCTCTTGTCAGAACCTCGCTTATGTCTTTGTTGGGTATTTGAGCAGCCTTTTGGCGCAGTGTCTTGGCGAATTTTGATGTTTGTCGGACATGTGAGATGCCCGTTTTATAGAAGGTGAGGTATGCGCGACCGGCGCGGTATAGCCACTTGACAAAGTTCTGGTCTGGTTTTCGTGCGGGAACGGATATTTCGGGGGCATAGGTAAAAGGCGGTGGGTTCAACTTCTCCTTCGCTCGCAGTGTTGGGACGGTTGTGGCCTTCGAAGTGGGAGTCTGCGCGGGAACGAGGGGGGAAGATTGAGATTTCCTTGGAGGTTGCGAAGGGTTTGTGACCTTAAGTGTGTTCGCATTGCTGGTTTTGGCAGGAGGTGGTGGCATGGCCCTGCCATATTCTGCCTTCTTTGCCGTCGACGCTGAAGATGAGGCATGCCGGCTCATCTGTGTCTCCAACCTCTTTTTCTGCCTCCCCCATTGTATGATATTCCGGGACCCATCATGCCATATCTGACAGCTCAATGCAGGCATTGTGGCCCGGGTGTGTATGCTTCGATGGCATTTCAGGTTTGCGAAGACAGTGTGAGATCGCGCTGGTATAGGAAACGTGGGAAACACTGGCCGTGGTTTCATTGTCGTGTGAAAAGCATGCACGCACTGGCAATACAGCAATACAGCAACAGAGCAAACGTTGGCTGACGGCTACTAGTGGTGACGTTTCTCATTCGTAGGGCAAGAAAAAACTGGGTCTAATCGTGCCGCGGGAGACACGCGCGATGTCATCACACCTCGCGTCAGCGCTAACTCGACTTGGTCAACCAATGATTGTTGTAGTAGATGCGTGACACAAGCTTGCTAATGGACTGGAGTTGTGCAGCTTTATTTGAGTGTTTGGTAATATCCCCCGTCTATGCCGTAATTGACGCTACACCATCTCGTTAACCCATTGCTTGCGCCTTGCTGATGCCAATATATACAAGAACGCGAAAGCGTTGCAAAACGCCAATTTGCCTCTAAGGGCTTGAAAGAGACTCCAAGCACATATGCATGGCATGATATTGTGCGCCCATGAACACCTCGCAGAACGCTATGTCAGATCAAATCAAAATAGGAAGCTACCATACACAGGAACTAAGGAAATTCGTAGAAGATACAAGGACCCGACCGTTACAGGCCAGATGATATGAAAGTAAGCAGAGCAAAACCTTGAATAGAAGGGGACAATGTGGTAGGGCCTCATCCAGAATTTACAACGCACGTTGACCCGGAAGGTAAGTCGTCGCCAGGGATTGTTTGAGTCGCGTGGGTTATGATGAGGTCGCCAGGAAATTGTCGCAAGGGTATTCCATAAGGTTGCTGCGCGGAACAAGGATGCGGGGGCCTTCGGGGTTCACCATTCAGGGCCAGGTGAATAGCATGGGTCCAACGGTTTACTGTGTTTTCGATGAGCTGGTTCGTGGGAGATACATGGCTACTTTTCAGGGGGATTTGGATGGATGGGCGCAGTCGGGTTTGGTTGGTTGGGATATACAACATGTCGATACATGTGCGGATGGAGTGGCATACAGGATATGGGTTATTGTAGCAATGTCGGGTTTATCTGGTGGTAACCTCCGAGACAGCCGTGCTTGATATCTAGGATTTTGGCTGTACGGAAATAGTTTACTCAGCGTTGATACTGAGCGAGCTGGGCCATGATTTCAGACATGTCTGGTGTGGGGCCAGCTTGAGTAGGTGTCTGTACTGGTGGAGCGGCGGCCTGGCTCTGGTTTGCGAATAGAGAAGCAAGTGCGGGGAACTGATTGCCCAGCTGCGCAAGATGTGGCTGAGCTGGGCCACTGAAACCAGGAGTCTGAACAGGACTAGGCACCTGGGCAAGCAGGCGTGCAAGATCGGCATTTAAGCCTTGATTCGGCGCGGGTTGCGCGTTTTGGGGTATGTTGTTGCCGGACATCGCACCGAGCAGCTGCGACAAGCTAGCACCGTCGAGGGATGCTATGAGATTAGAGATGTTGGGCTGAGTGGTTGGCAGAGACGGGAAGGGGTTATTCGGTTGAGGGAAGTGCGGTGGCAGAGTCTGACCGAAGCCGTACGAGGATGATGGCGGCAGAACCGGTCGCAGCTGGGTTTGTTTGGCATTGTTGACGAGAAGACCAGCCGTCGTGGGGTCAAGATCGGCGTATTCTAGGAACACGAGTCAGTAGTCACTCACATAAGGCATAGGCAATCATACCGTTGAACTGGACATTGTTGGCACCGCCACGTCGGTCGAAAATCTGGACGCTGACCTTACCTTTGGTCAGGCCAGTAGTATCGAGCCTCACAATAGCTAGGACTCCTTCGAGGATTTGTCTGCGAACTACAGCTGGTTCAGGGAATCGACCACTCAGTATCAGGACGTTACTGCGTAAGTTTTGCGAGCGGAAAGTATCCTCGACGTAGCGAATGAAGTCACTACGACTGTGTTAGCGCCTGCTCTCACGCAGCGGATATTGAACATCAACCTACCGGGGAAGTCCCTCATTGAGCACAAGAATCTGGATATCAGGTACCTCGTGGGGCAATCGGCGTCGAAGATCCAATCCATCTTCTGTATAGTCGCGACGCGGAGATGGGCTTCTGTGTCTGCGTGGTGGTGTCCTGGACCTGCTACGATATCGCGCATCGAACCTGTCGCGGCTTCTATCTCGTGATCGTATGCCCCGAGGAGCCCGTGGCGATGGCGATCGCATAGGTCGGTAGTCATCCCGATCGCGAAAGCGTCGATCCCTCGGCGACATGGAGTTTGGATGCCCTACATAGCGATTATCCCTGGGCGCCGGTCCCGTCCCGCCCCTAGTATAATCCGGGGAACGCGAGCGTCGACGCGGTGTCGGATTCGGTGGTTCTATCTTTTTCGTGTTTCGCTGGGGCTTGGATATCTCGAGGTCTGTTCTCGTCAGTCAACTGTTACCTGGTCGTGTATTGAGGTGACTTGACATACGCATCTTCCTGCCACGCACTGCCTGTCCCTGTTCGGCATCCAGGGCCCTGCGACATGACTCCGAGTCAAGGAATTGAACGAAGCCATATGCCTGCTTGATCGATATCTGCGCGAGCCTGCCGTGGCGGTAGAAACGGTGAAAGATGTCGCGCTTGGTGACTTTTTCAGTGGGGAGGTTTCCTAAGAAAAGGTTAGGCGCATCCTTGGTGCCAAAACAATCCCATCTCACCAATGAAGAGACGCGAGCCCATGGGGAATTGGTCCCATTGCCCCTCCGTTACAAACTTCCTCTCTTGATCCAAAAATTCCTCATATCTTCTATTCACCTCGGGCGGCCACCTCTGATCCTCATCGTCGGGCGTTTCGCTGCGTTCGCCCGGCTGCTGCTGAGCATGGGCAGACGTTGTAGAGAAGTCCTGATTCTGCACATTCATTGGCTGAAAAGAGCCATTTCCTCTCTGCTGGGCATTGGGTGCTTGCTGACTCTGTGGATGATAGGATCTGATATCATCGTTGGGGTCATAGTTGGGGTGCGTAGCGGGCTTATCTTGGGTAGGCGGCCTCGCAGGGAGATTGGTGGCCGAGGGCAAGGACGAGGCATGGTGTTGTGTCTGCGGTGACTGGGCGGACACTTGTGCAGAAGCATATTGAGTCGAGGGCGCATTGTTGGCAGCAGGTGTCAGAGAATCCAACAGGGCTTGTACGTCAATATTGGAGCCAGTATGCGCTCCAGTCTGGTAGTGAGCGCCTTGGGTAGACTGGGCGGGCGCATGCTGAGCAGCATAGGCATTGTCATGGGAGTATGGGTACGCAGAATGAAGACCTTGACCAGACGCGTGCTGCGCGTCACTGGCCGAAGCAGCGCGCGACTGATGCTGTGAGGTGAAATTCTGCATTGAAGAGGTATCATGCGGCTGCGTACCCATGCTGCCACCAAAACCAGTCGATTGCGAGAAAGCACCCGGCGCATCATGTCCTCCACCCTGTACGCCTATAGTGTGGAAGTTGGCGGTCGCGGACTGGTCGGCGAAGTACGGCGTGGACGTGTTCGCGTTCGCGCTGGAGCTGTGCGCCTGCTGGGGGAAATGGGGAGCGGAAGGAGCTGCAGAGTCGGTGTTGCTGAGTGAAACATCATTATAGTTTGCATCCATGTGCTCTGCAAGGATGGGAATGTTGGCGGGCGACGGGACGTTTTGCGGACGCGGGCTCTCCGGCGTCAGTGACTGGTGCCGTACGTGCTCAGCTTCTTGCGGTGGACTGGAGTTGGGTCTCATGTAGACTGCGGAGCCAGAGCGCAGAGCTGGCAGACAAGGCGTGGGTGAAGGGGAAGTCAACTCAAAGCATCTACGGAACGCACCGTCGCGACAAGGGCTGGAGAGCTGCAGCAGATTGAGCACTAGAAGAAGAAGCCGATGGCGGGGCTGGCTAGGTGCTATATGATGGTCGAGGTTAGATGGATGGGATGGCAGACGCGCGAAAGCCACAGGCACGGAAGCGAGAAGCGGGTCCCGTAAAAGTGGCAAGAGATGTTGGGTGCAGTCAGGCAAGGTGCAAGAGGGAATGTGGTGCAGCAGATGTTGGGACACGGCGCCGTGTCGACTCCAAGGATAGCCTGGAATCTCGAACTTCTCTGGTTAAGCTTTGCCCACGTGATGTGCTTTAGTGCCCTTCTAGCGTCCGTTATGTGGTTAAAATGGTCTTTCTGACCCTAGCCTGTGCACATGCCCGTTATAACATGATCTCATCTTGACAAAGTCCAACCCCCCGAGCAATTTGCGCGACCGGTGATGCTGCCTCGACGTCTTGTCTTCCATTCGCTCGTCCCGTTTCAGTCTCGAAGAAGTGCCAGCAGTGCCGCTGGCGACGAGCTTCGCGCTGCGCGCAACTGGCTCGCGAGCCTGGATGCAGAGACGATCCCTCTGCAGAGCATTGGCGAACTGAGCTTCAGCAGATCATCAGGCCCCGGTGGCCAGAACGTCAACAAGTATGACACACTACAATAAATTTCCAAACGTGCGCGCTATACTAAGAATGTGCACAAAGAGTCAATTCAAAAGCTACATTAAAAGTGCCTCTAGACGCCCTGCTGCACTATGTCCCTGCAGCTTTGCATGGCGAGATTAGACGTTCCCGCTACGTAGCTGCTAGGTCAAATACTATAATAGTGCAGGCCGACGACAGTCGAAAGCAGAGCGACAATGCTCAAAGTTGCTACAAGCGCTTATACGAAGCCATTGCCCAGGCTGGACAAGATGCTGTCCCCGCCGAGACGCCAGCAGCACAGGTGCAGCGTGTCAAACATCTGTATGTTTTCGTCCATTGCGACGGCCCTAGCGACGGCCCGAAAGCTGATAACACACCAGACAAAAGTCAGATAACGAGCGCCGCCTCAAGAGCAAGAAGCAGCAAAGCGCTAAGAAGACGTCGCGGCGAGGCCGGGGTGATGAGTGAAGCGGTCTGCGGGGAAGCGGCTTGCCACAGCATCATTGATCAGCTTGACGCGCAGGTGACGTGGTTCAACCGTTAAACGGTAGCACGTCTCACGATAGTGCGAGTGTGGCCGTAGCGGTGTAGCTTATGGTGTTCGATCCGATAAGAGATAGGAAGAATACTTCATGCAGGGAGTGCTCGGTACAATTAGTGTCTGCTGACCAAGGTCTCTTGATCCTTCACGTTTCCATCGCCGACGACAAATTCTGGAGCGCTTCATTTGCAGGCCAGTACTTGACGCCCGTCTGCACCAACAAC